CTTCAAAATAGGTACATCCTCTACAGATCCCTTTTAGAGAAGTTAATTCCTCTGTCTGTTTCACTGCACTTATTCAGCTCCTGACCTGAAAGGCAGAAAAGCTCTTTCCTGAGTCACTGAGCCCTAGGATAGGTTTGCCCCTTTTCAGTAGGTTGTGTAGACAGCATGCTTCCCCAAATCCTTTCATCCTTATTCCTGTAGTTCATGTTCTTGTAGCTGGAAGTGAAGGAAACCTTAGTGAGCTGTGCTGAGCTGCAGGGAAATGTTCCAATATATCCCTCAGAGGCTGCTGGCTGGGAAGATGCCCTTTTCACTGCTCTGCATGCCCTGCTCTTTACTTCATGTCAAGGAGCTTGAGCTCAGTGCACGGATATCAACAAGCCTGGCCACAGGAAAAGGGGACTCTGCCTTAGACTGCAGGTATTGCAATTGGTTTCCTCTGGATGCAGCCAGGACATTTGGTTCAGAGGTGCTTCCTACAGAGTTCAGTGGAAGATGGCACTCTCTGTTTGGGGCTGACCACTTTGGTTGCACTTCAGCCTCTTCCCAGGAGACATTGGGAAGTGCTCAGCATAGGGAGCACCTCACTGGATGTATTTGGAAGGAGATCTGGGACCATCTGAATCTCTGCTTGGTCAGCTGAAAAGGAAAGGGATGGCTGGAGCACATAAAGAGAAATGCATGAACCTTTTGCTCCAGCACAGCAGACTCGGAGTCTGTCAGAAACCCTGGTGGAGACCAGTGCCCTTACTTTCCTTTGGACCCTGAGCAAGACCACCACTAATTTTTTAAAAATTATTTTCTTTTTAGCTGAAAGCAGTTGAAGTAGCTACATGAATCCCATAGACCTGGTGGAATGGCTGTGGAGTCTTGTCTAAGCAAAAGAAGAAGAAGAAATATTACTTAATTAACAAAGTACTAAGGATATATTTTGAATCCATGCATCATGAGCTAAGTACTAGATGAGCTGAGTACTGTAAAAGAAACAGCTCAGATAGATAAATATCTGATGGATAAGATGATTCAAAAAGCCATCTGAAAATGCATTTTGTCTCCTTGCTCGCAAATAACCTTCAGTCATTTTATTTTGCACTGATATACTTTCAGCTCTGCTAGATTTCCGTAGTTATTTCATTGTGTCTTTTATTAGGGTGGGAGTACAACTGTGCCATTTCAAAGGCCAACCTTTGGTGTCTCCCAGTGTCTTGTGCTAGTGCAGGAGTGGGAGCCTGCCTGTGCAAGGGAGAGCTGGAGGCTGGACTTGTGCTTGAACCCTGGGGAGGAGGCAGGGCTGGCTGGCATTGGGATCTCTATGTCAGAGAGCTGGCAGCTGTGAACTTGTGCAGATTTTCAGGGGACAGGGAAGGGGATCTGTGATGTGACACACATGAGACCTGATGACAAGGGATGGAGTCCAGCAGTAAGAACCATGTTGGTCACAGTAGGCATGAGGAAGAAAGCAAGCAGAGTCCAACTATGCAAAAAATATGATTTTTGACCTCTAGGGGCCCCATTGAAACAATCTGAAGTGACATACTTTGCTTATTTGCACATCAGAGCAATTGGTAGATAGAAGCATTTCTTCGAGTTTTTTTCTCATCTAACTATTTGTTCTTTTATCTGTTTTCGTTCTTTTCCCCTTCTCCTTTGAATAACAAGACCACAAGCAGTTGCTCATCTCTCAAGCCATCAGCACCACATTTCTGTTCAACTGGTAGTAAGCTTTGGAATATGAATATAAAAAATTGGGATCTTTTGCAGATCCCACTTGCCTTTTTGCAGGTCAGGTAACATGGTGTTGCATCAAGCTTGGAGTATTTGGAGTTCATAGTTATTTTGTGACTGTTTTTGAGGAAGAGTGTTTTGAACCTTTAAAAGATAACTTTAGAAGGTTTTCTGTGAAAAGGAGAAAGGTACATTTCAAATTTTTCCCATGCTTTCCATGTGTTTCCTTTTGATATGTGCTGAACTTTACAACTGGTCTTCTCTTTTCTCTCTCTGATCCACCCCTCTCTCCCTCCCTCCTGTCCCCAGCATTGTTTAAAACAGGGAAAATTTTTTATAGCTGGATGAATATCTAGTTAATACACTGCCTTGACCTCCAAAGTTTAGACTCTACAAGGTATTTGGAGATGTCAGCTGAAAGGGTTCATAAATATTTTAACTGCATTACCTCACTCTTGCTGCCATAACATTAAAAATGTGCTTTCCCTGAATGTTTGCTACAGGAGTCTGATGGTCACGTCTGTGTCTGCTGGCAGCTCTCTCTTCCGCCCCAGCACGAGCTGCAGAAGGCAGCAGCTTGAAATATTAATGAGAGCTAATACAGCAAAATTATGCTCTTGAAAAACAGAGAGAGACACACACGCATGCACAGATGCACACTGTCCATGCATGGGTGTGTTTGATGTACTTGAACGTGCAAGGCAAGATGCTAAATTTGCAGAGCAGACATTAGCTGGTGTCCAGCCATGCAGCACACTCAGCACAGCTGGGCTGCCTCAGGCCCCATGGAGGTGTCAGATTCCTCACACTAAGACCAGATTCCCTCTGAAGAATGATACGACCTCCTGAAAGCCTTTGAAGGAGGTTTGGGTTGGAACCACAGCACTGAGAGCTTTATACTAGGAGGGGATGGATCCTCCTACGTTCATTTGTGGCTCCCCACACCAAGGAAATGATTGTGTGTGATCTTGCTGGTGAGGAGAGGCAGGAAGAGATGGCCACAGTACATCTGAGCTCTGTGTGTGATGTGTGTCCCTCTAGATAACCAATCCTGGTTTGGGCTTATGATCTGGTGAGTCCAGAGCCTGGGATGGGACAGGGTTAGTCGCCAGGGTTAGTTTTCATTTTGTGCATTTTGTTAAGCATATCGGTAATTACTGCATATTGAGGAGGGACAAAGATAGTTTCCTTCATATATGAATACTCCTCCAGTTACTCTTGAGAGGAAAGTCTGCAGTTTCCTTGGTCATCAGTCATTCTCCAACTAGTTTTCTTCACAGCAAAAGATGGTTTTCATTAGATTTCTGCTTTAATAACAGCTCTAAATGACAGTCAGTAGAACTGGCCTTGGGAAGTGCCTGTCAGGCCAGGAGAGGCAAGAAGAGATGTTTGGTGGTCCCTTGCATGGCTTGTTACTTGTGCAGCACATTCCTCAGACAAATCTTGAAGCTATAGTGTGAATGATTTCTCATATCATGAACTTTACCAACTTGAAGCACAGGATTGAAGGAGCTCCTTCAGTCATAGGAGTCTCACAGAATGGACTGTGAACACTTATTTCTTCTCTGGCTCTTTTTCAGCTGTCTTAAGTGTCCACCTTAACTCTTTATGTAACCTAAAAAAACCTGTAGCCCTCCAGTACAGTGGGTCAGGGTGGCACTGCACTTGTATGTCCTGCTCCCCTGGCCTCTAAACAGGGAATTTGCCTCTCCTATTGCATGCTCACAGGTTGCTTTTCTCTTGTTTTCCCCAAGCTTTTAATAAAGCATTAGATTTCCTCTGGTTTCCTTCCTCAAGAAGGAAGCAACAAAACCTGAACTAAAATAGCCCATATGCACCCAGAGTAGAAACCCTGCTCAAATATCACACAGTGCCAGGCAGAGCAGCTGCAGTTTTATTTATTTATTTATCTATCTATTTGTATTAATTACCCAGGGATTAGCCAGTTTACCAAATCAGGGAAAACTGTGAAAGCTTTAATTACACAAACAGTGCAAGCTGAACCTTTTGCCTTGTCACACAGGCAAGTGACAATTCTGGGATGCCTGGTGGTACAGCTGGGTGTGTTGCCAGAGCACTTGTCCTTGCTCTGACTTACAAACTCACGCCACTGCCTGCGTAAGCACATGCAGGTTTCTAAATAGAGCCAAGGAAAACAAACTGCAGCTGAAATCTGCTTCTCCTCCTGCTTTAAGGAGTTATGTCTGGACTATTGATGGGCAGAACAAGAGAGCTAATGCATCCATAGACTGGGAAAGCACACCAGCAGGTTACTTTATATCCCTGACAGGATCTTAAAATCGTGATGTAATTCAGATTGCAAAGGACATCAGGAGGTGTCAGATCAAACCAACAATCCAAAGCATGAACACTTACAACGTGTTGTTCAGGGCTTAACCAGCCAAGTTTTGGAAACCTCCAAGGCTGAGGATCTCACAGCTTCTCTGAACACTTGCTCCAGTGTTTGACTGCCTTCATGGTAAAAATAATTTTCTTTTATTTAATCAGATCTACCGTGCAATTCTGCAGAGATTGACTCCACCTTTTCTGTATCTCACCGTCAGGCAGCTGTAGACACCAATGAGCTTTTCCATGGGACTTCTCTGTTTTAAGGCTGAACAAGCCCTGCTCCTGCAGCCTCTCCTCACATGTTATGCTCTCAGCTGCCTGCTCAGTCCAGTATGTCAATATCTTTCTTGCACTGGAGCCCCAAAGGTCCATGCAGTTCTCCAGATGGGGAGAAGCACTTCACAAGTGCTGAATAGAGGGGCCTACTAAATTTCCTTGACTTTCAGCTGTGATCCTGTAAGTACAGCCCAGTATGCTCTTGGTTTCCTTTGCCTCAAGGTCAAACTGCAATTCCCACCCCGGTCTTGTCTCTTTTTATTCTAAAGCTGTTCCCAACCCATCTACCTAGTCTGAATTGCTGTAAGGGTTAGTCTGCCTCTGAAGCAGGACTTGGCTGCATTTGTCTGACTTCATGAAGTACCTGGCAGATAATTTCTCCATTATCCTGAGATCTGCCTTTCAAGGCAGTCCTGCCCCTGCTGTTGCATCCTGTTGTGTCCTCCAGGATGTTAATAACAATGTTAGATGGTACTGGTCCCAGTACTGACCCCCTAGAATGCCTCTGGGAGCTGGCTGCCAGTTCAACTTCATCTGGACAGCTGGGCTCAAAGGATACTCTGGTACACTCTTCACCTGTTGTAGGTAGCTACCCAGTCCATCAGTGATTTGACTATAGGCTGTTTCAACAATAAATAAATTAAAAAAACCCAACAGAAGAATCCTTTTATTTTCAAAGTTTGATCAATCCATGAAAGAAAGAGCAGCACATTTTTGCAAAGCCCAAATAACTGTACAGCTCATTCAGATTTTTCCCAACAAAAAGGAAGTGCCTGTTGAAGAGAAGGAACCAGGAAGGGAGCTGGGACCAGCTGTAGCCAGCATGGTTCTGCTGGCTGGTACCTTTAGAAACACACTTCTCCTTCCAGTGTTGGTCTCCTTAAAATCACTGAACACCCAGGTGAGGCTCCATCTAAATATAAAAGATATTTTAGCATCCCTGGGTGCTATGTCAGGGCTGCCCTTTATATTTCAATTTTCATTCACAGGACCTATGAAAGAAATGGAGCAAAACTTTCCAAGGGGGAATGCTGCCTGGCTGTATGAGCAGCCACCTTTTTACTTCAGAGGAAATCAGGTTGTCTTCCAGTGAGTTCCAGTCACCAAATTATTTTATTGTTACAATATCACGAAGCAATTTTTATTTTGTGCACATCAATGTGCTCAAAGTGTTAGTTTTCACAGTATAGAATGGATGTGACAGCATTTGTCATGGAAGCACTCAGCAGAGTATGTTTCAACTTCATTTAGTTGTGCTGTTTTATGAAGTTCTGCAGTAAAATGTGCCAGCAAATTATGTTAGTTTCTTTCTGGTGATTAACTAATCATTCATATAATAAATAGCAGCTAACTACAAGAAAGAGATTTATTTGTCACAGATTAAGAAGAACGTCAAACTTTTCCCATTTCATGTAAAAAGGCAGAGGAAAAAATACTTCTAAAATGACTTTGCAACATGTGCTTTATTTTAAGTAATTACTGAATCAAAACTACAAGTCTGTCCTTTTAACATACCCTACCCACTCAATGATCTTTTTTCTCAGGTTTTTTTTTTTTTAACATGGAAAGAAACCTACATTGCAATTGTAAATTTTCATGCTGCAATGTTCTCTAATGAGCATTTGTTTCACTAATAATAGCAATTTTAAAAAGAGGGCATTTCTCAAGCTCATATGTATGTCTACATTTGGGAACTTAAAAAAAAAAAACCCGTCTCAGATGTAAAAATGTGACTTGGAATATGTAAACATTTTCGTATACCTGAAACACTGGAAGAAGAATATCAGCTAACAGCAAAACAACAGTTGCCTTAAATCATCGAAATGGGAAAAAGCATGTCATGGGGAGCAGAGAGAAGCACACACTACTCAGTCTTTAAAGGGTTATAAGAAATGAAGTAGCTCATTAGGTCATCGATTTCACTTTCTTTTCTCATCCAACAGAAAGCAGTAATGCTGAAGAGAATGGCCCAGCAGAACACCCCATAATTCACCATAATTATTCTAGCCATTAGTTAATCTTGACGAAGTGTCAAGTTTCAGTTGCTTTTTCTTTTTCCTGAGAAAAGTCATTGATGTTTGGTGGAAATGTCTCCTGTGACTGTACAAATAAAATAAGGCATTTCAAGAGATTGTTACTTGGTTTCTTTTTGCTGACAGAGGCTTGTCCACAGTGTCCCTTGTACATCAAAAACCTCTGCTTTTCTACAAATGGGTATGGCTAGAATGTCTTCAGTTCCCAGTGTGGCCCTGGGTGCTGGGTGTCCTGAAGGCTCATCAGTGTCCCATTACTGTAGCTTGAAAGTCAGTGATGTACAACAGCATATTGCACAATCCAAACTGTGTGGCTCCAGGAAGGATTAAGAAGGTACACTGGAGTCATCTGTGGGTTCAATCCTTTAGTTTATCTTTAAGTTGTAATGGTCGTCTGGAAAATTAAATTAGCCAGACAAAGATGCAAACTTTTTGCTGATTAAATTACAAAGCAGTCCCCAGATTGTAGAGGAGTGGCACATTAAAAACAATAAATCATTCAACCTTCTTCACTGTTGATCCTTAATTTGAAAGGCAGCATGGATTCCTAAGGCCGTAGCTTCCAGGATTCCTTCAGTGAAAAATCATTGCTACCCAACTATAAAAGACTTAGCTCTTAAGAGAATATTGTGCTTTTTTTCTTTTTCCTTTAAAATTCAGATTTAACCAACTTGATTTGCAGTGTGATGCCAAAGAGATCAATTAGTTTTTTCCCTAGTCCACTTGATCATAGTCTCTGGTGAGCGATACAGGAATATTAGCTTGGCATACAGGTCTTCCTCTAGTTCCAGTTCTCCAGTCTCTCGCACTAGGAAAATGTCAGTACACAGCTTCAGGATTCGGTCCACATTGGGTAGCTCCTCAAACATGATGGAGTGAGAGATCCCACTGAAAAATTCACGGACGAACTTCCCTATCACCAGGACAACTGAGGCATAGAGTCCCATAATGCTGAAAAGAAAGAAAGGAAGAGTTCAAATCATGCCTTGTAAAAGGGCAGCCAAGTGTGAGGAAGCTCACCTACCTGCCAACTGTCAGCTTAATTTCTTATTAAGGTCTATGTAACTGGTGGCAAACTAACATTTACCTGTCCCCCTGACAATCTTCCTATGGAGACTCTTCCAAAATCCTACCAGAAGGCTGTATCTCCTGGGAATGCTTAGTCTCCTGCCTTCCTCTGCCTGTGGAGATGTATTTTATAACTCTTTCATGCCCAGGGTCCTGGCTACAAGATTGAGAAGGTCACCAAAACCAGGCAGAGTTTGGGCAGAACTTGACTTGCAGCTAAACTAAGATATTTTGAATTATTTCTCTTCAGTAGTGAATTGGTGTGAAGGGTGCTTCTGTTTTTATTCCCACTGTAGAGCAGTTATTAGGGGTAACACTAACCTTGCAAATATTAATCCTTCTATAGATAATATTAAAATCTCACAAAAGCCTTTTTCAAAATGTTGTAATGTTCAAACACTGCAACAATGAAAAAGCAATAACCCCCCAAATCAGCAAATAAAGTCACCTCTATCTATCTTATGTACTTTATTTGATTTTATGTAAAGATTTCTTCTTACCCATAACCAGCCAAGAATCCAAGGCTCGGTGGACTGACTTTATCACTGAATATGAAGAGTTCAAGACTTTCATGAGTTGTTTTTTGTCTTTTTCCAAGCTGATTCAAAACCCACCACTCTTCAGATGTATTTTTGACAAGGGAAACTGTAATATTTTCCCACTTGCAGTCTATTGAAAAAACGAAGTGTTAATATATATATACAAGAAGAATTGGAAAAATCAAACATTTTGAGACAGATACTTCAAACATCTGCATTATAAAATGACTGAGCAATGCAGAAGCAAAATTCTTCTAACTCCATTTTACATTATTTCTGTATACAAAAGTATAAAATCCAGACTTCTGTGTTTTTTCTTCTGCAAATCTTATCTGAATCTATTTAAAATATTTCATATCACCTACATGCTTTTCTGTACAGCTGTCAAATAACGGTATTTTCAGGCCAAAATATCAATAGCACTTATCATATCTACATTTCAGGCCTAGAGAAACATATTTAACTTGGAAGGGAAGCAGTCAGCTTCTATATCTCAAAGTGAAACTATTACCATAAACCATTTATGTCTTATATAAAAGATATTATTCTCTTGTATCAAAAAAAGAATGCTATCCTGTTTTATGCATACTGATCACACAGACAGGAGATGAACTCTGGTCCTCTTGAGTGTACATTAGCAGGGTATACATTAAAGTCCTTCAGAAGAAATTCAAATTAGAGACCTAACCAATGACAGTGAAGCACTCATAACTTATTGCTACTCACAGAGCTGGGTTCAGCCTCAAGAACTTTTATTCTTGATGAACCTTGACAAGAACTTACTACATAGCACTACATCTATTACATTCCAGCACCAAATGTAGCCCCTGTTGAGAAAATTGCTCTTAGATGAAGACTTGTTCCTACTGTTCCAACCCAGCAGGTTTTTCACACATGTATGTACATGGGTGCACATATTCTGTATGTCTATGGGTACCTCTATGGATTCTGATTGAAGTAATAGCACTCTGAAATTCAACGAGTTATTTAAGGTGGATTCTTTGTAGCCAAAAAGGAAGGAATAGCTTATAAAAAATAATGCAGTGTTATTATTTAAGCTGAGGAGCTGCATTTGCAGACGTGCAACACTGACTGTTCCCAGTAAGGTAGCATGGAAATGTGGAGAAGTGAAACTTGTTATCACTTACACATAAAACAAAGGAAAACAGTTCCTAAAACAGACTTGAAGGAAAACAGACAGATTTCATCCTTAGAGTCCTTACTGTTAAGTCCAAAGCTAAAACACTAAAATGCATTTTCTGCCTTATACTGTATTACCTTATCTCTCCTCAAGCTTGCAGACACCAAGTAAAAACCATTTTAAGTATATTTCAGACTGAGATACCCTGTAACAGTTGTGAATGTACAACTGTGAGTGCTGCCTTGCACTTCTTTAAACCATACTCTCTTTTCCATGGTCTGGAGACATACCTCTCAATAGCTGCTTTATGGGTTTTGCCAGAGAATCACTAGGAGCCTTGATGTAGTATGGGTACATTTCCTCTAACGTTCTGGGAAAAAAAATGAGAAATCAAATATTTCATATTTTTATACCTCTAAAATAATTTAGAAATACCTAACAGTGCTATACACCGTTCCCAGTAATTCTTGTCTTAAGTTATGACTTTATAGTGTTCAGATGTCACATCTGAAAACTAGCTGGATTTTTCATCTTTTTTTTCAGAACTTCAGCAGAGTTCCATCCATGATGTCACCATTCACACACCACTAATTCCATATACCTGGGGCATGTGTGTTTGCAAGGAATGTAGACTTTATACTTTGTTTCCCTTTTTTTAAAAGCTGCTTTTGTAGTCAGCTGTAAAGTATAAAATAACGGCTGCACATCTCCAGTAGTAAACAAACTAGAAAAATATGTGAGCACAGCTATTACGTCAGAATTGCAAGGTGTTTCAATAGTAACACCTGAAAAGGGTGAGAATTTTTGCCAGAATTTTTCATTGGGAAATATTTTCACAGTTTTTAGGAGGATTTCAAATTTAGAAAGAAAGATATTTGTAAAAGTTCTTCCACTGGACTCAGAATCAAATCATCTTGAATGAGAACAAATTACCAGTATCTAGAGGGAGACACATTTCATTAAAAGCAGAGACACTGTCCAAACATTTTGCTCAAATGACTGAAAAATTCCAGGGAAGAGGAGCTCTCAGAGAAGTCCTGTGACACTTGGCTACATTGCATACACTGGCTGAGGAAGAACAAGGGTGGTCAATTGAAAATCCCTTCTGATCACTCCAGCAGGTCCAAGAAAAGGTAAGAGCTCAGCAGCTAAATTGGCCCCTCAGAGGTGGTGGCAGAAAGCTCCCTGCTGAAGTATCTGAATGGCTAATAGCTATCAACCATTTTTCCTTTATGACCAAGTAAAAAAAAAAAAAAATCTTAAATCTACAAAATTACTGCAAGACAGGCAAATGCAGATATATCGTTTATGTTACTGCTTGCCTTCTGCAAAAACAGAATTATGAATGAATTACTTCTTCCCACAAATGAGGAAAATCTACCCTTTGTGGCCCTTTATCACCTCAGGAAATATTGGTGTATCTTCACACAGCAGAAAAGAGGCATCAAGTATTTTTAAGTGCAATGATCACATGTGCAATAGCAGTCTGTTTGGATGTATGAGTGTGTGTGGGTGCAGAAAAACAGCTGTGCACAGAAAAGGCAAATCTAATATCTACCTACTAACAAGTAAGAAGCTCTCAGAGTTTTCACAATCCCAATTGGTCTCAGCTTAAACTTTTCAACTCTTGTGGCCACAAATCAAATCAAGTGGCCTTCAGGGATGATGTGTTGGCTTAGCAGTACTTAGAAAATACTGCTGTAAAGTAATCCCCAGTGAGAAGGTGGAAGAGGAAGAGCCAGACTCTTTTCAGATCTAAAAGGAGTCACCACTGCTGTTAATGCTATAAGGCCATATCCGTAGAATAATGTTTAATATTCATATGAAGAGCATGCCTTGGGATTTTCCATCACAGGAAAAGATCTGATGTCAGAAACGACTGCAGATGTTACCCTTTGACCGCAGTGATTTAACACTTCCTTGCCAGTCTAGTACTATTCAAGAGTAACAGCCTGGATGGTCATTTAGAACAAAAAAAATGTTCTGTACAACATCCTCAGATCAAGTGGAACTGATGTAACTCAAAGGTGAGTTGAACTGTGAGTATACTGAACTCGTGCTTATCCAATAAATCAAAGAAAAGTTACTAATAGCTTCACCACGCTTGTTGTTGATGATCCAGTGTTCATGGTCCTCTCAACCTACATTTATAATAGGACAAAAGTTTTCACCTTTAATATTACTATTACTTGGCTTCAGTGCTGTTGGCATCTGTTATTAGAGGGGGATAGATGGACAGACAAATGAAACATTTGCAAAAGCTTGACCACCTTAGGAAATCAGGTTTGCATATAAATAGAAAAAGAAAATAACTTACACCTTTTCCGTTTGATTTCCCTCCATCATTCTAGCAATATCTCTTCTGGTATGGTTTTTCAGTGTAAAGGTAAGTTTATCTGATGCTATTTCAGCTTTGGCACCGAGGGAGAGATTTCTGTTGTAAGTAAAAGAGAAAACACATTGACAACCTACAAGGAGAGCATAACCCAAGCTGGGTGAGGCAGCTCCTGGGCTGCTGGGGGCTGCAGAGAAACTCCCGTGGCAGATGATGGGCACAGGCAGAAAGTGTGTATGCTGCCTCTGTGACACAACAGGCCCACCTTACTGCTGCTTGTGGCCTCCTGGCCTAGATGGAAGGCAGCAGTTAGAGAGAAGGTCACTGTGGGAAGTCTATAACACTTTCAGCCATTCAAGTTCACAGTGTAACCCACAAGATTCAATTTGAGGGTGAAAAACGTCTCTTTCCACTAGTGTATGAATGCATGTAGCTATGAAAGCATATGGGCAAATGGAGTAGCAGTACTAAAAATTAATGTAAGGCTCAGAAATGATGGAGTGATGTAATTCACTAGCTAACAGTCTATGCCTCCAGATGAATTAAGTGTGCAGATTCATTACAAGCCTATTTCTGACTGTGGAAGAATGGACCCAGCATGTTCAGAGCTCCCACATTGATTCAGCTGACTTGCTTCTTGTGCATAGTCTTAGAACAATCCAGCTTCTACTTCCAAGGAAACATGCAAATAAGGAGACTGCAAAGGAACTTAATTTTCACGGAGTGATGACAACTCCAATTTAATCCAGTAATCGACAGGAGCCCCATCTTCAGACACTAGCCAGCAAATGACCTCGATGACTGGGTGTGCTCTAGCCTGAGTGCAACAACTTTATACTCCAGGCTGTCTCTTTCAAAAACTTCATTCTAAGGTTAGTTCACTGGGGCCAAAGAAATCTCACATGAGCAGACAAAGGTCTCAACAAAATGGATCTGTGCCATTGTTATAGTATTTGCACATAAAAATGTTTGTGTCACTTCCATACTCCCTTAATAAGAGGACCAAGAACTTCTGTTTGTATTTCCTCACAGGTTTTCTGTCTTAACTAGGTCTAAGTATTCACTTTCCATAAATGTTATCAAGGCTGTTAAGGGCAGTTCACTGGAACATCTCCATCTAAAACTGGCTAAAATATTCTTTTTCTTCCTTCCCATCAAGTCCCATTGAAAATTCCACCTGGACGTTTTGAATAATCTACTTGGTAGTGGCTCCACTTCATTTTTTGAGAACTGCAGGCAACAAATGTTTCCATGGGTAACAAAAGTGACTTTGTCTCTCTCCCTCCTAATCTCAGTTTTTTGCTCTTCCATACAATAGAATTTGCTAAAAAACTAAACCAAAAATGCAGTGTGGAACTGTTCTACTGATCTAATGCCTGGCAAATGATCCATCCACCTCATAATAATTTTGTTTCATTACCTCTGAATGGTCCATGAAATAACTAAACTGAAATCAGCATCAAAGTCTAGAAGTCCCTGTATCATTTTCTGTCTACTGGGAGGGCTGATGGTCCATAAAGAGTTTGAATTTCCCTCCAGATCTGCTCGAGTTATATCTTCTCTTGCATAGCCTTCTAGAAACTGCAAAGCAGCCTGTAGATGCAGAAGAGGAAAAGAAAATTTCAGTGCAGTGATATTCACAAGACACAGAGCCACACTTCTCAGTCAGACAGATTTTTAAATGTTTGATGCATTGTAAGTGCAGTGGTGTGCACTGATTGTTTTCCTGAGGTATCAACTGGGGCTTGGGATAGGAAGGGGAATTAACAAAGTATAGCCAAGCTAAAAAGGCAAAACAAAATTAACCTCATAGTTTGATGGGCATGTTGGCCAAAGTGAGTCTGAAAGTTCATGAAGTAAACTCTGTAGAGGCTATTTAAACTCGAGTTAAAATTTTATTATTTCTTTTGTTAAGTATCTTTCTGCATAGAAAAGTGTCTGCAAAAGTTAAAGCAACTAGAACCTTGTAATTTCCAACTGGATCTAGGTTACAATACTAGTGCTATTATGTATGGACTATTTGGTAGAATCTAACATCAAAGTCTAATGTCAAATTCTTTAATGGGCTAGTTGCAAGAACTTATTTTAAGGTTTTATCTGATCAAATGCCAGTTACATTAGCAATGCAACAGCTCCTACTAATTATTAGTCCTTTCCCTGTAGAAACTTGTGGAGATTGGGCATGTTGTTCCACGAAACACTGAGACTATGCTTAAATGCTTTTATTTTGACATTTTAATGTCAAAACATTTCCATGCTACGCACACTTTCTTTTGACAGCACCACCATTTCTCACTGGAAGGTGAAAGATGTGTGCTCTAGGAAGGAGCATGGGGCTTAAAAGTGCATACGACACTGTTTTGTCCACACAGCATGTTTTCTTTGGCAGTACGCAAACAGCATTACATCTCCTGAAGATTTGTCATTTAGAGGGGAGGGATTTATACAGACAACAGGACAACTAGGGTTTCTGCCTTCCAGGATTTTGTGCAAAGATGTCTACATTAATGGTAGCTTGTCTCACCATAACCCAGCCCTGTCCTGACAAATGATGTGTCTGAACCTTTATTCATGAAAATCCTCTTTATAGAAATATCTTCCAATTGATGACAGCACTGATGACCACTACATAAACAAAATTCACAAAAGGCCTCCATGGAAACATGCACACATTTTAAAGTAATGAGGTATTCTACTTTTCACTTACAGTGTTACCGCTATAGCTTTTCAGAAATTCACTGAACTCATTCGGATCCAAACTTTTGAGCTGATTCTGCTGAGCACTCATGGTAAAAATAGGCTGGGAAACAAAAGAGCACATGCTTATCATATTTACTTCACACTGCCTGCTATGTACACACTACAGCATCCTGTGCATCACAGTCCAAGACAATTATGGCACTCAATTCAACAAGACAGTGTTATAATCTCATTCCACTGTGATGCAAGCTACCTACAATTATCTTATATCTACCATGTAAATCTGTAGGATAATTTATTCGATTTCCACTGCTGGTAGAGTCTGGTTTTAACTTAAAAATGAAGACAATATTTTACATCAGTGATAAATTAACATATTTTTAAACCCAAAAGGGGTCATTTGTGGAAGGTTGCCAGGTACCTTGCATAAAGCAGGAGAGTTCAGTTCAATGAAAGGAAGAAGAAATAGCACAAGGAAATATAATGCAAAAAACAGAATTTGCTTTTAGTGCTTCTTCTTTTTTACCTGATAACCTCCTAGAGTTATTGTGATTGATACATCTAGAGGCTTGTTGGTGATGCCTGCAACAGATTTGATTAAAGACATGAAGAGCAGTGGGAACCAGACAATACAAATCAGCAAGACGATAATCATGCCACCCATTCCATACTTCACAACTTTCTTTTTCTTCTGGCCTCTTGGTTGGGGATATCTCTGCAAAAGCAAACAGCAGTATGGTAATGTCTCTTCTGTCAAAGGTACACTTCATATGATTTGATGGGTGAATATATAACAATCTTAAGGCTTCCCATCTCTTGTGGTAGTTTGCTACCCTATGTCAGACTAGATATTTTGAGATTTTTTTTTTTAGACAAACCTGCACAGACACCTAATTTCTGATGACAACAGGGAAAAGTGACAAATGAACCCAAAGTGTGTGTCCAGTGTGAAAAATATTGTAAACCTCTATGATTTTGATTCTTCACAGCCATAAAGAAGGAAGGCTTTAGGAAGGGTAATTTGATTTTTTTTTTGTCTAAGTGCAAGCATGAACTCACAAGAACAAACTATAAAATAGTAGCAGAAACAGTGACACAACAATTTGTTCCAAAAACTGCTATTGTGAGGGACCCACTTTCTTGTACTTGCTCTTCCAAGAAGTTTTATCTCAAAACTCCTTAAGGCAGACTTCCTCTCATAGACCTTGAAAGGCTGCAAACTGTATATTGTGGGAGATGGAGGGAGCAGGAAAACTGTTCACCAGCAACTGACATACACAATCAGTAAAATGTCTGATATTGCACTACCTCCACATTCATTTCACACTTCACTTACAGTACTTTTAAGAGTTCACAGGCTTGATCCAATCTATTTCTAGTGAATTTCACACCAACTCCAATTAACTAATGTTTAAAATTTTGTTGCTGTTCCTAGAATCTGGATACTGCTGATGTAATATCCTTTTCTTTCTTAGCCTCTGAGGACAAAAGTGGCTGCTTGTTTTCTCCCTTCAAAGCAGATCATGTGGCATATCTGTTCTGCCTTGTCTGTAATTCTTGTCCTCTGTCATTTGCCTCATGACTGAATACTCTTAATACTTTCACCATCCTGTAAAATGTCTTAGTTTCACTGTAATTTATTTTGGTGTAATTCTCTTACAGGATTTAACTCCACAGTGTTTACTAGCCTGTCCTCCATTCACTGCATACCACATGTGCAAAATAAATATGCACTGTACTGCACAGCACCTCAAACACACCAGGAATCTGGCTTTCAGCAAATTGTTCTTGCTTTGCAACATGAATCCATAAAGACTTATGAAAATAACAAATTTGTAATACAATGCTATATTTAAAACCAATTATTTACTTTTCAAGAGCAGTGTATAAAGTCATTTGTCTCGTGCTACAGAATAGTATTTTCATTGAAATATAGTATCAAGATCAGCAGGGGTGTACTCTTTGTCTGCAGATTAGTTCAGGCACTTCTAATGATAGAACATCTCAGAGAGCCTCTAGCAGTCCAAATACTTAGACATACCACTCAGTGAGAGAAACAAAGTACCTTGAACAACACTTGTAAAGTCACGATATAGTTGTTTTTCTGTATGGCATTAGCACACACATGCCAGCATAGACATGGAAATCTTCCCATGTCAGATATCTGCTACACATAATGTGAATTGTGGCATAAAAAAATGTGGTGAGAGGGAGAGTCAAAGTAGAGCTGGGTTGTTACTTCCCTGACTCCTGAAGTTCTTCAGAACTCCTTCCATTCATGGCAGAAATAGGAGTCATAGAGAAAAAGCCTATATGCAAGATTTGTGTGCACTTCCAGCTCTGAGTTAATCTACGTGATATACTTAGAAAGAAATTGCCATTAAGAGACAGGATTATAATAAAAGCAGAAATACGTCAGTAACACTTAAAAATAAATCCACTTCAATACAGATGTAAAATTTCTGACTGGTTTGGTCACTCTTAAAATAATGTTTAATTTCTTTTTCAAATTGGCAAAATAAGCAAGCATATGGTTGCAATCTTTATAGCAGTAATAAAGAATCCAGAATTTGTAAGTTTAATTTGAACTGAAGCTTAAATGATTTAAAGAGAAATTTCAGTGAGACAAATGGTGGGTTTATCTGGCCTGCAGTTCAGTTTTGGATGTGCAGGGACTATCCTGAGAGAAAGGAGCCAGCTGAGTTCCCTCTGCAGTTACATGAACCCAGTGTCCCTGGGACCTACACTGCAGGGCATGAGCTCTTCCTTCTACTGACCTTTCTCCTCAGCTGCAGCTTTCCTGCTACTCCAGGTTACTAATTTAGTTGTGTGTGAGACTGTGTGAATACCAGGGTCTCCAACCCCAGCCTTGAAACCCAGGCATGCAACTAAGCCAGCAGGCACATGCTTGTGGAGTTCAGGTTAATAGTGGAAAAACCAGCTGGGCACAAAAGAGAAGAAATTTGAATTTTCATTCGCAGTGGCTGCCAACTAACGTAAAGTACCCAACAGTCTGAATATTTCTGAACACAAGTGCTAGGCATCTCTTCCAACACACTTTTTATGGTGGATTTATCAATTATTTAGGGACTCGTGATTATTTCTCTTCCCTTCTGCATGGGGGAGAGGAGGCCTGAATCAGTCATATGGGGTTTACTTACTTTTTCTGACTCACGCCAACACTTCAGGATGAATATATGAGCATAGATATCTTCAACACAGATCCAGCTGGAAAGACTGAGAGTGGTGTCAGTCCAAACCCAGTCCATTACTGCTCTCAGCTCGGTCAAAAATGGAACTAGGCGGAACCTGAAGGGAAAGCACATCAGATAACTTGTCAGAAACAGAGGCATCACATCAAACAAGCACAGCAAGTGTATATATGACAAGAGGGAGAATTAAGACAACGTGAAAAGAGCTTAACTTGGGATTCTATAAACACAAATACAATCACATCCTGAAATTGCCACAGCTCGTGTTACTCTACATCTTCTTGCCAGGCCAGAAAACATGCTTATGCATCATTACATCCATAACTGTGATTGAGCCACTGATGAAATAGGACAAGGTTTCCTAGATTCCTCCATCCTGGGAGAGGAGCACATGTTTTCCACAGGATGGTGGGATTAATTTTATACCTCCTTGCATGGCATCTTTGCAGTAGGTGAGTGGCCCTCTGCTGCACATGGAACTGGGGTTTGTGACTCAGGATTAAACAGCAGAAGGGAATCAACAGGAAATCAACACACAAAGAGCAGCTGTTCAAAGGGCATCATTCCCTTTCCTTGTCCCACACTTTCCTGATCAGCCACTTCTCAAAGAGTATTTCATGTGAGGAAAGCTTTCTTCTGTAACTTTTCCTTGGAATGCAAGAAGCCCATACTGCAAATACAGTGAAAAGGCTGAAATAATTCCATTTTTTTCTGTGAAATACAGATATGCTTCAAACTGGCTTTATCACAGGGTCACAGTAACAGTGTAAATGGAGGATGTGGTCTGCCTGTGTAAAACAACCTTTCACTCTGAGGTGATGCTGTGCCTGTTCCTTGCCTTAACACTCTGAACTCCTGAAGAGTTTCAAATGTGCAACACTTCTCAAAGCAAACTTTTTTTTTGTGTGCTTATTTTTAAGTTCCTCTTTCTCAGGTGTGTTGTCTTTCACTCTATTCCTTTCACCTGCTAAGGTAGAGCAGGTAGACCTGCCCCAAAGGTCTCTTTGGGATTTGACACCTTACTACTTTTTAGGACTGCAGACCTAATAACATTATCTGTTTTCTAGCACAATGTGTAGCCCCTATTTCTGTTCACAAAGGCGAGTTCTTAGAAGTGTTAAAAATGTCTGTTTCATAGGGGACTGAATGGCTGACTGGTATATCAGGCTTCTGGTTTCAGACTGAGAGATGGAATTTTATGAAGTTTGCCTTCCAGAAATAGATTTTTTTTTTCTTGTGGGCTACAGGGGACATATGGCATATAGAGAGTGTGCTGTAAAATTTACTATCTTATTTCCAGCAGTCTGTGAAGAAAAGTCATGAATAATCCCAGCATTTCATTATAGCAAATCCTTATTACACAAAAGAAAGAAGAAAGGCAGTAAGTCTGTGCTTACCCTTGAAATAAGAACAGGTTGACATAGTTATAACTTTTTGTGAGGAAGTTGCCAAGAACACGAGTTGGATATCCACAGCGTATCTGATAAGCTGATAAGCCAAAATAAACACATTTCACAAAATACCAGAGCTGGGCAACTGTGTTCTGGCTGAATTTCCTGTAAAGGAAAGGATAAAGGAAAATGATGAGCTTTGTACCTGTGTATGACCAAATTAGCTTGAAATGTTTTTTTGCTCCTGGCAGTTTCCCCTTCCTGAGGTCCTGTGAAAAGGCCTTGGTTGCTGACCCCATGGCAGGGTTAAAAAAGTATTGGAAAGACAAAGGAATGAAAAAATCTAAAACCAGCATCCATTGTCACCTCAGGATCACGGGGTAGAGACTGGGAATAGGCTCCCCAAAGAGTGAAGGCTTTGGGAAGTGCCCTTGTTCTTTCTGGATGCTGCCCAACACAGACCAGTCTTCCTTGGCCCCATGATAGCTCAACCCTCTGTGAGCCCTGGGTAGGGGCTCAGTCAAGACAGCTTTAGTGGCTATTTGTGTTCATGGCAGCACCTCATACAGGAATTTAAGATGGAGTGGCCTCTGAAAACATTTCATAACAAATCTTAATGTGCAATAGAGAAGAGATCCATTTGAAATTTTTTTTTTTTTTTTTCAAATGTGGGCACAATTGCTACAGCACTTTCTTTTTGAGAGAAAGGGAGACTTTTCAGTCTTCCTTTACACTATAAACCTATTTCTTTTTTCCCAGTAAAACAACTTGACTGTTAATGGAGTGTAAGATGCCCGGGTGACACACTCAATTTTCATGGACAGTCAATGGAGTGAGGGAAATACTTCAAGGCAACTTAAAGTAGCAAAAGGGGAGTTAGCCAAACACTAGGGAGGGAACCTTAACACCTCTGCATTGCAGACTGCAGTGGTCAGTGCCCTGAGCCATGAAATGAGAAGTGTTAGATTTGGGAGTGAGCCTGACACAAAATTTCATGCAGCAGGTGACCATTTCCACATCACCTCAAGAGCCAAGTGGCAGGAGCATGGGAGGAGAAATTTGTTCTTCAGAACAGATATATATTTTAGACATTTCTCAGTTTAAAGAGATTTAAATCCACAGTCCACATATTTCAAGAAAGTGCTAAGTTATAAGTTACTCTGGGGGAGACATTTTCTACTTGCTCTTCTAAAGCAGCATGCAGCAGTCTTGGGAGCAGGGAATTGGATCAGAGGCCAACATTGTCTCAGCTGAATGCTCTAATCATTCAATTACAGGCAATTTCTCTTTCACCTGCTTGCATTTTGGCCTGAACTGAGAATATTTCTGAACATATATAACTAATTCTTCCTCAAACTTATATTGGCCACAGTTACTGCTGTGGAAATTCATTCCAACTTTCTGCTTAGAAATGAGGCAAAGAAGAAACTTGATCATGATTCCAAAGCCTAGCTATAAACGTCTCCAATTTAAATACAAAGAATTTGGTAGAGCATCAGTTTTCCACCCATATTGTTTGTTTATAAGGCTTATACCTTTCTGTCACTCCAGGCAAGATAAAGAACATCCAGAAATGTATTCCAAAAACAAGGATGACCTGGAAGATGACTTTTCCCATGACAGTCTTTTTGAGGTACAGTGCTCGATCTACCACCATGGTACCAAACTGAATGAGCACCATCACCAAAAATGCCTCTGGGACCTGGTCCTCTGATAATGAAGAGGTGATATCTGCTGCAGCAGAATGTTTCTGAAAAGCAAAATATAAGGATGGTCAAGGAAAAAGGATATTTGCATGATATTTAGCATCCACAACACATAAATCCTGCTATCCTACAGATAGATGCCTCTGTGACATACCCCAAAAGCCCAAAATCCAAACACAATGATGATGAAGTCCACTGTATCTGCGAGGAACATCAGCACGTACACATCAGTCACTGCACTGTAGTCTGGATGAATAAGATTGTAGAAAAACTGTCTGATGGGCACGTACACCTGGAGAGTCCTAAAACAACACAGACCACAATGTGATTTAATAACACATAACTTGCACTGAAGAAAGTAAAGGCTGAGTGTGGTATGATTATTATTTTTAAAGATATCTAAGATCTACTCTCACAGCCTTCACAGCACTGCAGAGACACCAGCCCTTTGTTCTGATTTCTTCTAAACCACTGTATTAAGATTTGTTCAGTAGAAATATAGATAGCAAATCAAGGTCACATGGGATATTTAGCTTTTTTATCAGGCAGATGCTATTTGAGCAACTGCTGCTTTGTCTCATGTTCAGTTGGTGAGACATCTGCATACAACAAACATTCGAATTAACACCAGTAGCAGCTCACTCCCTTTAAAATGCTGGTTTACTGCTTTACTGTTTGGAACCTCTCCCTAAACCCACACATATTGCTCACTTTTTAATTGTAAAAGCCTTGGCTTTGATCATTTGTTCTCGAAACTTTTCCATGATAAGCTCTTTTCTAGATTTTTGCTTGATGCTTAACACACTGCTTCCCTTCTGACTGCTGTTCCGTGTACTGGTACTCCCTGGAATAAAGGGGAGGGAAAGAGAAGTCAGTTCAAAAGAAAAGTTGAAATACTAAAGCTAGAAAGTAATAAATCTTGTGACGTCCATCTCGTATGACTCCCACATTTGAAAAAAGCTTTGAAATGAATTCTTCTGCTTTTTTTCCCCCAGTATAATAAAATCTTGAGAGCATCCAGTAAAGGTTTAATCACTGGCAGATCAAAACTTGATTAATAGCTATAAAAAGAGAAAGTAGACTAGTGATAAAAGCAAGTATTTGATTGATCTGACTCAGTCACCTCAATTGGTATTACATATATTTAGGCTAGAGTACCCCTGCCCTTTGTACAATATGGGACATATAATCTGTTTCAATATAACTAATAAAAACATTTTCTTAATTCAAGTGTCTACAAATGTAGATATGAAAAATACGTGTGCTTTGCATTCTCTGTAGCTGGAGATTATGCTGGACCAGAGTTTCTGGATCTAGGCCACACTGAGCATTCCTTTCCCAGCTTTTGGATAATGCAATTTAAAAAACCTAATGAATCATAAAGTATGGCTCTCCATTTGAACTTTAGGAAGGCTTGGAGTGTGTTCAAACATGAAGATACATTGGTTCATAATCTACTTCATCACTGAGAAGCAGCAGCATTCAGTAGCCCCTGGGAGCTCCTCAGCAACCACCCCAAGGTTTCAGTAGAATGGGAAATGAACATTTGTCCTTCAAATCCCAGAAATGCCATGACATTTACCTCTCTTAGATCTGTGTGAGGAGAAGCTGGACCTGTGAGAAAGCTGGGATATGCTGCTGGAACTCTTCCTCCTGATGGCAGTCTGCTGCTCTGGGAAGTGGACATGGATGGACTCCACGGATGCGGCAAGATTGACAGATTTCAAAGAGGCAGAAGAGTCTCTCCTGCCTCCTCTCAGGGAGAGCTCATCATCAGTATCCTCTTTATTACTGGAGCTGTCTCCTTTCTCATCTTCATCCCACAATCCATGGCACTAGTAGATAAACAATGAGAGAACATATCAAGCCTGTATTTCTGTCACAGTATGTATCACAGGCATTGCTTAGCTCAGTCATGTGTTCACAAGGGAGAAAACAAATTCAATGTGTTGGGATGTCATAGAAACATTTAGATTGTAGAAGTTCTTTAAGATCATCAGTTCACCTGTTAACCCAGCACTGCCAAGTCCACCACTAAGCCACGTCCCTCAGTGTTACATCTAAACATCTTTAAACACTTCCAGAGATGGTGACTCACTTCCCTAAGCAGCCACTTCAAATGCCCAATAACCCTTTCATGGAAGAAATTTTTCCTGATAACCAAATGAATGACTTCTTTGTATCACTCGAGTGATTAAAAAAATTAAAATTAAAAATTAAATATAGAATAAGAAACTACCTGAACCCAGATTACCTTTAAAATGGATCTGTGGAAGAATAAAGCAAGAAGCTGAACAAGATCATAGTGCACATATCCCTCCTTCTTCTCAATGCCAATAATATTGGGTGGATGGTAAGGTTTATCTTTTGTGTAATCCACATGTTTATTCCAAGGAAAGAAGCCAAACTGGAAGAAGTATTTGATGACAATGGCCACCTGTTCAGAAACACAACACACTTGGGGTGTTTTATAAACATGTCAGATATAATAGCCTCATGACAGTAAGAGGGATAAAATATGACTACTTTGTCAGTTTTATGAGAACATAAACAAGCAAACTCATAACTACAGAGGAATAACGCTTCACATTTCTCCAGTAATAAAATCAATCAAAATTCACCAACAGATGATACTCAGTGGTACTTGAGATACCACAAGCAGTGAATTCTGTCTCTTGATTAACCATTACAAAGCAACGGTTTGCAAATAGTCTTTTCTTGTAAGAACTGCTTTACATGCCAGAAAGGCTATTGCTCGTTCCAATGAAGGAAATAACAAACAAGATCTTTCCATACTACAAAAATTGCTGAGGACTTTAACAAATACTTGTATTATTCCGAAGGGCCAAAGCCCAGCCCAGATCCCAGAGATCAAAACCAGCAAAGGAACCATGCAAAGACTACAACTTCAGATTTCTGTGTTAGACATGGGCGTGCAAAAGCAGCAGCATACCTCAGTGTAGACAATGGCTGTCATCCAGAAGCGCTTGCTTGGCCGAGGAACAGACAGCATGGCCCACAGGAATATAAGGATGGGAAGCACCAGGGTTATCATGGAGGCAGAGATCATGTGGTTAAGGATGATCACAAAATAGCACACCATTTCTGACCGGGCCACCAGTGTATTGTACAGGGCATAAATAAGCAGCAAGACTCGAGGCTGACCAACATAGAACTTCTCTGACTCCTCCAACTCATCATCATGAAACATCCTGTGGGGAGCAGAGTACCACAAATAAGCTGAACATGAACTTCACAAGAGCTGCTTTTGAAATTGCTACTATTTTCCCTTTTGAAAAGTATTTAAATATGCTGCACAGTCCAATGGAAGAAAAAAAAAAGCTGGGGATTTGGAGTTATAATCAAATAGCCTGATTCTAAGCTCAGAAAACAAGAATTTGAGGCAAAATAACTAGAAGCACTCTTCTGCTGTTTCTTAATTTTTAATCTCTCAGAAAAAGAATCAGCCTGGCCTAAGCACTTCTACAAACACGTCTTTTCTGCAGCTGCCCAGCCAACATATCTCATGCAAATCACCCAATACTGGTGTGGATTCACATCTGATTTATCAACACAGATAGGAATTTGGAGAAAAATCAGACCTATGTTCTGAATCATCCAGAGGCATAAGATTAGAACATAAAAAATGCCCATGAGCATTAGATGTGTCCAATCTTCTATTTATATGACTCAAATAAATATAAATGACAGTGACTTTCATATACATTCGTAATCCTCTCTGTTTTTCATAAAGTTTCGTGGCCTGAGAAGAGATCTTGCTGAAAAGAAAAAATTACAGTGGAAAGCCAGAAGACAAGCTACTGCATCTGACAAAGTCAGATCTATACACCCTCTCTCTCCAGGTGCAGGCAGGCTGAAAGGCAGTTCTGTGGTTTAAGATTTTGCCCTTGCATTTGGGGAAGCCCTCCTCAACTGAGTCAGGCCAGAGAGCAGCTGAAGATTGCAGTGGCACCATGCCCACTTCAACGAAGGTTGTGCTACTGAGCACAGTATCTAGAGGGCAAAGAAGGGAACATCCTCTCCCTTATGAAAGCACCTAGCAAGGTGGTGTCTCTCCATAACCCTCAACTCTCACTGGCTTAAACAAAAACAGTAATCCAAAATAATTAAAGGAGGAGCATTTTCCCAGATAGCCCTGGAGGAAACTCATTTGAAATCACAGCTGCCTGGAGAAGAGAACCCTCTCCCCAAAGAATATTTAAAAAAGCCCTTGACTCCAAGACAATTGCAGCACAGAAATTCAATGCTAATCAGAACAATTAAATATGGAGTCTAGGAAGAAAGTAGAGATTTCTTCCAAGATGAATTTGAGTCACTTTAGAAATCTCTAATTAGAACAACTGCACAGGAAATGAGCTTCTGCCCTTAAACTAAACTTAGCACAAGGTCTGTGTCAGAATTTGTAGGCTACTTCTGAGACAAAACCCCAAAGTAATAACAAAATTTTACACATTGTGATCAACAGATTTTCCTGGTTGAGGATTCTTACTTGTTGAGGAGCAGCTCACTAGCTGTTAGCTCGTGTGTCAGCGGGGGCAGAATCGTGTCAAGTTTGTCCGTCCGACTGTCGTCCGGGCTCACCATCATGAGGCTCTTCCCAGCTGAGTCATCTGGGGAGCCAAAGGGAAGGTGCTCAAAGCTGACAGCTTTGCTGTAGGAAGGCGGAGCTTCTGCATTGCTGTCCACTGTGGAGTACAATGGCACATCGGTATCAGGAGTATATGCAGCTCCTTCTGAATCCAGGCTATAATCTTCCACATCCTCTTCCTCCAACCTTGATGCAGAATGAGCTCCTTCTTCTTCATGCTCCCCTTCTACCTCCTCAATGGTTTCTGTGGTCCCCTGACGGGAATAGAGCATGGTGACCTGTGTGGGCTCACTGTTGGAGATGGATGAAGAGAGTCAGCTGAGTTTTACAAGACTCATGATCAAGCAAACTTTGTTAATTGTACCTTTATGCAGACAGTTGAGCAACCTCATTGCATTCACAGGCCTTCAAAGTTCATATGATCTGGTAGAAAACATATAATACTGATCTCCTCTTACACAGATGGAACATCTGGGTCCATCTGTTCCATGAATGACATCTCACTGAACTCACAGTGATTCACGATCTTTTAACACCAGCAAGGGGCAAATTAATATTATCAACTCTACCTTTCTGAAAGTAGTTCAGACATTTCTGAACAGTCAACACTTGCTATTCCATCTATTTAAGATATGCTCCATGGTGAATGATAGGCAGCCATGGGATACCTTTTAAACATGATGCTTTTAACAACAATTGTATGAGTGTTGTGTACAACTAGAACATGAACTGAACACATATATCAACTCTGATTCAAATAAAAGAACATGTAACTTGCTAGCATGAAGAAATACAAACCAAACTGTTCCAGTAACAGGTATCTTGCTTACCTTTAGATTGCCCTATGTTCTTCAATTACCTGTCTGCTTTACTTCTGTGTGTACCTATTTCTGGGTTCAACTCTCTGATACACTCTGATCAGTTCTTTGCTTGATTAACCTTCCTTACTCTTGGCTTTGCATAGACTCAGAGTGGTTTGGGTAGGAAAGTACCTTAGAGATCATCTAGCTCCAGTTCCCCAGCCATGGGAAGGGGAACCTCCCAGTAGACCAGGTTCCTCAGAGCCACATTCAACCTGACCTTGAACCCTTCCAGGGATGCAACATCCACAACATCTCTGGGCAACCTGTTCTAGTGTCTCACCACCCTCTGCATGAAGAATTTCTTCCTAATATCTAATCTAAACCTGCCCTCTTTTAATGTACAGCCATTTCCCCTTGCCCTATCACTCCATGCCCTGTAAAAAGTCCCTCTCCAGCTCTCTTGGAGCCATCCTTTAAATATTGGAAGTTCACTCCATGGTTTCCCTGGAACCTTTTCCTCTCCAAGATGAACAGCTCTCTCAGCCTGTCTCCATAGGAGTGGTTGTAATCAGCCCTCTGATTACATTTGTGGCCTTCCCTCTCAAGTATTTTTTTTACCTCCTCCTTTGAAAATCGCTATTTCTCTTTTTAGTCTCATTCCACTCCTTCTTCACAGGTTAGACAACAGGCACCAAACCAGTGTCTGTTGGCTGCATATCCCTGTATCTCAACAGAGACAAAACAAGATTTCACATAGCTCCTATGAAATTAATGGGGCCATGTTTTCACATAAATGATGACCTTTTAGAGAAAACTGGCATTGACAGAGCCATCTGGCACTATCATCTTCTTCCAAAATTAAAAATTAAGTTTTTTTCTTTTACACTGCTCCCAAACTTATTGTGGCTATGTTAGATCACGTTATTTGTAGCAGAGTTTTAATGATGATGATGTGTGTTTGGATGATTCACAGCAGCACTCATCCTGGTTAAAATGTACAAAATCGTAGAATTCCATAATTTCAAAACTGATTGACTCAAAAAATTTATCACACACTTTCAAAACTGAAAAATAATGATGTAAAATTACATAAAATTTCATTATTAAATTAATTATTAAATTAATTTTTATGAACGATTGAATTATTTTTAAATTATTGAAACACTGCTTCCCAATCATGTAAATCCCACTAAAAAGTGAATGAACAGTTATGAACAGTTTTCTCTTGCACTGGATATTAATATTATTTGCTGTTTTTTTCATAGCTATTTTCCCTTTCTAAATTCCAACACCTTACTGTAAATCAATGGTAAAGTAATCAAAACATATTTCAAAATCTTTCCTATATGGAGAATAAAAACTGAAAAGCTGGCACAATGGTGCCTTAGTTTCTAAAATTACACATCTCAGCCCATATTTAGGATAACTGATTAGCTGAGAAACTTAACTTCCAGCTTCCAATGTAAGAACAAGCAACTCAGTAACTCTGAAAATAAGATACTTTTCTAGCTCAATAAATACAGACTTTAGCCTGTTTTTAAACACTCAGCATAATGTTATGGAACAACTTTAAAAAATACAAAAATTGAGGATGAAAAAACAGAACAAGAAGTGAAACAGCAAATGAATCCTCGATTATGATCCTGACTCTGAATCTCAGAACCGTGCCAGGACACAGGAGGGAGTAATGCTTCCTGTAACCATGCAAACCACTCTGCACACCACGTGTCTGCAAACACAGATCCACGTACACTGCAGTCAGAATAATGGTATGGTGTGAACATATAGTGAACAAAGCATGCATGAGTTAAGCACCTTGACACTATACTGCCACTGTCAGCTGATGAGGAGGACATATCCATGCTCTGCATTTTACGAAGCCTAGGTCGAGCGCGCTCACTTGTTTTAGGAACAGAGTCTGGTCCATCTAAATCATCAAGGGTTGACTGCCTTGAGAACAGCATGGTTGCTTCAGTGTAGCAGCTACAGCAGCGCAAACAGTTATAGAGACAGTGTTAAATACAAGTGATGGTATGATACACACGGTTCAGTAAAGAGATCTGCTCGCCATGCAGCTAAACACTGACACAGAGAAAAAAGGTTCAGAGAGAAGATAAGGATTTGTTTTAGAGTCACAACAGAAACACATCTCTATGCACAGGTTAGTCATGATCAATTTCATAAAGGGGCTATAGAAGGCCATCTATTCACGATTCAAGCAGATATGGAACCAACATAGTTCTCTACATGCTTTCCAGGGGAACAGACTTACACACATGAGCAGGTTTTATTTTGTTTGTTTACCCCTGAAATTTCCAGATTCCACAAGGATGTTTTAGGAAGGGACCTCCTCTGTATAAATTCTGTTTTATTATTGATATACTGTGCTGAGCCTTTTTACACATGTAAAAGCCAATTTCCTAAAAGAGCCCTTAAAACTGAGTAAGCTCATATTCCACAAATAGAAAAAAAGCTGTCAGACATTGGCTAATCCTCTTTCCAAACCACAGGGCCAAATCGGATATGTTACTTAGCCAGTAAAATGCATGCCAAATGTAACCTGCTCTGCATGGGATGGCTTTTATTTTGATATTTACCAGGAAGCCCTGATGATTCTTCCCATTAGATTTCATTTATTTCAATCACAGCTTAAAAGAATTTCAAAATTGGTAACGTGCATTTTCAAATAAAGAACAGATATAATAAACCCTTATCTCCTTTCACTTATCGAATACAACAGGACACCAGAGACATACACAATACATTGAGCATTCATGTGTAACTGGAGAAAAGAACAACTGGATGAGTTATGAGAAAGAAAGTACATAATTAAATACAAGCATTTAACAGAGCAACAGGAAAGAAGCAAATACATTAATGACATATGGTAGGTAAAAAGATTATTTCTCCTGTAAAAATCTTTGACAAACACTGATGCCAATGAAATGAGTTGAGTGGCCTGGTACTTTAACACATGCTGTGACCTGCCTGAGTCTCTCAGATAGAAGGAAAGAAGAAAAGACCCCAAAATTCAGGATTTACACTCTACTTTTCTTCTTTTGACTCCATTTGTATTACACCTGAGCAGTGGCAGCAGGGGATTTGCTTCCTTGGCAAGCATGATGTTTGTCCAGGGGCACAGAGAATTGGGAAAGAGGTCAGAAAGGAAGGGCAATGGCGTTTTCCACGTTCCTTTGGTCTTGCTAACTTGAAGTGAGAAAAAAAAAATCTGCTGGCATGAAGTTACAGTCTGCAACTATTGCCTTTAGCAAAATGGGGAGGAAAGAGCAGAAATATGTGGAGAGAAGAAGCAGTTAGTCTTAGGCCTGCCCTCACTGATGATCTTTTTTGACAGAATGGCCTTTTTGACTGAGGCTAAAAGCATACTTTGGCCTTTGAACAGAAGAAAAGAATCACCAAGATACCAAAGGTATTGCAAAATATTTTCCCTAAGAACCTCCTCAATGCCAGGGGCACCTCTGTCCTGCCAGTTCATTGGCCAGAACCTCGTACAAGCCACTTCATTATTTCTGTGTTTGCACAAAGGCACATAAGGCCCTCCAGACAAAGCCTGGAGGGCTGTCTGGATGGTGCAGGGTTTATGATAGGGGACCAGGAGGTCTGCCCTGGAGGTGTGATCCAGCAGCATAGGAGCTCAGTTAAAGCTTGGTGTTACTAACCTGAGAGGCTCCTGAGGGAGGAGGTTTCCCTCTACACATACAAACATGGGATATAGCCAGGCTGTTGTTCTATCAGTGAGGTTTTGGTGCTAAAATATGGGAAGATGGCAGCAAGCAGACAATACAGCTTTGCAGATGACCTTTCTGTCTGTGTGTTATGATGTTTCATGCATGTGTCATTTTATATCTCAAGGGCTGAGTTTATTCTTTTGAGGGCCAACACCTAATAATAAGGTGTTGAAGGATTTCAAATGCAGACATAGTTCAAAGGGAACTGTCCAAGGGACTTAAGCAGAGCAGCTGTTTATGTTCACATGCCCATTCATATGTTTTCAATGGCAGAAACATGCCAGCTGCCCTCCCAAACATGCCTGCTCTGACCTCGCTCCCACAAAAATCAAAGGGAAAAGCATCTATTAATCCCAATAGATAAAAACATTTGTCTGAACGAGGCCTGCAACCTTTGGTTTAAAGCTGTTTTAAATGAAGAATAAATCATCAGAGTAATTACTGACTGAGAAGCTGCACTGTATCCTTGAATATCAGGAGATGTGTGTGAGTTGTCACCTGTAGCACTGTCTGTGTATTTTTAATGTGCTTTAGGAGCAGTCTTTCAAACATGAAGGAAATGAGAACACCAACAAAGTGGAGAGATGCACACTGAGCAAAGCTGATGTTGACTCAAGTCATTGCCATCACATAAATTTGAGCCAAGCATATCTTCCTAAATGATTTTTTGAATTTTGTGTTGGAGACCTTGAAAGCATTAACTTCTTAAAGTCATTCAGTGACTACATATTTTAAATTGAATGCTCATTAAAAGCCCCAAGTTCAAACATTTATATAAAGTTGATCAGGTATCCATTTTAAATAAGGATACATATACAGCAGAGATGTTTTTATCCTCAGTGAGTAGGAAATTTTTAAGTTTATGGCTTCCTTTTTGCTAAACAAATTTACCCTTCACAAAGAGTTTTTCAGCTTAGTGGGTGAATTACAATTTTTTCTGGGGTTTTTTTGGGTTTTTTTTTTTTTTTTCTGTCCATACGCTAAGTACTGACTGGCATTATCTGTTTATTTTCTGTATTACTACATTCCCCATGACTCCAAAAAAAAATCCCAATCAATCCCTAACAATCACAGGCCTAAATTGGACTTTGATCCAGCCCAAACAGGGGTTCTCCTTTCATCCTTCCTTCTGCCTCTTAGGCAAAATTACCTCTCCAGTACTCCCTGCCCCAAGCCCTATTCTGCCTTCTAGTGAGGGAAGCACAGATAAAAGGTGGTGCTCTTAAACACCCTGACAGGGATTCCCTCCTTCAGCTCCTATAAAAGTCTACACAAAGGTAGAGTGAGGAACTGAAAATGTTATTTGTGATGGGCAAAAATGAATACAAACTGAACTGGATACAAAACCTTAGATAACCTGAAGTCTGCCTTAGGACCTGTGTGTGGCTGCTATTACATAATTGTAGGCAAAGCTCCAGAACGGCAGCCAACTAGTTTAAGTAAATTCTCAATCATCTTACTGAAATTCACAGGTTTTTTAACCTAATAAAGAGGTCATCAGTCAAATGGACACAAACTGCAGCAAATGCTCTGCCATCATAGATTCCAATCCATTCTAGAGGTGCTCCTCAAAGAGTTTGGTAAAGGAACAGCATCAGTCCCTTCACCTGGCCCATATGGACTTTGTGCTTTGACTTCAGGATACATAAGAATATCTATACATAAAGAGAAACCAAACAAATACCTTAAACAAATACCTCATAATTTCTACTGTGTAGAGAAATTGCTGAGAATAAATTACAGCCCTACTAAAAGAAAAAAAACCACAAAGGACACCCTACATAAGTCTTTTCAAAGTTTATCCAGGCTAAGAGCAACATCCCTTGATTAGACTTATGAGGGTCATACCTGAACTTCACACACAAGAAGTTTACAGTTCCTGCAGCTGATCAGGAGGGTTTTCTATCTGTTGGATGCCAGAAGTCTGGAGTTTTTGAGCTTTCTGTGCTTTCAGGCACAGAAAGCTCAGAAACTCCAGATTTCTGGGATCCAACATCTATGCAGTGTTTACCTACAGTAATCCCTATCCTGAGCACTGAGGATTCTGTCTTATTATAATGGAATAGTATCTGTGCTTCAGCATTCCTGTGTGCTTCCAGACTTGTTCATCTTACTCAGGGACATAATGTCCACTACAGAATTTGGTCACTACAGAATTTTCAGTAGTGCAACCAAAGGATAACCAGAACAGAAATTCTCTGCCCCTTCCCAAAAGTCTTCCTGAGATCCACGATCACAGGGATGCTTTAGATTTAATTAGTCACTTCTACATTTATTGGAAATCATTACTTTAAAATACAAACTGCCACCTGCTCTTGTTTGGGTGATTAAAAAATCCATCAATAAAATCATAAGAAGTCTAAAACATTATACTTTTATAAAAAATGACATAGGCACTTCTGTAATTCCTTGATGAGATATGCAAGAGTGCCCCAATAGACAGATGGCATTATCATTCAATCAACAGACTCATTATTGCTTCCTCTATTATTAGAGCAGATGTCCACAATTCGTAATACTGAGTGCAAGAATATTTGATTTTTCATTACCAGAAAGAGAATTTGAGATTAGAGAAATCAGTCATAACTCTGCCTTTGCTATTCCTTTGTTTATAAACCCTGTGACATCTTCAAAGGAAATGGAGATGACAGAAACCCATGTGAAAGATTTAACATTTCTGTTGCAAAGCATCACCACAGAATAATTGAATTTTCTGAGTTTGAAAAGAGATTTTAAATGTGCAAGTGTGCCTAAAGCAGGGTGAAAAATAGGTGGTTATTCTGAAAAGAAACCCCAGAATAACAAAACACAAATTGAGCTCAACATTGAAAACCATCTAATTGAAGAGGCAGAATCTATACACTGAAATTGCAAGATTTTATTTTCTTTTTTGTAATTAATTTTGGAATTGGCTTCCTTTTGTTTATGGTTAAAGTTCCTGCTAATGATTGTATAATAATTAAACTTCTATCTGTAGTAAACAGGATGACCAAAAACTATTTAATGAAAGCAGGATTGATATTACTATTCATTCTTCACGTGAAACTGAACTTTGTGGAGTTAAAATCTGCCCTGCAGATATCAAAGTGGGTCCAAGTGAGCTGGCAACAGAATTTGACTTTACATTTTTCTCACATCATCTGACTCCTGTAAAACTCTGAGACAAAACACAAAGGTGTTGCTCAGCTGGGCAGAAAGCCACTGAGAAAGATTTGCTCAGATTTGGTGTTTTTTCTGGAGTGAACTTCTCAAAGACCAGTGCTCAATGAAGAGCAATTTGTGGATATTTTGTCGAAGCATAATACTCACAGGCACTCTCTTACCCTTGCTTTTCAATACTATCAGAAAGGAAGACAACTCCTCATTATTTTCAGTCTGCTGACATCCACCCATATGTCATTAGTAAAAGCTATGCATAATTTACTGTACACAAATTTTCTGAGTTTGCTGGGAGTATCAAACATAGTATGATACTGTCACAATTCACAGAACAGGACACAGCAGAAGGCCAGAGATTATGAAATAGCTGGATTTCCAAAGCCCTTCCTTCTCTCCCTCATGTTATACAAATTCTGCAGTATTTTAAAAGTCAAGAACTCCAGGGACATGGTGAGAACAGACTGCCTCTGTAAGAGAGGGAAGTGAATGTGTGTGCCTCTGTGTGCATGAAGCAGCAGGAGCAGGCAGTAATTCTGGCAAGGGACTTGATGGCATCCGTTTCCAGAAAAGAATGAGGAAGGTGGTTTTCCTGAACTAGTTTGGGTATTTGATTAACAAACATGTAGCTCTGCTGGACTGTAATCATGGCAGTTGGGAAACCAGGGTCTTCAGATGGTTTTTGCCCTTTGTGTATGAGAGGGGATTTTGGTATTTCAATTCATAATCTCTTTCAATCCAAAGCCTTTTCTGATTTGTGGAAAACAAATGACAATTTATTTTACAAAGGAAAAATATTCACAATGAATGATCCCTCCCCAAATTACATGCCTGAATTCCTAACACATTATCCCAGAAGCATCCTCAGCACCTCTTATGTTCCATTGCTTTTCACAAGAACAGATTTCCAATGCCAATGACTCCTAATTCTAGGGGAAACTAAAAGCAGTGGGGTAGCCATGCAGTGGAAAAGAAGCCATCAACTGAGTCCATCACTATAAAGGAATAGTAACATATAGTAACTTCACTATTAAGATGGTATGGAAAAATCAAAAAGAGAATTCAACATTGATTAGAAAAATTCATCAGTACTTAGACAATATCTAGTATTACACCTGCTGCATGATCCCTCTGTCTTTCACAGAATAAAATTAAATCAATACCTGGAAATGCTGTCATGAGATGCTGCTGAATCTAAACTATCCATTCTTTCAGATGCTTGCAAACCAGAAGCTTGACTGGGATTTTTATCAATTGAGTCCAGTCCTGACTCTTCAGAAAGTTTCATCATATGGTTCTGGTAATACAAATGGATGCTCTCCCGTGTCGGAACATTTCCCTGTGGAGGAGAGTAGAGGTAGACATACGTGGCCAGGGGGAGGTGCATTCTTTGAGGAACCAGTTTCTTCTGTCATTTGGCAAGCAACAGATTAAGGACAGTGCAAACATCTTCCTAGTAAATAGCCAACTCCCACCTTTTCAGACTGCAAGTCAGATTTTGTCTTAACCTACCATGGCCCAAAGTGTTTGGTTTTCAAGCAAAACTGGAGCAACCCATGTGGTTTCAGGCTATATTTAGCCACCACAACTCTGCTGGATGGACTGCAGATCCTTCAGCATTGGAATGAAGAGTGGACTGCACCCATGACTCAATCTGCACTCCAGCAACTTTTGATGGATCTCTTTTAGATAGCTTTACTGACTCTAGGAAAATTTATTAGTAGCCAGTAGCAGAATTTTAAAACAGAAAAAAAGCCCAAGGAACAGGTAATGTACAAACTGATCTAGATTTTAATTAGTGTCCCCAAATCAAAATTTATTAATGTATTATGGACACAGATGGAAATCCATGAAAAAAACACTGAAGACCTTTATTCTTCTCTGTGACTTCACAATCAAGCAAATTCATGAAAAGATGGTTTTATTAACTGTCAGACCAGATCTGGGAACACAATCAAGTCTTTCTGGCTGTGATATTGTAATCAGAATTTTAAAGGTGTATCATAAGAATAAAACTGAGAACTTTCTGTTCTTAGGCAGAAACACATCCAACTCATTCCACTGGTGGGTGCATTGACTTCAGATGGTACACTGAGAGGAAGGATTGCTACTCTTCAACAGTAATTTTTCTAACTTATAATGAAGCATTATGCAAGGACTTTTCCCACCTAACATAATAAAAGTAGTCTAAAATATTGTCTGTATTTCTTTTACAAATTTAAATAGTTTGCAGTATTTCAACTCTGTTCCTCCACAGAGTCTCAAAACTACAATACTCAAAGTCTGATGTTTTGTGACAAAAAGAGTTAAAAAGTCTTAAGAACAAAATTTGACACTCAGTTTTTTAATTAGGTACGTTTGTATACAAGATATGTTGCTTCTGCAGTGACAAATATTGGTGGCATTATGACATCCTGACTTTGAAATGATGGCACAAGTTACATTACAGCTCCACTGCAGGCCTGGCATAAAGGATAAGAGCTGTATCATCTACTTGCATTTGGGAGATCTAAATACATTTCTAGTTACACTAACAACATTAATTTCTGCTAATAACAGAGATGATTTCCAATGAAAGTTAATCTACAAAAAGAGTGAAATATGCAGAGTGAGGTAGTTTTTGAGCTGTTTAAAATGCCAGCCTTTTTCTCCCTTCTTGAATCTATTGTGTCCCTTCAGAACCACACTATACTACAGAAGCGTTTCAGCCAAAACCTTACATCAACCTCTCACAGAATTATTTTTCCCTTAATTTGTTCTGTGTCCAGGTAATAAAACAAATAATTTATTATTTAAGGATTTATAAACCAGCAAGTAGTAAAAAAGTCCAGACTTATTTTTAAAATGCACATGTAGGTGACATTTTCATAATTTTCCTCCTCACTGCCATGATCTGAAAAGACAGCCTTTTGTTTTTCAGTGAGCTGGAAATGGCATTAGCAGACAAAAAGGACTGAAGGTGTTACCTTCTTAATCTCCCTGGTCAGCATACAGCGCTCGATCCTGAGCACAGTGGAGATATCGATGTGCTCTCTGGAGATGGAGTTGAGCCAAGCTGTGAAACTGTCCAGCGTTGCCAGGAAAAGGACCCAAGTAAACTTCAAGATATTAAATATCCTCTTGATGATGTTATCTGAGGGACAGCAAAAGCAACAGAGAGCTAATGAACACAAATGTCTTTTATTGTACTTTTGCCTGGAGTTAGATTAATTTTTCTTTTATTGTCTAATAATAATAATAATCCAGGCTGTGAAACCCTGTCATACTAAGGAATCTTTGAAGATGGCTGGAGGCCTTTTGGCTGTCTGGACAATTTTCCTGACTGTATGCCTAGGCTTATCATCTGGAATCCCTTTTCCACCCTGTAAGTCCTTAGTCCTGCAACCATTAGTCAAATAAACAGATTTTAGAGGGACACCGTATGCGCAAGTATGTGAAATAAAACCCAAGGATTTAGGCATCTCCTGAGAATATTAAACATCCCCAGGTCCTGTGATCTCAACAAGTGCTCAATCAGTGTGTTAAGCTGCACCTCTTCAGCGTCTAATTACCTGTGTTTCTCTCTGCACATACTTTGCCTTTTGTGCTTGAACCTGCTAAGCTGCATTTTAAAGTCTAAATTGCCTAAACAGTTTTTGAATCTGTTTCATCACTCATATCACTTTGAATCACACTTCTCTGTATTTACTGTTTTCAAAGCCTCTGTTTATCTAAGTAGGCTGCACTGTGCCATCAATGATCTCAGATCAACAAGCACAACTAGGACAAATAATAATATATCAGACTTTATTTTTGCACCATTTTGGCAAAACAGTAGACTTTCCCATGAATAAGGCTTTTGGGTGTATACCAACAATAGTAGCTTTATTTTGCTCAACACATCTGTCTCAAGTTAATTTCTCACTTCAGTAGTTCATTTGGCATTAATAATGGGATTTCTCATCCAAAAAACAGCACTTTCAACTTATTTTTTATCCAGTCACAACATAAACACCACGCTAGAGTTCTCATATGGTATTGCAAGTGTTCAAGGCCAGGCTGGATGGGGCTCTGAACAATCTGGTCTAGCAGAAGGTGTCCCTGCCCATGGCTGGAGGGTTGGAACCAGATGATCTTTACTATCCCTTCCAACACAAGTTATTCTGTGATTCCATGAATCTATGAAATACTAAAAAAATTATTTCCAATAGCCAATTCCAGAGCTGGTTGTCCCTGCTAGGTTCCAAACCCCAGAGCACTGGGTGTAACGACGAATTTTTGATTAAGCAGCCTAAGAAATAATAGAAAACTGTCAATAATCTGCCATGCATGATGTTCTCAACAACCTCACTTCTCAGCTGTACCACAAGATGGCACGAAAAACTCTGCAGAATGAGAGCACAGCTCCTTACAAAGACTGCAAAAGGAAAGCTATAATAAAGTAAAAGACTTCCCTATACAGGCAGAGTTGTTGCAAGCACATTCATGTGGAGAGAAACTATGGGAAAAAATCATTAGGGGTACTTTCCTGGAGAGTGGGTGCTGAAGTAAAATGTCCCCTTTACCTGAGCAATGCCATGGAACTGGTCTGCTAGCACTGAGCATAAGAGCCTTTAGCACCCTTCACTTGGTCATATAATTATTTCAATAATATTTTTCCCTTTTTTTCCCAGGTCTTTTCTATGTCATTTAGAATTGTAGACATTTTAATAAGCTATCCACTTAAATTTTATTCATCCAATGTACGGGTCTTGAAGTTAAGGAAATCCTGCCATTAGAAATTGAATGTAAAGCTGTTTCTACTTCAAGGATCATTCATTACCTTGGAATTCATTACCTCGAATTCCAGACAATATTATGAGTAGGTGAAAAGAGAACAGCACAAATACACAGAAATATATAGCACATATTCTTTTTCAACCCACATTCTTCCTCTCTGATATGTAACTTCTGCTACTCACTTCAAGAGAAGTCAGTGCTCTCAGGTTAAAATTATTTTTATTATTGACCACCACTGGCCTGGCATAGTGTCACCATGGTGCCAAGTACTTCCAGTCTAATCTGAAAGGTCATTTTTCTCCCTGGGTTGGAGGTGTCTTAGCATACATTTTTAATGACATAGTAGCTATTCTGGCACCTTTGCTGTTCTTCAAAATTTTTAGAAAATAATCTTTTGAGGATCAGTTGCATCTAAACATCTTCAAAAAGGGAAACAAGAGAAAGCTTCCCTCTGCCTTAGAGTGTGAAATAGGATTCAATCTAAGGTTACCAATGATTCCAATGACTTATTACCAATTACTGGCTATTTTTTCTAGGCATCTTCTTTAACAAATTTTACCTAGGAACAGACAAAGTATTTCATCACTTTAATTTTATTTCCAATATAAATTAATTATAAACCTCCATATTTTTCCCCTAACTCCTGCTTAGCACCAACAGTACATCCCTAGACATGCATTTGTATGATTCACTTCAATGTTTTAAAATAGATAACTGCATTGCCAGTAAGTAACAAATAAAAAACCTACCAACCCTCCCCAGTTCTCATAGCAATGCAGCTCATTTATTTGGGACGGCTGCTCTCATGAGATAGAAATGGTATCTCCCACATCCTTTTAGCCTCTTCTACCCTGTAAGTCACTCAGGGACACAATTCTAACTGGAACTGTGGGAAACAATTTTATATACAGAAGAAATGCAGCTGTTGATGATAAAGTCTAACTCCAGGTAAGCCATGATGAAGATTTACTTAAGAGGAGAGTCTGCTTTCCTCTTTTACTCCAGTTAGAAACCAGGAGCCAAGCTTGGATTTATGATCTATTACATTTCTTTATAGGAAAAATTTGAATGTGGGCAAGATCCTGAAAAATCCTGGCATTTCTTCTGCTGTACAGAACTGCCCTAAACCTGATTTTGAATGAGAGCATGCAAGATCAGGAACATATAATTGTTTTAGTGGTGATTACTGTGCCTTGCTGAATGGATAAGTACCATGAAAAGTGTTACACTAACCTTGCTAAAACAGACTCAAAATCAATGGAGATTTCAACACAGGGCAGTGTGCAATCAGGTCTGGAATCTTAACTTAAGCTGCTCTAAGAGTAAGATACACAGCAGTGATCAATTCTGAGCTGGCAGGTTTATTTGCTAAAGCATTTAGAGAGTGAGTACAGTAGCTAATAGTCCAGAACTAGAAGTTCCTATGCTCAAGGCTTGTAAATCTTGCAATAGAAAATCTGATAGTAGTTAGCTCTTACTGCATGAGTCAGAGTGAATCATTGCAATGCTGTCTCTGTGACAGGCCACTGGTCACAACTGCATTTTAACAGCAGAGAAACCCTCTGCCTTCATACCTGGTCCATCAGATTTCTTTTTGACAGGTTCCTCTTCGCTGTCCTCACAGTCTGCATCATTGCCACCTCCTGAAATTAATGATCAAACCAGTGAGTATTACAACTACAGAAGTGCTGGGGTAAATGCCATTCAAACCAGAAATGCTACAGTTACTAAGCAGTAGGGGCTGGTTCCTCACCTACCAACTAACAGAAAGCACATTTCCATTTCCAAAGCACCCAAGTGAAGGGACAGCCCTGTCAGTGACGGTGTTTGTTCATGGATGGCCATCCCTCTCTTGCAATTTGCAGTGATGTTCTCTACTAGATAGGCTGCTGAGTGAGATCATCTGTTGGTGTAAATCCAGATACTTTCTCAGTCACTCCTTAGCCACACTCAGCAGTCTCATCTTCTGCTGACTCACACTTGAGCTCATTTCTTCATCTCCTTTGCCTGAGCAGGGTGCTCTGATCTTCTCCTGCCTCTGGCCCACCAAACCTGAAGGAATTGAGTGGGACCTTCAGGCCGACATAAAGAGTTGTTTTGACAACACCACATGTATTTATTTAGGCCTGTAGCAGAAGAGTGTTGTAGATTCACAGGAAGGAATGAAGGGCAAAACAGCGATCCTCCTTCCATCTAATGCAGAACTGCAGCTACAGTTTCAGTGACAGAATCCAAATTATACAACTCCTTCTTTCTGACAGGTGAAGATGCCAAAGAAAAGAAATGTCTAGCTGATTAAGCCTGTATGGGCTCCTCTTTTCCTATCCATACCGACCAGAAGAGCTTTTGAATTTCTATTTTCTAGCTAAAAATGGAGAAAAAGTTCAAGATACATAAACCACCTATAAACTGGTGTTTTTTTCAGAGGTATAAATGATTTTACACTGTCAGCCCAATCAACATTTGTACGTTTTCTTTTTGCTATCTACTGAATTTAAGGGTTGTGGATATTTGGGGTCTTCAGTGACTGCAATATGGAAAATGAAAAACCTTTCTTTACATTCTTCTTCATGTATCAATTCAAGCTTCTTTAGGGAACAATATAGGAAACATGGCCAAAATAAATAATATGTGGCTATTTCACGGAATTTTTTTTACAGCTCCACTTAAACTACAGCTGCTCAGGAACTCCCTCATGAAATAGCTCTTCAACACCTTTCCCTGGGAATGCACATGACCTTACCATTGAATATAGTGACTTTGATAAACTCTAGAAATGCCTGGACAGAAAGATAAACCTTTTTAGGAGATAAGGGAGTGAAAGAGTAATGTCCTCTCTCTGCCTGATTCTGGCCAAACACATGGAATTTACACTCCTATGTTCTGAAGAAATGGCTGTTAAGTACCAGATTATTTGCTTTATGAAGTTATGTCTTTACAATTTACTCTTGCAAGTACTCTCACAAATGTTTTTTCATAGCTCATGGTTTCTGCAATGTGCTGAATATTCCTACTCATCAAAAGTTCTGAGCACTTCTTGCAACTCCATGGGAAATACATACATCCCATCTTCCCCTTTACCTCCCCCACTGTGCTATGCAGAGCAGAAGAACGTGGCTATGGCTGACCTTGCCATGGGCTGCTGCAGGGAAAGACTGCCAGCCAAAGTTAACTCATTTTTTCAGTTCCTAGCCAGCACTGAGAGCATTTGTCCTCTAAACCTCATCTGCCTTTTACAACCAGGAACAATATGTTAACGAATAGTTAATATTGTGTTTTTTAGAATGGAAAAGGTTATCTACCATCCCCAGATCCTTTTCGCCTTCTCTTCTCTTTCCCAAAACTTTTCTTCTCTTTCCGCCTCTGTCTTAGAGCTGTTTTAGGGTCAGTTATCCAGGCTTGATAGACAAACTGGAAGGAAAAGAATTCATTTATATCTAAAAGTAAGCCATAGAATAAGCCACAAGCAGGACTACACAGTTTGAGTAAATGCATTCAGACCTGTGGGGACAAGGAAATATCTTCAATCCCAAATCAAACACCTCTCCTGCAGATCTGCTGAGTTTTCGTATACTATTTTTGTAAGTGTAAAAGCAAATGTGAAAATACTTGTGGGTGACCCAAGTTTCATTAAAACCCATAAAAATTCATGCTCTGAACTTTGGGAATTAATATCTTTTTCTGCATATGGGCTACCTCGTCTGAATCTCTCAATCTGTATTTCTACTTTTTACAGGCAAGATGCAGAGCAAAGAAAACTTTTAGAGAAAGTGCTGCAATCAATTAATTAAAACATCAAAATATATGATCATATGTAGAGATATGTAGAGATATCCCTGTACAGGTAACCGTATTTTTCATAGCTTAGGTATTTTTTCCCCCTCTATAGGTCCCAGTGTAATGTTTACAGATTTGTTATCTATACACAGCCCCAAAACTGGCACTCAGGAATTCCTCACATTGCTTCCTGGTTTTAACAATGCCTTTCTTTGTTATATCAGATAAGTCACTTAGGAATCCTTTTGCTCCTGTTCTCCCAGTTGTAAAATGAAGATAGTAATACTTACGTATTTACCCAGGGTATTTATGGGACAAAATCCTGCTCACAGCACTCACTCAGATCAACAGTCTGTTGACCTGTGTGACTGCATGAAGCATGGAATTGGCTTAAATATTTAGAAATTATATAGCATGGGGACAAAAAAAAAAGTAAAATAAATCACTGAAACTAACTTTTTTAATAGCTCTGCTTCAGCTGTGAAGGAAAGTTACAGAAGAAAAGGAACAAAACTCGTATCTTTTATCCCTATGTGACATATAATGTATGTCAATAACAGAAACTAAAGTAACTTTTAATGCAAAAGGTGTTCTTTTGCTCATTTAAAGGTTTTAATTGAAAAATGGTAATTATCTTCAACTATCTTCTATTTTCTATTTCTAAGCAACATGGGCTGCTAAGACAGACAGGGCAGGGAAGCACACAGATGCAGGCAAGAGGCTGAAAAAGCACGCTGACAAAACAGGTCTATCTAACTAATACACAGCACAAACATGCAGGTGATGACAACAACACACGTGTATCTCAGTGAAGCTGGAATTGCTCCTTCTAGGCTGCCAAAATTTCTATTCGGTTTATTTATATTTTTAGAATTTTCCTATGCAAATTGCTCTGGAACATTTAAAGTATTCTTTGAAAACTATTAAACTGACATGAAATTAATTTAATTTTGTTTTGTTTTGTGGATGTATACAGCCATGGAGAGGAAATTATTTTGTTACTGCTGAAAAGAAGTTCCTCTTCCAAATCTCTCAAAATCTGTACATTTATTTTTATATGTCTGAGTTGTTCAAAACATGCACCACATGAGAAAATGTGTAAGAGCAGAGGTCCTGGTTTCCCTCTGCTTTGTAACAGGTGTTTTCTAATGAAGGTGATCTGGGGAAATGGTGATACTTAAATGAGCTAACACCATATTACTTTACTGGAAGTCAGAAACTGCCAGTATCTTCTATTGTCATTGAACTGTGAAAGTGTACACTAGCCACAATTACAGTGTGAATAAAGGCATTAGAGCTAAAAGGCAGACTTGGAAGGGGGTAGAAAATTAGAATTAAGAAAGGGAATTTTATTTATAAATTTAATGTAACTACCTATGCTAACCAGGGGGTATTTTAAGAGTATAATGGGTGCATATTAGTTTAGATTTCCACCACTGCACAAACTTCCAGTTTAGTACCTTTTAGGCTTTGGAGCTGGTAGTCTCAATCTGTAACATTCACTCCTTACAGAACTCATGTTGCATATGGAGTGGAAAATGACACACAGTGCCTAAAGTTAGGAAATCTTAAATGTATTCAAGCAGGGCAAGAGAGAAGATGCACAAATCTTTTTTGTGATGATAAAGGCCAGAAGAGTAGAGAGCTAAAGAGGGGTTTGGAGCAGAATGTGTGTTTAACAAACCTTTCACCAGCTTTCTGAGATCAATTACCACTGTGTCCATAAGATACATGCAACTTGATGTGACCATCTTGTAAATCAGTATCAAAAGAAAATGAGAATTTGGGTCTGCATTTTCTCTCTGGGGTTGCACATAAAAAATACATACCACTTTAGTTGTGGTTTGACCACTCAAAAATTATGAAATGCATTGCATTTACTAAGAATGAGCCTTTAGCTGTCATCATTTTTTTTTATTAATTCATATAAGAGGGAAAATGCAGATGGGGACAGAGGTATACATACACTACATCAGAAACTATGGGGTGGGTCACATACTGAGCATTTGCAAAATGTCAAGTACCTTTGCTGCTTTGATTAAATACTGAAGAATAGTTTTGGGTAGTTTAATGATAGACTTTGGCAAGGCTAAAATGGCTGAAGCAAATTTTCCAATAGCTCTCTATAAAGAAGGACAAAGCAAGAGTAGTTAGTAGAAAAGCAGAAAATATTAATAAAAAGGATCTCTTTTATTTCTGTTTCTAGAATACTAAGAACAAATTGACATTGATAAACTTCAATATGAGAAAAAATTGTTTATGTTGTTCATGTTAAAATTTTAATAATATGATTCTTAACTGCATGCATTCTCTAATATTTAAAATCTCCAAGTTAACTCTTGAAGGGACTACTGCACACAATTTGCACTGAAAAAAAGATCATAAATTCAAATAATTCTTTAACAGAATCTACAACAAAGTTCACTTATCTAGTATTTTTACTAAGACCTTATGCATGATGATGGAAGGTGAAGAAAGTATGATGACCGTAGGATGAACAAACCTTTCATGAAGAAAACCAATTTTTATTTTATACAAATCTCTGCTTATATAAAGCCATCCAGCATATCTTCATATTTCTCATACTGCACTACAGGCCACCTATCCATAACATCTGACCAAATTTTGAAATAATGAATAGATCTTCCATCCTCAAACAAATAGTTTCACGACTGAGATGAACAAAAAACCCTAATCCCAGCATGAATGAAAAAAATCTTGTTAACTTCTAACCTCAAGTTTAGAACTCTTTAACTCAGTGCTTGGCACCAGCACATCTGAACAAAATGTTGTCACCAATTTTTTAAAAATCAGTAGAAGCAATAATGCAAACTTTCCTCTATAGCTGCATGAAAACCAGAAAGAAAAATGACCTAGAAAGTCATGAGCCATTTCTGTGGTCCAAGGTAAGTTAAATGCAAAATGTATTTTAAAAAATAGTGCAACACTAGAAAACAAAACTTACTTATCACATTATTTTGACCCAGATTTGTTTTGCCCTTATTAAGGTCAGGTTTTTTCATACCATTACCATGCATACACTTTAACAAATGCAACCAGCTGGCAATGTAATGTAGCGTTAATATATAAACCAAAGGCACATTTTATTAATGAGTTAAATAAACCATTTCTTCCTGTAATTCAGTAATGTTGTCTGGGAAGCTTTCTTTGAAAGACTTTGGCTTAGGGAATAGAAAAGCATGGAGGCAGTTTCTTGCTCTTGCTTGGGTAAAATGTTCTGCAGTGTGCCAATTCTGCAGTGATGTGAAGTTGCATCTGGATGGGAATACTCAGCTGGAAAAAGCTGCTTCTTTGATTAAGCTTTTGAAGTTACAGACATGAAAAATTTCTGCAGCATTTCCAAAAAAATTCTTCCAGAAGGGAAACTTTAATCTTATAAAAGTAAAAGCAATCCTAGATGTAGGAGTATTTAACCAAGTTCTTCACCCACATTCTTCATTTGAGCCACTGCATTCAGTATCTGGTATTGTCTAACACCAGCCAGTCCACATGGAGGAAACCAGATAGGAAACCTCAGATATCTTTTTAACATTACAATATCCTCCTACATCAGCACAGTCTGGCACTAAATATGCAAATATATTAATTAACACTGCCCTGAAAATGAAAGAAAATAAATGGATGTAGTCTCCCTCAACTGTCTTTATTGCGATGCAGAAAAAAGTAAAGCTTGGGTTCTTAACTTTTGTTTTTTACATTTTTGTTATCTTCAGGCGTTATATGAACTTCATAAGTGAATGAAGATATGACTCTAGTGTAGTTTTGGTAAGAATTTGGCAATGCTTAAAGCATAAGGCAAACTGACATTTTAAATTGGCAAGAAATTTAATTTTCCAATACTTTTCAGGACTACTTTAGAGGAACTGGCAGCTTTAACATATGTGCCTGAGTTATGAGAAATGTACATTTTTTTCCAGAGATAGAAAATTACCATAAAGTACCTGAAATGCAGATTTTTTTCGAGGCTCTTCCTCTTCTTTTTTTTCCTCTTCTTCTTCCTCTTCACTATCCGTCTCAAACAAATAATAATTTCCACTTCTGACCACTAAGTGAAACAAAATATTTTCTTACTTTTCTGAAAGGTTCTATTCTCAACTCTCCCAAGACCTATGAACAGGTAGCCAGTCATTTAAAAATTCATAACCAGGAGAGGTGAAAACAGAGAAGAAGCAAGAGATGAAAAGGTCTCAGGCCATTTATTTGATGTTGGTCTACAATACTTTGGGCATGAATAAGAACTATACAAGAACTAAGGAAAGCATCCCTATAAGAAGAAAATGTGAGGAAAAGGATTGAAGTTTATCAAGTTACAAGGTTATATTTTTAGAGAAAAATTACAATTAAGTCTTAATTTATTGGGGACATTATTATTTGAGGGAGTAAAAAAGTCCAGCAGGTAAGTAAATGAACTTACATGAACAGTACCACTGGACAAAAAAATACAGAATTTTTCCTTAAAACACTGAGGCAATCCTTTAAACTAGGCAATGGGATGGTATTAGTTGGATGAAGTAATGGAAAACCTTGGTTTGCTTAAAACAAATCACTTGGATTCTATTAACATGATTGCAAATGAATTTCAGTTTTTTGCCCATGGATTCAGAAAGATTCTGAAACCTCGATACAGCGTAAGTACACAGTGATTAAGCTAGGCCTTATATCCTTGAACAGAAGCAATGTTTTTATTTCTCAGATGGCAACAGGCCTACATGAACAAACAAGAGAAACAAAAGAAATAAAAATAAGGTAATGAGCAAGAGAGAAATAAAAATCACAGCATTACATTCAGCAGTGAAAACTAGTAATTAATTGCCACATTTAAGCTGAAATATTGGAAGGAACAGTTACTTAGATGAAAATACACAAAATCTGGATATATGGAGGAACACATTTATATAAAATTATATCTATCCATCATTACAGGTCTCTGGAAAAGTAACAGTTGTTGTAATTCAATCATACCTTGAATTCTACACAGATCCTGTGTGCACAGATGACCACGTATAACTACTTACAAACCTCAGGGTAAGGCTGTGAAATTTGCCAGATTTGATCTTTGGATCATAACTTTGCCATCTAAAACTCCCTCACAGAGAGAAATTTTGTGCCTCATGTGCCCTCTTATGATTTTTATCATCAATGAATGCCCTGCAGAAGGACAGAGTCCACTTCAGATGCTCTAACTGTTGCACTGAGGTGAAAAGAAAATTTGGAATTTTCCTGGATGAAACAAATAAATTTTTTGGTGCTGAGCCTTCCAAGAAGGCTCATTAAAAATGTGTTGAAGAGATGAAAGCATTTTAAGAGACAGTAGTCTGCAGTTCTCTTTCATAAAAAGCTATCTTGTAGTCAGCAACAGAAATTGCCAATGCAGAAGATCAGCTGGGTAAGGTTTGATATTAGGGAAAACCTCTGTGACACGGCAGCTCTGTAAAGGCCCAGAGTAGCACTCAGTCAGGCTTGGAATGCCTGATCTGAAAGCAAATAAATCTACATCGATCTCCCTACAAAATTTGTAAGTTAAAGTGTATCTGAGGGGACACTCCAGTGTAGCAGTTCCATCCCTTTTACAGCTCAAGAGAGAGGTATGATTGAATAGCAATAATGCATTCTTGCACACATCGAAACGGAGCAAGTGGCGTGTCAGTCCCCTACAAGGCTTCCTGAAGAGACCAAGTTTTACTGTAACACAATCCATGGTCAGACTAGACTTGGGAGACCCCTCTTGGACTGCAAAATGTGGCTTCCTCCTACTGAGAAAAGGGATGTACAGACTTGTGGATGAGATGGAGGAGGCAGAAGAGAAGCCATGCAGGAGAAAGTATGATCTCATCATCTGCTTGTGCCCAGACGGGAAGAGCTCCCCAGGACAGCTGCAGCCACCATCTTTTGCACTACATCAGACACAACTGTGTGACCCAGGAAAACCTAAGCATGTGGTCCTAATTCCTGCTGATCTTTGTAGGACTTCAAAAATAATCCACAAGCAGAAGAGGAGCCACACCTCCCTACAAGGGAGATTGTGAGTGACTGTCAGTGAGGAAATCCTCATTAATGTTTTTTATCTGATTTACTCAGACCCAAATTCATGACTGTTTTAATTGCTATGATACACAAAATGAGGTCTCTTTCTGCACAATAAAATTATAGCAAGTGATATAAAAATAACAATAAAAATCTAAGTTAAAAACTTCAAGCTTGAGTGACTTCAGTGTAAGCATATATACACCCACAAACCTGTTTACTGAGATGAAGAGCCACATGCTGCAGAATGCTGCAGTTGCAGTGGTGTTCCAAAAAGCATGAGTGGGGAATATCAGCCTGTTCCCAGTTTGCATGCCTGTGAACACCTACTGCCAGTGCCATGTTTCACTGAGTGTGGTTGCAAGCCATGTGGCAGGCAACCACTGGTTATAGGGTCAGGGTCTGTGATGTTTCCCACAAGGTTTTGCATTATTGCAGTTAATAATTTCAAGAATGCTCAATATTTAAACATCAAAATGCAACTTGCCACCTAAGAACATTAAATAATGAGGATGAAATAAGTAAAAGCCAAAGTTAATATTTCTCTGTGCAATTCTTCTTACTACAAAACCAGTGGTGAATAAACAAGAGACCATATCCCATTCCTTCAAAATCACCATAGCTTGAAATTCTATAGAAAAAACAAATCTTAGTTTTTATCTGTTTTGTCATTGTTTTTCTAATGGAATTATGGGACAAGAATTTTATTTTCATAAGGTTTATGAAAAGGATAGGTCTCTCTAAAGTGGCAATGTGCCCTTTAGAAAAACAAAAATAGAGGCACAGTTTACTTGTGACTTGATAGAAATAAAGATGCCATGTTGTGGTAAACACTGCTGGCAAATACATGTCTGCTGAAGTTATAAATAAATACACATAGGTAAATGAAGCAGTATGTAGATACGTGAAATTATGACTTGGAGTAGCTCTTAAACTAAATAACCAAACTCAATATAACATTCATATTTTTAATGACATGAAGCTGAGTTGGGGATGGTTTAGGTTGGATATCAGGAAGAAGTTTTTAACACGAAGAGTGATTGCGCACTGGAACAGCTCCCCAGGGAAGTGGTCACAGCACCAGGCTGACAGAGTTCAAGCAGCATCTGGACAATGCTCTCAGGCACATGGTGTGACTCTTTGGGGTGGTCCCGTGCAGGGTGAGGAGCTGGACTGGATAATTCTGAGGGATCCCTTTCAACTCAGCACATTCTGTGATTTCTGTGTTGCTATGATTTAACTCTGATCAGTGCCCTATGCTTTACATTTAATACATTTAAGTTTTTTTTTTCACATCTTCAGAGTTTACTAAACAGCTCATGTCTAATTTCATTCCACAAGCATCCAATTGAAGGACATCTGATTTGAGATTGTAGCCTACTTAGCTTTCCTGTTCTACCTAATCCATAACATAGCAAAGAACTCTATCATATGACTGGGCTACAAACAAATTAAAACATCATACACCACCAATTATATGAGTGACACACACTAATAATTTCTTGTGCACAAGGCTAGACATATTTTTACTCTCAGGTAAACAGAAAAAAATGGAAATAACAAAACAATTGGCATCAACAACACATTAAAGTGTCATCCGAGAGATGGAGCTGAGCTCTACACAGCCTAGTTCTGGGAGTAGTCTTTCTGCCTTACTCAGATTTCTACAGTTGATACTAGAATGACTGATGAACCATGAAAAAGATGTATGATATGTGTATATGAAAAAGAAATTATGACTTAGAATGCATTGGTGAACTTTCACATTCACATTTTTAAATATATTGAGCTTTGCAATATTAAGGAGTTGAAACCTTTGAGGTCAAGACAGATTCTTTTCAGCACATGCTTATCTGATCTGATATTTTTCTAAGAATGTTCAAAGTATCATGAGCTAGCTATGCTTCCAACACACAGAAGTTCAAAATACAGTTAAATTCTTTGAAGGTTGGAAAGTAGAAATCACTTTTTGAAAAAAAAAACCCAAGCCTTCTATCAAGTCACAATCACAAAATCAGGCATAAAACAAACAGGCTATGGGAATGCCTTCATTCTGGTCAAGGATATAAGGGTTAAATCCACATATTTGTAAGAGGATTGAGAAAACCTACTGGAAGCATGATCAACCCAAGGCCGCCACCACAGCTTTTTTTTGCCCTTGGCTTTCTCTTTGTCTGCATCTCCTAAAATAAAATATGTTCAAATATTAATTTTACAAAATTAGAAACATATTTCTTACACTGATTAATAATTTTTAATTTCTCTCAAAAGAACTAAAATTTCATGAGCACATCAGATGTCAGGTCTACTGAGTACATTTAATATTAAAATAATTCAAAACCATGACCACTAAGCAGAAATACTCTGGTATATGCAGTAGTTAAAACAGCATTCCACTCTAAAACAGCTAAAAAGTTGGGGTTTGTGTTTAAAAACATATGGTCATACTTGACTGTAATTTAAAGAGGAAAAAAAAATCTCCCTCCTCTAAAATCCCTTTACATTTCAGGCTCCAAAAATTGTTAAATCCAGTAAGTGCTGATTCCAGGTCAATGCTGGAAATATGGCACTAGATAGGTATGATTTTATCTGTTCCCATGATTTTAAATAAGATTTAAAAGCACACAAACATCTTAGTGACTGAAAAAAAATCCAGAACAGCACCCAGAAAACATTGCTGGAAAAATGTTAGTGCTACCTATTTGTAAAACTGTGGTTTATAGATAATGACTTTTATCAAAACAAACCTCTGACTCTTTTCAGCTCTTTGCCAACAGCCTGAAGTTAACCAAAAGTGTCCTCAAAGCAAACCATTTTCTCTAAACCTAGTTACAGCACATAACACAGATTTCTTTGGCTGAATTGAGCCCGTAACTGATACTCAGCTAACAATGTTGTTACATGCCGGCAGTTTTCAAGAACAATTTATCACTTGTCCAACTAGCAGGTCTATCAGATCCTTAGAGCTCAACAGCAAATACAGAACAGGAGTAGCTAACGGTACCTTCATCATCCTCTTCAGAAACCTTCCGAATCTCAGGCCCCTCTGAGGACTCCTGGTTCATGCTTAGCATCCTCTCTTTACCCTTCTTGTATTTTTGCTGCCTGGCTTTGATGCGATCCATTCTAGCAAAAGGAAGAATCTTATTAGATTTATGCCTTCACCCACCCTGGGAAACAAGTGTTAGACACACAACACATACTCTGCACCACTTCTGAGGGAAATATTCCACACTGTTGTTAGCCTTGCCCTTAAACAGAAGAAGTTACATCGCTCTGAAGGGGCTGGCTGGAAGGACCAAGATTACATGTTCACTCTGTGGTCAGTGAGAGCTGGGTTTCCTGCTGTCACAACTGCTTTCCTACTCCCACTCAACAATCTTATCATAATTTAAAATTAAAAGGATCACTGTCATGAGTTACAACACACCAAATGAAGCACTGATAAAGAAAAGGACTTGTACCTAATGCAGTGCTTTTCCTGAAACTTGCCACTCTGAACCAGGGATTTAGTTGTTCCTTCACTGTTTGTGTTACATCTTCACCCTTTCAGATCATTTTTCTCAGTGGACACCAGTGACAAGTGGTGTCCCTCGGGGGTCCAGTGCTATTTTTAATGTCTGGGGATGAAGTGGGATCAAGTGTACCTTCAGCAAGTTTGCAGATGACACTCAGCTGTGCAGTGCCATTGGCAGAGCTAAAAGATGGGATGTGGTTCAGAGGGATCTGGACTAGCTCAAGAAGTTGGTGTACAAGAACCTCATGAAGTTGAGTAAGACCAAATTCAAGGTGCTGCAAGTGGGTCAGGGCAATTCCTGGTATCAGTGCAGGCTGGGGGAAAAACTGATTGAGAGCAGTCCTGCCAAGGATGACTTGGGGGTGCTGACAGATGAGAGGCTGGACATGAGCCTCAATGGGCACTCCCAGCCCAGAAACCCAACTGTGTCCCAGGCTGCATCCAAAACAGTGTAGGCAGGAGTGTGAGGGAGGGGATTCTGCCCCTCTGCTCTGGTGAGACCCCACCTGCAGGGCTGCATCCAGCTCTGGGGTGCCCAGCATAGGAAGGACTGGACCTGTTGGATAGAGTCCAGAGGAGGGCCAGAAAGGTGATTAGAGGATGGAGAACCTCTCCTGTCGGTAAAGGTTGAGAAAATTAAGATTGTTCAGCCTGAAGAAAAGGCTCTGGAGAGATCTTATCGTGGCCTTTCAGTACTTGGAGAGAGCTTATTGGAAAGATGGGGCCAAACTTTTTTGCAGGGTCTGCTGTGAGGATGAGGGGCAGTGGTTTAAACTGAAGGAGGATTGCTTTAGATTGGCTATAAGGAAAAAGCCTTTATTATAAGGGTGGTAAAACTTGGATCAGGTTTCCCAGAGAAGTGGTGGATGCTCCATCCCCAGAGACATTCAAGGTCAGGCTGAATGGGGCTCTGAGCAAATCAACCTCTTTGAAGATGTCCTTGCTCATTATAGGGGCTTGAACTAGGTGACCTCTAGATTTTCCCTTCCAACTCAAACAATTCTATGGTCTTGTGATTCTATATATGTAGAAAATAAGGTCCCTGCAGTCTTCCAATGATTCTTCTGCTACACAGGGAAAAGAAGCTGTCTTTGAGCTTTGAGTGGACTTTGACACTTGGTTAGGAAGCAGTTAGGCTTTCCACGCATCATGGTGAGAGAGCTTTGAAAGTTTTCTGCAGTTACCAAAGAAGCATGCTGGCTTCATGCAAGAGAAACCAAAGTGACTTATGGGCTGTATAAAGAGAAAGAATCTCCAGGCCACTTAAACTGAATGCAAATATTTTCACAGAAGGTAAACATATATTTTGCACTTAAACACTACCAGGAGGAACCACAGATAAAATAGAAAGAGCAGTCATGCAACAAGTTTTTCCAGGAATACAGGTAACAGATACACAGAACAAAATTCTAATAATGGCAAAGCATTTCTATAAAAGAAAGTGCTGGGTAAACACTGGAAGCCAGTATTTCTATCAAAGAAAGTGCTAGATAAATACTAGCAATCAGTTAAATATGTATATGCATAGAAATATATATCTCTATTACATGTACATTAAATACATACTGTCTTTTCAGTTGATCCATTGATTTTTTTTCCTCTTCAATTCTTGCCTTTACAGCCTTGACAATTGTAGCCTGAAAAAGCTCAGCACCCCTATATCAGAAACAGAGCAGAGGAAAAGAAAAAAGGAGAGGACATGTTAAATGTTTCTAAGTTTTCCTTATGGCAACTAATCACAGAGAACTCTATGTTCCCTCCATACATGACCTTATCTGCATCAAACAAAACTAATCCAGGGCCTGAAAGAAATTGGATCTAAAATAGTGAAACTTTAAAATAGTAACATCTTTACAGACAATCATTTCAAGATCTGGGGCCAAATGTTGTGAACCCTACTCAGCCTCTAGTTCCTCTCAGTTCCTCTAGCAGCTGCTCAAGGAATTCAGTTTCAAGTCCTCAAAACACAGAACACAAGTAGGTTCAAGGCTGAGGAAGGATTTCTTGCACACCCTCAGGATTTCTTTATAGTCATTTCAGCATTATAATCACCTGCCTCAGTCCTCCTGGAAGTTGTGAGCAAGGTCCAGCTTTGTCCAGGGCCATGGTGAGCATAGATTCAGCTTCACTTTTACCCTCTGAAAACTACGGTGCTTTCAATCTGACAATACAAACCCTTGAACAAGTTTCAAATGTGCCAAAAGAATATGGTTTTTCACCCCATTACATTAGAAACATAATCAGTTCATTGATTTGAATGTTATGGCCATTCTTCCTAATTCACACATGAACTATTGAAGGCTCTTAAGAGCCTTAAAGTCTCTCTCAGAGCAGTAGCCTAGATCTAAAACCTTTCTTTTGTCAAGAATTCAGTAAGAAAAGCTGTAATTTTAGAAGTTCACTCTTTCATTTTGGATGCACATTTCCCTATATAGGATGTATTTTGATACTCAGGATTTTGCTTTATGCTGTTTTCACTGTGAACCCAGCACACCAAAAGAGGTACAAAAAGGCCATATCCAGCATAATTGGGCATCAGCACTGAAATTCACCCTAGAACAAAAAGCCTAATGCAATATGGGGTGGAGGAGTAGGTCTTTTGGTAGCCCTCTTTACAGTGCTGAATTTTGTTTAGTGCAGGAAGCCAAACATGCCCCCTTCTTAAAATGATCCCTGGAAGAGGAAGATAAAAACTACTTCCTTTCATTACATGCAACCAAATTTTGCCCGGAAACACAGTCAGAAATCAATGTCTGTATGTCTTTTGAGGGGAAAAAAAGCCACAATACATTTAATCCAATATTAACAAAAGTAATTTCTTAGAAAACTTATGGAAATTAAAACCAGTATTTCATTCTTCATCTGCCTTCATATTATAAACCAGAAGAATGTTTGTGCTAGTGATGGTTCAGAGTGAATGCTTGTGGTGTAACAAGCCCAACGAGGTTAACACTTCCTTACCAAACCTAGGCAGTGTTCAGTGATGTGACATTTCCCAAGAGTGTTCCCTTTTCTTCCCAAGCCAGATGTAAGAACTTTCCCGTTTTTCCCCTCCTGTGATATTTCTTGAGATGGGATTTCTAAGGACAACTGTCTCAAACAGGCTCTAAGAGCAGAATATTTTCTTTCCAAGACTTAGAAACTCTGGCATTCTCTGTCATGCATATTGATGTTGAGAGAATGCTGCAACACAATTTCAGAAATTTTAATGGAAGCAGCAGATGGTATTTGGTAGAAAGAATGGTTTAATTTATATTAGATTCTCAATTAATTTGTTTTTTTGTGTTGAAGTTGGGTTTGCAACTATTAATTTGGCATGGATTGTTTAAATTGATGTTAAAGGACTGTTTTGGTGCTACCTATGGTAAACGGTAATAAGCACTGCCACCATGAGAGCTTTGAGCTGTTTAATTTAATTTCTTTTACATTTTCTGTTACCTTGATGCTAATATCTGTGAGGCTTTTATATCTGCAACCACGTGAAGGAAGTAGTAACTCATGAAGACTCTTCTTTGCAGCAACAGGAAAGCAAAACATATACTGTCCCAAATGATTCCTGCTTCTCCACTGGGCAGTTTACAATCTAGATTGCCCGTTGCTGGAAAAAGAGACCATCAGTGTTAGGAATTCTTTCACAATATTTAGTCAATTAAATCATCTTAGCCTTTAAAATTATTTTAATTATTTTAGATTTTTCTGAAGAAAACTGTCATGCATTTCCATTTGAGGTATACCGTAATTTCTTTTGCAACAAACCAAAAAGCTTCCAACAATGTGATGTCCCATGACAAGTGAGAATTCATCAGAAGTGAACCATTTGCCTATAAATTCACCCTACTTTAGTAAGTACTTGAAAACAAAGAATGGAAAAGGCATAATTTTTGTTACACTGAATTATTTGATTTCAGTGTTTCCTATAATGGTATATTTTCAATTTTTTCTTCTCTTCAAAGTGACTTTTTCTCTCATTTTTTAATTAAGAACACTATCAACAGGAGAAATGTGGTTTATTTTTGTCAAAATGACTTTTTGACTGCCACCATCTAATATTTTTATTTTTCTCCTCCACAACTCAGTTCAATGCTCCTTTCCATTGCATAAGAGAAGAAATATTTGAAACCACAAAACTGCTTCCTTTGGGGTAGGAGGAGACAGGCAGAGAGGAAATCTCATTCCTCCTACCTCTAGATTTTGGCTTGGGCTATTTCTTTCTTTCTTTATTCTCTGTAAGACAGCTCTCCTGGGGATATTAAAAAATTAAAACTGGGTTTTGTGGAGCTGGACTATAAACTACATGGCCTATGCTGCCCTATAGAAGGCAGTAGAAGGACTCAAGGGACTGGCTCTGGCTCGAAGCTGGCTTTTCAAGCAAGCAAGCCAATCTAATAGCTCTGGAAGGTCAAATTGCAAGAGCTTCAAAGCCTGCTGTGTCCAAACCCTAGGGAGGTGGAAAACCTGTGTCAAAGTTTCTGCTGCTGCCCAAAAAGTTTTGGATAACACAAGAATTCCTGGGCACTTCTCATCCTGTGAATTTGTGTCTTCATATTTACTTTCTTTTCCCCTGTCCCACACTTACCTGTTAGGATCCATCATGATGACAGGAATTCAGAATTTTGCTGCAGATTCACTAGGATGAAACAGCTCTTTAAATTCAGAAAAAAGCCCAAACTAAACCCAAAAACTACTGAAAAACCTGCAGGTTTCAAACTGTTAATCCAGGTTGTCAGGACAAAGTGGAGACAAATTAATAGTTCACTGAGATATGAAGGGTTTTGCTCTCCAAACTTCATTCATCCCTTCTCTTACCTCCATCCACAGATATTATCCATTCCATTCCTTTTATCACCACATGAGAATAATCACAAGAAAAAAAATGCCTAAACTCACTATGCATGCAGAAAAATTACCACTTTCATGCCACACTGCACACAGGGAGTGCAGCTGGGAAAAGGTGCCCTGTCCATGCAGTGATGGACAGTGATGACCTTTTAGCTCAAGTTGTACAGTGAACCAGAGCATCACATCACCTGCATATATGGGAATGTGTGTTAAGTGCCAATATCTGTGAGCTGTTCATTTACAGCAAACACTGGCTGTGGGTGGATGTATGGAGATGGTCGTAGTTTTCTCTGTATATGTGTCCCCTTTGCTCCTGTGAAATGTTTTCAATATTCTGTGTTGCTAATCAATATAGATTTTTCAAAAGGTAATATGTCAAGGGAAGGCACAACTTAAATATGGTAGAAGATTTTAAGGTGATTTTTTATTTAAAAAAATAAAACTATGGAGAAAAATACACAATACTTACGAATATGGTAGCCTTTAACTGTACAAGCCAGGCTAAATGCCTGAATCACCCAGCAACTATTCTCAATTAAAGATTCAATGTAGCCACACGCTCCTATCTGCAAAGAAAAAAGGGCAGTGTCATATAACAAGATGCAGCAGAAATAAAGATAAGAAAAATTGCATCTTTTTACATTACAGGAGACATAATACAGCCAAGTGGAGTCAAATTATTCTCATTACTAAAAGATCTTGGAAGAAAGAGTAGCTTTACTAGTGACACACAAACTAGTCTTAGACAGAATTTGGTTTTTTGATTATTAGTGAAATATGTGTGCATGTGGGGTTTGTTTGCATTTTTGCATAGAAAGGGACACATCTGGCATATGACATGATGTGACAACCAAGCAACTTTTATGAATCACTGACTTAATCTTGCAAACATACCTGGACAAGCTTAAGACACATGTAGCTCCACTGAATTCCCAAGCATAAAATGAAGCACATATGTAAGCATTTAGAACATTTGCAAATTCAAACCACCCATAAATCAATTTTATTTCAGCATACTGACTTAAATAAATGTAAAAAGAAAAATGTCTGTTCTTTGCAGTCCAGCACTAAAAACGTTCAAAGCTAAAAAGCAATTGCCAGGAATAAATCTAAATTTATCTTTCAAAAAGGTCGAAATTACTGGCTTGTCTTAATCACCTGTCAGTGCCACTGCAAGAATACATACAAAAGAGTTAATTAATGCAAGAAAATCTTTAATATTTTTCTGATGAATTTGACATTTAATTATCAAATATATCTGTTTCCACATGAATTTCACACTAGTTCTAAAGGAAACAGGAATGGAGTTTGTAACTTTGTAGTCAACTTTACTAATTACATTACATCACACGACTGCATCTCATATTAGGTTTGAAAATTCTTTATTTAAATAAATCATCTAATTAAATGTGCATTACTTATCAACAGTATGACTAATTTTGCACTTCTTACTCATTTTTCACTCCACTGAGATTTTCATGAGACTTCTAAGGAGAGAATTCAGTAGGCAAAGAAAGCAGAACCTGGCCCTTTGAAAGTAGCTTGTGAGCTTTCACAGAGCCCGACTGAGCACATGGGTGCACATTTTCCTGTGATGGATATGCCCTGCCATTCCCTAGCAATGCTGAATTGAAATAGAGACTGCTTTGTGCTTGCAGGTGGCTGTGGTCCCAGAAAAGGATTTTTAATGGCCACTCAATGCACTGTGCACACTTCCAGCGAAACTGAAGTGCTGAGGGCAGAGGAAAGGCAGCAGATCCCTACCGAGAGGATGTTCTTCATGGTGATCACAAAGACGTTGTAGGCAATCAGCCAGTCCCAGTAACGTAGAATGCTCCTAATGGGCTTCAGCAGCAGGTCTCCACCAAACAGAAGGAAATAAAAGCAGGCCACTAAGTAGCCCATACAGAATATGCTGATCCTTGTGGTTCCCGTGATGAAGATGATGGTAAGCACAAACCAGAAGAGGTAACTAAATATTATCACTTTATACATGTCTAAGTAGGACCTAGAAGCAAAATAAGGAGAAAAAGTTACCATTTTTTCTGAGGGAAATCTTTCCTCTTTCTGCACTACTGGCTGACAGTTGTGCCCATGGTCTTCTGGGCATTCTCACACTTCAATATTTGTGCAGATGCTCACCATTAACATTACAGTCAGGGGGTTTGGTTCATGCACGGGTCTGCCTGGCTCATACATTCCACTCCAGCTCCTTCCTGTACATAGGAACCTTACTACACCTGGTCAGGGCACCGTGCTTGCTGCAGGATCAAGCCTTGTATCATGGAAGGGAGGAAAACCTGTTCTCACCAAAATTCTTGGTAGAGAGATATTATCTGGCAATGCCATACATGTGATCTAAAGGCCGTCTGAGATCATCTTTCAAGAAGTCTGAAAGTGAGTGTAGCAAATCTATTTTAAAAAGCCAACTACAGTCTACCACTGAAAACAATTCCATATTTATTGATGACTTCAGCCTGGTCAAAAGACTAGTTTTCATAAACAACTGCTAAAAATATCTTTCTCTAATGGAGATCAACTGCAAAAAATTTGAGGGGCAAAGGTTTCTACAGAAGAGAAATGTGATAGAATTTACTGAAACATTTTCCAGGAAGCTATGAGACAAAGCTATCTGAAATCAGCCTGGCCCACAGTGGGAAAGAGAGAGAAACAATTTGGTGTTTTCAGATTCCTTAAAATCTTGCCTTAATATTGACTCAGTGAGCTTTCAAACAAGAATATCTGCCAAAGGCAATACCAGATACTACATATAGCTAAACACTGCAAAACCAACTAATTCTTAGTTTCCTCCCATTTATAGCATTTTGATTCCAAATCTAACTGTGTTTTCAAAGTCTGTTCACCCAGGCTGTGTAACTACATTTGTCAGGAAACCAGGCAGGGAGACAGAGCTGCAGGAGTGGGCATATAGCTAAGCCAAACCATGTAAGGAGCAAATGAACCAAATGCACTGTATGAAGCCACATAAAAAGGCTCCTGCTGCTTGATGTTCTCAGGCTCAGAACTTTCTAGGAGTATGTATTTATAGTCTTACATTTATAGGCCTATATTACACATTTCACCAGAGAGGCATTTAATGAAAGGTAACAAGAAAGCTCCTTTATGTTTATTTGCTGCAAATATTTAAGAAATTTGTGATCTAGTGCCTGTGAAATCTACAAATATAATGACTTTGGAGATGTTACTGAGTTCTGGGTGATAAAACATTAACAAGGAATCAATATGCACTGGGAAAATAAAGAAGACATCAGTCGAAGAGGTCTTCATTAACTTGATGTGCACTAGAAATAGTGCTCTCATTGTTTCTCCAGAAAATAACAATTTATTTGATATTCCTTTAATAATAACTATTGGTGCGTGGGATGGCTAGGAAGAGATCACTTTCCTGACACTGCTCTATTTCAAAAAGCTTGTCCTTTGCTATCAACAAAATGCATCAGCATCTTCTGAGAAAAGCCTAAAATTGAACCAAGTTGATAAAAAACCAGCAATGTCTTAATTCTCTTCAATGAAAAGGAACTCTGACTCTTAAGAGAAAACTGGGACTCTCTCAATTCAAACTTCCCAAAATAGACATGTGGTGTTTGCTTGAGTCATAATCAGCAGCAGGTATCACTCTTAGATTAAAACTTCAGGAAATTAGAGAGAATATGAAAAGGAAGACAAAAATCTAATTACTTTTTCACTATAATGGTAGCCATTTGCTACATTTTAGCAGTCATCTAAAATATAAATACACCTGTTCTTCTTATATCCAAAATTACATTAAATATAATAGCCTTGGGCATCTCTAAACCAACCAACCAAACAACAAAACTGGATGTAACGGGAAAATTTGCAGAAGGGAGGAGGCACTACAACTGTGTCCAGTGACAAATTATGTAGTCCTTAAAGATGGAAAGCATTCTGACTTTTATAACAGTGCAGTTACAAGCAAATCCAACAATAAAAATGGCTCCCAATAATTCATCTTGATGTGGACATCTCACAAAATGGTGTTTGAACAAGTCAGCCAAGGCACACCTAAACAATGAAGACCACCAACCAACCAAGGTACTTCTGTGATATCCCAGGAAGAATGCCACACTGAACACAATGGAGAGAACCACTCAAGTTGCTCCAGGTAGATAAAAATTTTCCTGAAATCATATTTCTTTCAGTTACTATGCGGAAAATCTTGTCAGCATAGAGTGATGCATGCCCCATATTTTCATTAATTGCTTGTATTGATATGAGTAGGCCAAGTGCTGTAAGAGCAGGAACAAAGACATGTCTTGGTGGGGAATTATCTGCATATTACCTCTCAAATCATTTGACACGTTCTCATACATAAATCGTTAAATTCTGCCTCAAAGCCCAGAATTTTAGGAAGCAAGGAGTTTTGGTTACTTTCTCGGGGATCATAACAGTGGGAGGCTGAAGGACAAAGACACCCCAACACTTAAAAAGAACCTACACAAACCCATGAGGACAGTTGAGGTGCTTACCCTCTGTTTAAAAGCTTTTATGCAGACAGGAGAAAATGCTTAATCTTGGATAGCATATACTGTGATTTCATGCTTTCACTGCAGACCACACAGATCGTTAGTTTAATGTCATGCAAAACTTCCAAACTTATTTTCTAAGTGTTCTTTAAGTGTTCTTTAAGCGTTTTTCAACCACCAAGAGCAAAAGGCCACACTCAGGATGTGATATTTAACAATACACCTTAGAAATCTAAATAGCTGGTTCCCAAGGGGACAGTCCTACCCCCTGTCATCCCTTCAGCTCTGCATTTCAGCCCCTTTTTTGGCTTTGGCTCTTTGAAACGGTTTCAAGAAGAAAATTTGCAAAAGCCTATTTACTTTGAGGGAGGACAGAAGGAAGGGATACTTTTCTGACCATTTAGCCTCTGAACCAACTCAGTGCTGGTGTGATGAGTGCAGAAAGGTGGAAGGGTGCAGCAGGAGGTGGGGAACACAGTCACACATCCAAATAAGATTAGCCACTACACCAATGCACCGAAAGCATCAAACTACAGGTTTTGGTAGCGTGACAGCCCCTGAATGAGAAATTACACAAAAGAAACCTGAAAGATTAATGAGAAATAAAACCCACTGATTTTCCAACCATGTCATTAGTAGAACCCACCAATACTCTGGACAACATTTTGGAAAAATTTACCGTATCAATTTGCTCAAAACCAAGTAAGACAAAGTCTGAAGCTCATTCCACACATCCATCAAAGCTATTTTAACCTCGGATGGCTCTCCAGATCAAATTTTGCTTTTCTTTTCTAAAGCTTTATTGGTCTTACCATGATTGTTTCAATATTTTATTTCCATAGGAATTTATTTTTTAACTGTAATACAATCCAGCCTGCTGCAGAGAGATTGCTGTAGGTGCAGTTGTTTTCCTGGCATGCTACATGATGTGTTTGACTATGACCAGTCTAGTGTCTGGACCTGTGCCTGCAGGCACCAAGAGGTGCTGATGCTGCAGCCAATAACCCCTTTCAGGAAAGGTATTTGTCCTTAGCCAGCGCTCTGAAATTTAGGGAAGAAAACACTTCTGCTTACACACTTGTGAGAGCCTTTTGTGGTGATGGATGCAGCTCAAGGCTTCTTCATGCTGGAGGAGCTGCTGTTATCTAGCTTCATTGCTTTTCCTTAGCAGCCCCCTGCTTTGAGTGTGGTACCCACCTTCACATAAACCCAAGGCTCCTCCTGTAGCCTTCCTCAGATGACATATTGTCCCTATACATATGTGTTCTGTAAGCTTCACCTACTCCCAAATTTCTTCTTGCTCTCTTCCATATCTCCTATTCCTTACACTCTTAGCATCCTGTGTGACCCTGCATCAGAGCTTGTTTCTCCTTCTAATCTCAACATTGCTAATGTTCCCAAGCCAGCTTCCATCCTCAAACCCTTTGCCTGGAGCTCTATTTCACTTTCAGAAGGGAGTTTTGTTGATTTTCCCTCTGCCAATAGCAACATCCAATCTTCTGAGAACCAGCTCCCTTATTTCAATGGACTTCTTCAAACCTAGTGTTGTGGATCCCATAGGTCCTAGTTTGTACTATTTTTGTTAAACTCATTGAACTGATATTCTTTTACGATTACTTTCTTATCAGTGAAGTCCTTCCTTCATGCTTGTATCCACCTTAAAAATATGCAAATTCACAACTGTGTTATTTGTTGAGGCTCATTTTTTAACAACAGAATGTTTATCTGCTTTAAATAATAAATACGACAGGAACCCTGTAACGTTCATTTGCTGGTCCTATATCACTAACCTAAGTTGGAACACAGTTCCAAGACTGGCATTACAGCTGCCTTTCAGACACGTTTCCTGACTCCCCTCATGATGGTTCCCAGAGTACAGGTATTGAAGGAGACAGTTCAATGACTGTCTCTGCTTCTAAATGGAAAAAAGCAGATTACAATCCCAAGCTTTTTTTCCCCTGACAATGTCTAAGAGAACGTCTGAAAACTTCTTGGGAACTGGAATGAGAATTTTCCAGCATTAGAGACTGTGGGAAAGGATTATCCTCAGTGAGGTTGCTTTAAATCCTGTGTCATTCTAAAAGCTCCTATTTCTATTCTTTGTTCTTATTTCTGTTTTCAAAGTCCTTTGGATGTGCACTCCTTTGGGGTCAAGCACGTATCCCCTGAGAAATCTGGGGGTGGAAAAACAAGAAAATTTCAGGAAATCTCTTACTTAGGCAGTATTTATCATTGTTGAACTCAAGTATTTCTCCAGAGAGAAGAAAATGAAGCATTTTGGAAATATGTTCTTCTTCTGCCACTGTTTATGTTGCAGTTAAAAGCTTTTTATCCATGTCTACTGGAACAGTGACCAAGTAGTACCTTCTGAAGCAAAGTGACACTTCAGAAAGGATGCTTCAGTTTGCAGCTGCCATTCTTTTACATAGCAGTAAATACACATCAGGCTTCTCAGAAAACACAAGAATATCAAACACAACTTTAAAAAAAATTCTTTTTCCATCTGCTTTGCGATTTATTCATAATCAGGTAGTCTTGTCTTACTGTTTGGCTCTTTCTGACTGACTTTTGGAAAAATGCTATTATTAATTTCACTTGCTTAGATAAGGTTTGAACCAAGTTCTTGTCCATGTTACTAAATATTTAGACTGTTCTGAAACTTCTCTTGAAAAGCCCAAGAAAAGTTTTTAGACAAAGCCCTTTCAGTTCCAAATTGTGTTGGATGGAGGCCAGATACATACATTTTCTTCTGAGGAAGATCTTCAGTGGATTACCCAGAGCTCGAGAGTCCTTCTTTTAAAGATTTATAACTCCTAATAAAATATTCAATCACCTTGAGGTATTGTCAGCTATTCTCTGGTGCTTCTTTAAGCAAATTAGGCATTTAGGATTGCATATGTGCTGCGTAACCTCTCAAAAATAACATAATGTAAAGCCTGGGATAATCTATACTGTAGTGAAAGCATTGAAAGAGACACTTAAGAGCTGAAAGAAAGGTAAGATACTCTAAAGAACACAAGAGCTATTATGCAGCTCATACTAAAGGAAGGTCTGTTTATACTTCAACACACCCTCCTACATGTTGCCATTACACATTTATGCAACTAAAGCTACAAACAAACAAACAAAAGAGAAGTTATAGCTTAAAAGGGGGTAGAAGGAAGACCTGTAAACTATAGATGAGTGAGCCTTCTCTCTGTGCTTGGAAAGATCATGGAGCAGGTCTTCATGGAAGCAATGTTAAGGCATATGCAAGACAAAAAGGTGATCCTTGCATGGCTTCACTAAGGGAAAATTGTGCCTGCCCACTCTGGTGGCTTTTTATGATGGAATGACTGCAACACTCTGTAAGGTCAACATATAGAGAAATGTCAGCTACCTGGACTTTTGTAAAACCTTCATGATGGTCCTACACGACATCCTTATCTCTCCAGACTGGAGTGACATGGATTTGACAAATGGGCTATTCAGTGGATAAAGAATTGGCTGAATGGATGCAGCCAGAGAGTTGGGGACAATGGCTCTATGTCATCTATGGTGGAGGTAGGTGACAAGAGGTGTCCCTCAGGGTCCTGGGACAGGGACAGGTGCTCCTCAATCCGTGACACAGACAGTGGGACCAAGTGCACCCTCAGCAAGTTTGCAGATGGCACCAAGCAAAGTGGTGCAGTTGGCACAACAGAAGATGGGATGCCATCCAGAGGGATCTGGACAAGCTGGAGAAGTGAGTCCATATGAACCTTATAAAGTTGAACAAGTCCTAGTGCAAGGTCCTGCACCTGAGTCAGGGAAATCCCAGACATGAGCATAGACTGGGAGAAGAATTCATTGGCAGTAGCCCTGACAGGAAGGACTTGGGGGTTCTCATGGATGAAAAGCTGGACATGAGCTGACAATGTGCACTCATTCCTGAAAGCCATCTGCATCCTGGGCTGCTTCAAGAGGTCAAGGGAGGTGTTCTCCCCCTCTACTTTGCCCTCATGTAATATCACCTGGAGTACTGTGTTCTGATCTGGGGTCCTCAGTCCAAGAAAGACAGATTGAGTCCAGAGGAGGTTCAAGAACATGATCAGAGGGATGGAACACCTCTCCTATAAGAAAAGGCTGAGAGAGTTGGGGTTGTTCAGCCTGGAGAAGAGAAAGCTCTGGTGAGACCTCACTGTGGTCTTCTAGTAATTAAAGGGGTCCTATTGAAAAACAGAGGGAAGTGTTTACACAGGCATGCAGGGATAAGACAAAGGGAAGGGTTTTAAACTGAAAGAGGAAAGATTTAGATTAGATGTTAGAGAGAAATTCTTTACTCAAAGTGTAATGAGGCACTGGAACAAGTCACACAGAGTTGTGGATACCCCATCCCTGTAAGTATTCCAGGCCAGGTTGGATGGGGCTTTAAGCAACCTGGTTTAGTGGAAGGTGTCACTACCCTTGCTAGGGAGGCTGGAATTAGATGATCTTCCTTTGAAATGGAAGGCCGCTTCCATTTCTATGCAAACCAGTCTATGATTCTATGATTCCCTGCCCAAATATCTACAATAAAAGATATTATAAACAGGAATTTCCTTTGTTCCTGAATGCGTTAGTTAATGAGTTTTCTAGTAATTCATTATTCATTTTTCAAACAAAAAATGTTCCTGTTCTTTTTTATTTCTCTGTCTTATTTTCATTCTTCTCCTTTTTCACACAACACAAAACTGTTCCATGAAATGGTTGGACAGATTTTTGGCATTTAGGTGGAACAAATACAAAGTGATTGCAGTTTACTTGTTCAGCTCATCTCCACTAATGGGTTCTTTGCTTTTCTGGGGCTTTTTGTATTCTCAATCAGTAACATTACCTACTGCCTAATACATGCAGCAAACTCCCAATTAAATGGTTATATATTGTTAATCACCTCTCCACAGGTCTCCTTGGTCAGCACACATCCAGCAGTGTGTCTGAGTGAATGTCCTGCTTCAAGGTGATGCCTACCATGCACATGGACCAAAACACAGAAATTAACCCAAAGGATTGTGGAGAGGCCAGGCCAGTTCAGCTTGAACTTTGCTTTCCACTATGGACCTGATTCTGATTACCACCCAAAATCTTCAAATATCCTTTGTGTTTCAAAGTTTCATGTTTGTCCATTTGGGAATATCTTTATACAGATGACCAGAATTGCTTATCAGATTCCAGATAACATTGAGAAGGTCCCAAAAGAGGCTGTTTAAAAAGCAGTGATTTTCCTGCCTTTTTCTCTTCCAAAGACAGCTTTAAAACACATTCTCATTGTTAGCGAGGTTTTTTTCAGAATTTTTTTTCTGCACTAAGGGCGGAAAATTTGATCTTTCTGCCAGAAACCAGTGATGGTCTTTACCAGTGACTAAACACATCAGTGTGCCCAATGGAACTGCTGCATCAGCCTTTGCTAAGATGGACACTTCAGTGGCAAGAGAAAAACTCAAGAAATCTCCACTACATTTCCTCTCAACAAAGCCCTATTTGTCAGATATCTTTTAGAAAGCATTCTCACTTGATGGAGCATTTTGAAGAAAGATTAATACTTCTCCCTTCCTGCTTATGTAACTGAATCTAGAGCACCGGGTTCACTGTGTAGACTGGAAATTCTCAAGGGGGAGAACAGTTCAACCTTTGCCTAGTAGCAACTATAAATCTCTGGACAAATGAGTCAATCCAATGTCTCAAGAGTTCAAAGCTATTTCAAGATAGATTTGGCAACCAGTGGTAACAGAAGTAGCAGGATCATTCTAAAGATCTTGAGAAGGACTTCTAGTGATACCACTTTTCTGGTAAAATAAATAAAAGTCTGTCATCTAAAGGAAGATTTTTTATGGACATTAGTTCTAGACATTTTTGTATTCCTGTCATACTGAGAAATCTGTTGGTAACATGCATTCACATATAAGTCTGACAGAACACCACAGCTAAGAAATCTTACTCTTCCCATTTACTCTTGCGATACCACACAAAGTTTCAGAGAAAACTTCAAATACAAGCATATCCAGCACAATTTAGAAGAGCTGAGCTAATCTGTGTTTGCTGAAATTATCACACAATGGAACAGTTCCATTATTTGAAGGCCATTCAGAACAGACTGCCTCAAGCTCTGGCCCTTGTGTATTATTCACCTTCTTAAACAACCTTGCATGCAATGCTCAGGAACAGGAAGACATGTCAGTTGTCCTTCCAAGACACTTTTATGGTTCTTTTGCCTAGATGAAATAGCACAAAGGACAGTCACAGAGTCTTATTTTGATTGTTCTTACACAACAACTTGGCAGGACACAACTGATGACTTTTTGAGATTAAACACATACATGGGAAACTGCAGACTACAATGGATTCTTGCTAACATGTCTTTGGGGGAAACCAGGAAAGCACTTAAGTCCACCCTAAATGCTGCCCCACTGGGCATGCATAGAAGGAAATTCAAATTTGAGTACCAAGATTCTTTTTGGAGTTGGAAATATAGAGGGTTAGATTAATTTAACAGCCAAACTACTTTTTCCTTTCAAATTTTCTAAATCCACATGTGCACAGATAGCATGCAAGAACTTGTGACCTAAAAGTGAAGATTTTGCAATGTGTTGGTTGTCTAAGACAACAGTGGGACATGATGATCTTAAAGGTCTTTTCCAACCTAAATAAGTCTATGACTCTGTGAATACAGGCTTTCAGGCAAATTTATCACTGAACTTCTCTGGAGAGCACTTAAAACAATCATCAATTTTAGGAAGATGTGTTTGCATTCACTCTGTTCTAAACCACATGCTGATTACCCAGAAATTAACTATCAGCTCTCTCATACAGCAGTATGTTAGATGGGAGCATACATGAATACAAATTCCAAATAAAGTTGGAAGCTGTGAGAATGACTTTTACGCTAGTGAACTTTATAAAAAGGAAGCGCTGTATTTTCCAGGTGTTTAAGATTCAGTTTTTACCGGCAGTGGATGAAGTCAGGAACAGGATTATGCTGGCTAAAGGATGCTGCATCAAGGTTCATGCAAATTTCCACATTGTCTCCAGCCATGATTCGTACTGCAGCTTTATTTTCATCCTCAAACGTCTGCCTTTGCAAGGATGCACACAGAAGCAGCATGAAGTCGTCTAGGAGAAAGCAGTGATTGCAAGGAAAAATTCAGTCATCAACATAGGTGTAAGGAGAGTTGTGATATATTATAATGTAGTTACCAGACTGTTTTCCCACACTTTGAACCTCCAAGACTGAGTGGTTTTCAATGCATTTAACTCTGAATTGAAATTTGTTAATGTTTTTACGTTTTTTACCTGTCATCATCTAAGACTTTTATGGAGACAGAAATGAGAAAAAGGGAAATATTCAAACATTTTGATGTAGAATTATTAAAAAGGGGATACAGGAATAGTAGATGCAAAAAAATCCTAGTTTTGTGAATTCTTCTACTATATTCAAACCCATGCTTAGTGTTCAATTGCCAAAAAAAATCTGTCATCTTGCTATTGAAGTGTAAATAAAAGTCTGGCTTCAAATTCCATTGTACAGATGATTTAAGCAAAGAACATATAAGCACTTCATAACTATGTGCTAAAATACTTACACACAAGGAAGACAGGGTTTGGTCTCACAATGAAGTCTGGAAAGTATAACCACTTTATGATGTTGGAGTTGAAGTTGGCATTGCCACTTCTCCATGGATAGTCTGTGTGGCAGAAGCACGCAAAAATTCAATCAGTACTTCATAATAATTACTTAATCCTTTTCTTCAGAATACTTACCAATTTTCCAGCATTCTTCTATAAAAGCAAGTAGCAGTAATCTTACATAAAGGGTGTCCTTACCTTTACAAGGAGCAGGTGGGATGCCAATGCAAAGGAAATACTGGAATGTAATGATGCATGCTAGAAAACAGCAATATTTTGGCCAGATCTCTGCAATAGCTTTTCTCCTACGTCGATACAACACAGCTATCAGCCAGAAGGCGTGAATCATTGCATAGAAATCCATCCTTTGACCAATTACATTCACTGATAGAAGAAAACAGGTCTGAAAACCAAGTAAAGAAACATAAACAACTTTTACAATCTCATGGCTAGTCAATGCAGCAGTAATAAATTATTATGGATCCTGACAGAATGCTTGGATGTGGCTGCATCTCACTGCAGGAACCCTGTGTAAACCAACATGCTCCAACTGCAACTTCCACCACTCCAGCCAAACACCCAAATTTTTTTATACTCTTCTGTCTAGAGCAGGTTTCCATTATCTGATATCTAAAGACACGGGAAGGAAAGAGCCTTCTCACGATAGCTGGTATGTGAAATGTTGAATTGTTGCCAAGCAAAGAATGCATTACAAAACCACATATTTTGATAGGACGTACAGATGTGGAAAGGAAGAGGAAATATTAAGATTGGTAACAACTAAAATGTATCCTCATGTAGGAAATGGACAACACATTTAGACCATAGAGCTTCTATTGGTGGTAGACAAATCCAGTCAATTCTTGCAGCAGCTTTAGTTTTCCATTATTCTAAAGGCTCTGCATTCTAGCATTTCTGTTCTCTGGCTTCACTGAAAGCAGTCCCTTCACTCACTTCCATGAAACATGTTTTGAAACTCTGTGAAAACCTCATTTATTCTGTGCACTATGCTATTTTGGTTTTCTCTCTCCCCAGATTAGAATGATCTTGAAATTATTTCCCAAAGGAAATAACTTGCTGGGCTTTTAAAATTTTCATTCATTCTTAATCCTCAGATGGCTGTGAATATTTGTTCCATTGATCAAAGTGGTGGTAGTGTTTAACAGGTCAAGAGCATCATTATGATTAAATTTAGGATGCATTACTCTGGGAGTTGCCTCCTTCAGATAGGCATAGAAAATTGTGAAAAATCATTATTTATGGAAAGATCTTTTGAAAGTACATTTCATGTGCACATGAACAAACAGACAAGGTAAGAGAACAGAGATGACTAACATGAATGATGACTAATAAGCCTCTAGATGTCAAACACAGCCCAAGCTACTATTCAAAAATAACACATTCAAAAGGCTTGGAATGATAATCTAAAGAAAAGTAATACATATTTACCTCCAAACCAAACTTGTAGAAGAAGTAGTTTATGAAATACTTGACACAGTTTACAAGTCCATCATCCAGATGAGCTCTTGTAATATCATGGAAAATGGTTTTAGTCACAGGTGTGGTGAGGTTATTTCGACATCTGTAGTACTCTTGGTGACGGTAAATTGTAACTTCAAAAGCCAGAATAGCCAGCATCAGTAAATTATTCTATGGGAAACACAATCAGAAGAATATTAAATGAAAGTCAAAACCATAAGAAGCTATAAATTTTTTTTATAAGAATAAACTCATTATTACTCAAATTCATGTTATTACTGAGGACTTCCGCACCCCAGAATGCACTGGCACCTATTCCCAATTACTATGATTGAAACAAATAAGGGTTCACACCAATTCTTGGATTTGATAAATCATACAGACATCCAGAAGATACATATAAAGACATTAATTAAAAATACTATTAAAAAAAAATAGCTGTGGAAATGAAGGGAAGGAAAAAGGCATTGAGCCATTCATGTGCCCTCTCATATTTCATAGCTTCTCTTAAGTTATCATGTTTTGTTTTGAAGGAGATAGAAGATACAAACATACACAAAATCCTCTGCAGAGGTTTAGCTGTCAAGCATTAACTTTCCTAAACAAGGATATTGGGTACAGCAAATGTAACCTGAGCACTCTTTCACATGAACTGTCAGTCTTCTCTCACGCACAGCTTCTTCTGTCCCAAAGCCAAATTGACAAGAATGCAGTCAAGGGTGGCTATGAATTGATTTTTTATTTATCTCAGGAGGGAGATCTGTCCTATGCTCAACAGAAAAGAGGTACTAACTCCAATGGCTATTTAAAAAGACCAGCTCAGAGGAAGTGCCTCAAGGAAGTCATAACTGGAAACAGAAGTGGCAAACTCTGGATCTCTGTTCTCTGAGAAATATTTGGGACAAGAGTCTCCTGAAACAAGTGCCACTGAGATTTTTATATTTTCTGACAATCTTAAACTGTGTATATAGAATGTTGAAGATTCTTTAAATTAATAAGAGATATGGTTTTCCCTAGGACCTGGAACATTTTCATTGCAAGTAAAGATTTTTAATCAAAACAGGAATAATAAAACATTGCTCACAGGCATCAACCAAAACCAAGAAGAAAAACAACAGATATCCATTCACTAGTGTTTGAATGAATGATTCTCTTAACTCATTATATTTTCTAAACTGTGGCTAAGGAATAAGCACTTAGAAAAATTAACTTCAAGCACACACTGTCTTTCAGGGCAATTACTTTAATTAGACCCATCAGTTCTTTGGTACCTGAAAGCCTCTTAATTACTTAAGTAAGAGTTCTTAAATATAACATTTCTTAAAGAGTTTTTAACAGATGGTAGAGTCCAAAAGTGATAATTCTACATGAAAGAATAACTTAATTGGTACTGAATCCCTTCTGGAAACATCTCTGTGCAACAGATGTGGTTTTCTGTTGCCTCTTTCCATCTGTACTTTCCTATTATCAGTGGTTTGCATTACATTTCTTTTGTGTCTGACAGATTATTTATTTCAAAGGTACTTTCATCACAAATAAGAAAAAATCTGAATACGAATAAAAAAGAAATTACCCTTAAGTACACAAGAAGGGGATAAGACTTCCTCAATCCAACCCACTCTGCAGGATCAACTGGCCCACTGTAGAGCACTGAGGTTTTCAGTTCTTCTAAATCGACCTTAGTTTCATTCTCTCCTGGCTAAAAAGAAAAGGCAACAGTTATAAAACATGACTTTAAGACTGCTTGGGAAGGGTATGATAATCAACAATAACACTTCAGGTGAACTGCTATTTTTGTACTTGATATGCTTCCTTTTGCTCTCCTTCACTGAAGAAGACAGCAGCCAAATCTTTTTAATGTGCATTTGTACTCACCAATGTACAGTTACTGGAAAATGTCTTGGGATCAATAGATGTGAGCTGGTATAACATTTTGCAGACAATAATCACACATGTCCAAACAGTGCAGATACTTGATGCCAGTGGGCGAAACTGAGCATATGGCAAAGCAAGAGCCCAGGCAATTAAAAACACAAAGTTAAACAGAGACACCTGAAAACACAAAAACAGTACAGAAATTACATCGAGTAACAAAAGAACTGAGAAAGTTTGACCTTTTCCACAGCAGGTAAAAAAAAGAATCATTCAAAAGAAAGGGACACGCAGAAACTTTGAGGAAAATACTGAAAAAAACAAAATTTACAACAATACCCACAATAACACAGACACAAAGTATTAAGTGAAGAAGGAAAAACTTTACAGTTGGCTTAGGAAGAAATTTACCACCTACATAATATTAATACTATTAGATCCACAAAATTCCATATCTTTCTTATAGACAGATGTGAAATACAAAGGACCAGATGCAGCTTCTGCTGCTTTAGTACACATGAAACAAGGAAGAGATGGCTCAGATCCGTGTGTCTGTGCAACTGACCTTCATCCTCTTGACTTCTCCCCCACAAAAAAAAAAGAAAAAAAAAGTGAGAGGAGGAATATTTTTTTGTTTTTAGTGAATCCTGTCTTACTACCCTGTTCAAGAAATGGCTCTCACACAGAGAACTCACATTGCCCACACCAACAGCTGAAAGTGTTTATCCCTTTATCTTCAGGCATAGTTCCACATTCTTGTTTCTTATGCACCAGACCAAGTTTAAGTAATTTTCCTACAAGTATCTTCCCAGTACTTTTCTACACCTTCCATCCTTGGATGGTGCCCACTGACAGTTTGAGTAGGGAGAGGAGGTTATGTCTCTTAAATCCAAAGAATTTGACTAATAAAATTTTAATATCTGGGAAAAGGCAGGGGCTGAGTCTCCTAAAACAGACAGAATGTGGAAGATGTCAAGGCAGGTTCCAAGCAGGTGAACAAACCCAGCTGGATCCCATAATTTCAGTGAGGTCTGACAGGAGGAAGCCCTCTCCCTACACCTGGGTGTATAACCACATGGCAGATGCTGACAGGCCTCCACAATGTGTAAGAGCTTGACAGTGGGTGTTCACTTGCCTCTTTCACTGTGACCCAGATGATGTAAGAGGAAACAATTTTGATGATGTGCAGCTCCAACAGCCACCATACAAAGACTTGCATCTTGTGAAAATACTCCAGGAATTTCAAAAACAGCACTGTAAGGCGGTCGATCACCAGATGCCACTTGTTCCTTAAGTCTGCAGGGATGTTCAAGCAGAATCATTGTAAGGAAAAAAACAAAAGGTCTCTGTGAAATTGAATACTCCACTCGACAACAATGAGCTTTCTGCTTCTCTTCTAAGCTTTAAAATAACACAAGATGGAGGATAAAGGTACAGCTCAGTGGTTAACTCACTAAAAATGTGGTTGAAGCCTACTTAGCTGGGGTGCTTTCCCCTCTGACCCACATTCCCTGGAAGGATTCTGCACTTCAAAAGCACCAGTGGTGGCCTTCCTTGCCAATTTTGCTTTTATTCCTCTCATTAGAGCTCTTTTTGGACTCTCGTCCTCCAGTATTTTTGGACCTAAGCTTAGAGATCTCACACAGGAACTAAGTCCAGCCCTGGTCCTTTTCCAGCTCAGAAAAATAAAAATGTTTTTGATGCTTGGAAGCTATGGACCCAGCCTGTTTTCAGAAAGCACAGACTACTACTACTACTACTACTACTACTACTACTACTACTACTACTACTACTACTACTACTACTACTCAGAAAGATTTTCAGCCATATTGGAAGAAATCCATGCACACTAGGACTTGGATTCCTGTCACAAGGGTTTAGACAATTGTACTACAGACATCTTCAGACGTCAGAGTTAAGTAAACTGCCTTGAAAACAGCACAGCCTCTTGGAGTGTGACCTGTGCCTTCACAGGAAATCTAAATCAAGAAAGGCAAACTGTAGCCCAGTCAAATATTTCTCTCAGTTGAAAAAGCTTCATCAAGTGGAGATTATGAAGTTGGGTGAAAGTATCCTTTCACAGGGGTGTTTGGCTAAAAAAGCCATCCTCCCAAGTAGTACTAGTGAGCAAGCTTGTGGCTTGTGTTACACATGAGTGTACATGACAATATATTTGCTGAACAGTGCTCTGTAAGTGACAGCTTGTGGGCTGGCTGTAAAAGTGTTTCATCTGGCTGGTATTACATATATATATACATGTGTGTGTATATATATATATATATATATATATATATATATATTAGTGCAGAGTCTTCACACTGTATTCAGTGTTTCAGAAGCAATTTGGAGATTAGGAGGGATTTTGCACGCTGTGAGAACATTTTTATATCAGAGATGGAAACATTTGCAAGGGATACCAAAGCACATCACTGTCTAAGCTGGTAGAAATTCAAAGGAGTTATCACCTTCTTTATGAAACTATTTCAAATTATCACTTTATTTTATGTGTAAAACACACCAAGATGGTTACTCCATGCATATTTGTGTGAAGAACATATGCACATTTTGTGTGAAAAAGCAGACTTCTGGAACACTCGTCAAATAAATTCAATTTTTTTCCTTTGACTTTTTTCTCCAAACAGAACTTAGAAAATCCTAATAAAAATTTTGAGTGATGTGAATTCTGTAAGCACATAATTAAACTTGAGAAATTAATTAAGCTACAGAACTCTAATCCTACATGTGTTTTTATAAGCACGATGAGAGCATTTGAGAGAAGTCTTTGCAGAGTTAGATGTTCTCACTCATTCTTTCATTGCATTCATTTTCATTTGCAGTGTTGCATGATGCAAGATGTATCCAGGCAGTGCCAGTTACCTGGAGGAGCAGGCAGATAAGGTGCTCTGTCTAGCATGGCCAGGCAATGCACAAATAAAATAAAATAAAATAAAATAAAATAAAATAAAATAAAATAAAATAAAATAAAATAAAATAAAATAAAATAAAATAAAATAAAATAAAATNAAATAAAATAAAATAAAATAAAATAAAATAAAATAAAATAAAATAAAATAAAATAAAATAAAATAAAATAAAATAAAATAAAATAAAATAAAAGCCTGACTGCATCCACTGAAAGATTGTACAACACTCTGTAGTGCGGTCTGCACACATGAATGTGTTTAATGTCTGGCCACATGGCTGTGTAAAAATGGTATAACTCCAGTAGAAATAAATGTCATGTGCAGCTTAAAATTTGATCCCCTTGTGCTATTTCCAAGCAACACCAGCTGCAGCTCCCCACCTCCCTGCTTGCATGTATCACTGCACAGAATAATGTCCACCAGCTGGCCTCTTTCCCAATGCCCTTCCAACAAGCTGGGATGGCTGGAGTGCACCAGACCCCTCACAGACAGTATGAAAGTTGGCCAATAAAGGTTTCCATGGCCCATGACCACCTCTGTGATGACAGCTGTTCCAGGCTGGAAAGGTAAGTTGTTTCAGCTGAGGTTCAAGCACTGGAACAGGCTGTCCAGGGAAGTGGTGGAGTCACCAGCCCTGGAGGTTTTCAAAAGACGTGGTGGTATAGGTGTGGCATTTAGGGACATGGTTGAGTGGTGGATATGGCAGTGCTGGGTTAATGACTGGACTCCATGATCTTAAGAAGTCTTTTCCAACCTAAATGATTCCCTGATTCCCCAGAGCTGCTAAGCCTGATGTGCTGCCATTTTGCCTTGACAGAGATCATCTCCCTGTTTAGGTGTCATAGTCCTGTGAATATTGGCATGAGTAACTACATTTGTAGTAAGGTCCTTTCCAAAGAATACATCTTCTTTGGGTGTTAAATGCTCTTTCCTAGTTTCACTTTTGGTTCATATTACAAATTAAGTTATGGTAATAATTCATTTTAGAAGTTCATATTAACAATATCAAAGATGACAGTATAAGCCATACCCATGTCTGCCTCTAAGCTTTTTTTATGTTCATCTGGCATCAATTACACATTCCATATTCAGAAGTGAAAAATATGACACTAATGTGCACATAAATAATGAAGCAAAGCCATTGGGACTTCTGGGGAGGGGTGTCTTGAAAGCATGCAGTATCAGGTATTAAATATGTATGTGTATTATTTTCTTTGTTGGAAGGAGATTTCACTCGAAAGAAGTACTTAAGATTTGGGGCAGCTTTCAAATAATCTAACCCAGACCACCCAGAAGAAATGGGCACCGGGTTTCTGTTTGTTTCTTCCTCTCAGTGTCCTGCAGTACAATTTTTTGCCAAGAAGACCCTGTAGCTTGTTGAATAATTGACAAGTAGCCATCTGCTCAGTTCAGGCTCTTAGACACAGACTGCATGTGAAACTAGAAGGCAAACTGGTGTTTGAAGTTAACAGCGATGACCAATAACAAACCACCTGTTGACACTACTAATTAGGACTGAGGAAGGTAAAATTTGCATTCTGCAGAGCTTACCTGTAGTTTCTTCTTCCTCTGATTCATTATCTTCATCGTCGTCATCATCATCATCTTCCTTATCCTCATCTTCCTTCTCTTCTTCCTTTCCTTTTTTGACCCTCTCTTTCCCTCCCTCCCCCTCTGACTCTTCCATTCTTTTCTCACCAGCCTCTTCCAGCATTTTATCCTCTTCCTTTTCTCTGCTGGCTGTTAAATTCATCATAGTTATGTCAGGCAGGCTTCCATCTTGGTGCACCAGTCTGTTGGTAAACAGTAGCAAGTCAGCAAACTGAGGAGTAATGACATCGAAGTCTTTTTCTTTTTTTCAAACTGTATAATTAGAAAAAAATAAACTGTTCATGGAAAATGCCTTAGAAGTAGAAAAGTTAATGACTCTGGTACTCTCTCCAAACACACACTGAAAATCGAGTCTTTGGAATGTATTAGTAACTACTTTTCACTCAGATACTAATGGTTAGTTAGTAATGAGTGGTATTGACACTTAAACTTGACATTTTCCCCACTGGAGAAAATGGTCAGAGTTTAAGATGTAGAAGCATGAAATGACTTTATTTAAGAGGAAACATTTCATGACTTCACAGGGGACTTACTCATTTTGGTGGTTTGGTATTTTTTTCTTGAGGCTGCTCAAAGTAATTGGAACAGAAAGAAAAAGGGAGATGAGAACAGAGGGGTTACAGAAGAAGGTCATTGACAAATACGTCATGCTACATCACAAGTCATAAAGCATTCTCCTACTCCATCTGCAGAAGCCTTCTGATGCCAAGAGCATGCCATCATGACATTCATGGGGTGCTTCTATAAAGAAACATGGATTTGCAGCACAGATGGAAAGGGGGCAACCTATTTACACCAGTGCCAAACGTGGTCAGTGCTGTACCATGCTCTGAGTGATGCAGCTGAACCATCACAAGTATCTGACCTATCACTGTAAATGCATTTCTACCTTCCTCCTACTAAAGGATGCACCTGGAAAGCCAAGGAATTTGCAATTTTTCTTCCAGCTATAGGTTTGGGAACAAACAAAAGCAAGAATTCCCTGGCTGCACCTTCAGAAGATTTTCTAATATCTGTCTTTGATAGTGCCATTCATTCTCTCTCTCTTTGCCACATCTCACAGGGAATTTTTCTTTAATTTATAATTGTCTCCATCTAAATCTATCAATAAGTTTCACAGCAGCAAAACTGGGATATGAGTGATTTAACACAGAAACAATTTTTCTCTAGTGCCATGGTGCCTTTTTTTTCCTGAGATTATTCAGTATATATTTTCTTTACTAGAGAAAATAAGTATTTTCTTATGGTTTTCTTTTTTCTCCCACAGCTGTGCTGTTGGGACTCATCTCTCATAGTTGCAGAAAACCCAATTTCCCTTTGAATATGACTCCTTGCAATGAAGTCTCCCTTTGGCAAGTGTATGATGAGGACATTAAATGTTCAGTTATGCTACTGAAATTACTACATTCAGCATACCTTCAAGCACCTGTATGGCTGCTGTAATATGCTATAGCACCATCTCACGGATTTATTTTTCTTGATGTGAAATTCTGGCCTATAACCATTTAGAACAGAAATTCTGCCAGTTTGAGGATTCTTACAGTTCAAGAAACTAAAAATCTGTATTTTTTTCCTCATCATTAAAAATTGAGAGAATAGGCAAGGCAGTTAATGAGAAATTCAAACAAGTATAATTATTTTTCAATAATTTGCAAGTTGCAGTTTCTTCAAGATGGAAACTTTGTTGTCTCAAATGAAGGAAAAACTACAGAAATCTGACTAAACAATCCTGAAGCAGAAATACCATGCCAATTGTAAAAAAAGCAGAAAAGGTAGTTTAAAATTAGAAGTTTAACAAGACACTCAAACCCCCAAAAATGCCAAGTAATAAAGTTTATTCATGTTTTAGGCACATTCATGACTAAAATTCCTCATCGTGGGTTGGTCAATGAACCTGAGTGCCTAACAATCTGAAAAAAATCTTAGACTCAAGAATTTATTCAGAAGCTTTGGCTACTGAAAACAGAATCATAAAACAGTTTAGGTTGGAAGGGGCCTTAAAGTACCTACTCCCACTGCCATGGGCAGTGATACCTCCCAGCAGACCAGGTTTCTCAGAGTCCCATCCAACCTGGCCTTGAACCCTGCCAGGACTGGGCATCCACAGCCTCACAGGACAACCTGTTCCAGTGTCTTAGCACTCAACAGTAAGGAATTTCTTCCTAATATCTCACTTAAATTTCCGCTCTTTTACCCATTTTTTACCCATTACTCCTTGTCCTTTCGTTACTGTTCCTGAAAAGTCCCTCTCCAGATTCTCTGCAGACCTCCTTCAGATACTGGAAAGTTGCTGTGAGGTCTCCAGGCAATCTCCTCTTCCCTAGGCTGTTCAGCCCCAACTTTCTCAGGCTGTCTTCATAAGGGAGGTGCTCTAGTCCTCTTACTGACTTTGTGCCTCTACTCTGGACTTCCTCCAACAATTCCAGGCCTTCTTATGTTGGAGACCCCAGAGGTGGATGTAGGTGGGATCTCACCAGAGCACAGTAAAGGGGCAGAATCACCTTCTTTGACCTGCTCACCAAGCTCCTTTGGATGTAGCCCAGGAACCCATTGGCTTTCTGGGCTGTGAGTGCCTGCTACCAACTCATGGTGAGTTGTTCATCAGCCATCACACCCAAATCTTTCTCCTCAGGGTGACTCTCCATCACTTTTCTGCCCAGCCCATAGGTGTGTCTGGGATTGCCATGACCCAGGTGTAGGGTCACTTTGCTTTGATGAACCTCATGAAGTTTGCATGGGTCTGCCTCCTGAGTGTGTCAAGGTCTCTCTGGATGCCATCCCTTCCCTCCAGTGTGTTGACAGCACCACACAGCCTGGTGTCCTCAGCACACTTGCTGAGGGTGTCCTCGATCCCACTGTCCATGTCACCAACAAAAATGGTGAACAGTCTCAGCCCCAGTACTGGTGTTGAGAGACACAACTCATCACTGGTCTGGTGAACAATGAGCCTCTGACCAACTCTGCATGTGGCCATCCAGCCAGTTCTTTATCCACCAAGTGGTCCATCCATGAAAACCATGTCTCTCCAATTTGGAGACAAGGATATCGTATGGGATAGTGTCAAACACTTTGCATAAGTCCAGGTAGACAATGTCAGTTGCTCTGTCCCTATTTATCAATGCTGTACCCTTATGATAGAAGGTCACCAAATTTGTCAGGCATGATTTGCCCTGAGTAAAGCCATGTTGGCTGTTACCAATCATCTCCTTTGAGACTCCTTGATAATTTTCATATCTAAGCATAGACCAGCTAGCATATACACTAATAGGATATTCAAATCTCTATGAGGTGACTACACATCAATGTTCCCTAAAATGACATAACTAACTTATATTTACCTAAAACTCTAATAGAGTACCAACAGGAGGGTCATGTATAAAGAAGAGAGAATGAATTTTCAGTTCAAAAATTACAGAGATCTCTGGTTTCTATAAACCATCAGAGTTCATTTAAAAGGCAATGCACCATGAAATGAAAGTAACATAAAATCAGACAGGTTTTGCATATATGCAATTGCATTGATTTTTATGTACTATTTTCCCAAGTGACTTTCATAACGAAAAAAATCTACATTCACACTGGTGTAAATCAAGGACTTAATGACTTACCTCAGTGCAAATTGGACAGAAACAGTAACTCTATAGGGTTTGGTATGAGTGGACTCATAATTCCTATTCATGTTCTGGAGATCCAGGAGGCAAATGGGGTTGGTACATGTAATATATATACCTGATAAAGCCGCAGTATCAGTTTAGTTTTCAGTAGGCTTAGTTTTACTGGCATCTGTAGGCTTGAACATTGGATCATGTGCTTAGGAGATCCAAGGATAGATAAAAAACCCTGCCCACTGTTTGGAAAGTTAGTCTACTTGAAATCTTTCTTCCAAAATTTCTTTATGTATTGCTAGGGTTGTTTATCCAATTTCTTTTTTTTTTCCCCACTATGAGATCAACACTGAGGTATTATGATATAAAATCTTCACTATTTTAGAATTTTTAAGACAAGCTACCCATACATCTTCACAGCTAGTGAGATATGACTTCATTGTTGGAAGCCACATACCAGTGGGAAATTACCCCAAATAACATGAAGGCATTGTGTCTGATACTAAGGAAGAGAAATAACTGAATAATAATGCAGGCAACAAGCCCTGAAGGTACAGCCACTACTGCTTTTAGCTGAGAGCATTTCTTACTCTCAGGTTCATTAAATAGGGTATCAATAATGAGAAGTATACCAATACATCTAGTTTTTGGCAACAAAACTATTTCAATGGCACTAAAATCAGGCATGTGCATGGTCCTTGCTGGATTCCTAGCACTTTCATCTATTTGTAATTTACTAGAGCAGAAGATTAATTAACTGAATGCATTATTCAGCATTTTTGTCTTTGATTACTTTTCGCCATTTATGAATTGCTTGAAATTTCTGACTAAAAGAAGTTCTTCCTTATTTTTCATGCAAAGCCTTAAGAACAGAAAGCTTCCTGCTCTGCAGAACAGTGGTGACCCATCTCCCGAATATTTGATCTCCAAGACTCGAACCGAGCACACAGTGCCATGCCTCCACGGGCAGGACCTTCAGTGCCTTTACAGGCTTTTGAGAGGATATGATGCTTGAATCCAAGCCCTGTTGGGGTATATGGACAGGCCAGGAAGCCTCAGTGCAGAGGGTCCCTCTCCTTTCATAGGGTGCTGCTTCCATGCTGAGGCTTCCACCACTGTGTCTGTGCCTGCTCCCATGTCTCCCTGACCCTAAGCTTGACATGCAGACTAAAGCCCTTCCTTCATTTCAAACCTGGTTTATCTCCATGGACTTGCTGGGGCCTCACCAGGCTGTGGCTGATCCTTTTACTGATTCCAGACCTGATCCCCACCCTCAGTTTGTGTTCATGCTCGTGACTGCCCACGGATGAGAGCCCAGCCTTGCCTCCTGGCCATGCCCCTCGGCAACCAGCCTCCCTGCCCTAGCCAAGGTGCTTGGCCTCACCACTCCCTTAAACACAGGCTTTCTGTAGACCAGAACTCCAGCTCTGGTGAACTTTTAAGAACAGTGACTCAAACTGTGTGATGACATTTGAGGAAGGAGCATGAACGTGACTCATAAATTGACTTGTTAGAACAGATACTCACAAATATCTAAACAATGCATCTTCTTTGTTTTTCTGTTTATATTCAGTAGTGACAACAACTCAGAAATCCTTCTATTCTCAGAGGTGATTTAAAAATAGCTCACATTTATTCAAATCAAGTATTTTGAAAGTAATCTAATTTATGGAACAGTTTTCAAGATGTCATTTATAAAGGGATGATCATGATGGCAGTTTTTCTAGTTTGGATCCTGCAGCACCCAACTCAGCCCATGAATTAACAGCCTTAGCATGCAGTGGGTTCAGTGTTCCCTTTCCAACTCCGAAATTTCAGTCTGCACAAACTCTTAGTGCATAACTGAACAGGCCCTCAAATTCCCATGCTTACATGCTTGGAGAAAGAGAGGAATGTGTTTGTGTTTGTGTGTCTGTGTGTACACAGGCGCATGCAGGCATGCATCTTTCCATGCACAAACAAAGGGTAGATAAACGAGCCTCCTCAACCAAATCTATTGTCTGCAGCCAATTACAAATAGCACCAATTATTCCTGCATTGAGGCGTGGGCAAAGTTTAGAATTCTCAGCTGAGAGAAGAAACAATGTATAAATATGTAGCTGTATTAATTGCTTCATCAGCTTTAGGAAACTGCAATACCTGAACAATGTTATCTCCCTGCTTACTTCACAGTACTGCGCAGCAAGAACATACTTTGCTTTAAGGCAACTAAGAAGTAACAAAAAAAAATAAGATATATGGTTTTAAAGGAAAGGAAGAATTGAAGTACCCACCTATTAATTATTAGATATACACGGCCATTGACTTTGGCATGGCTATGAGGTGGGAGATGAAAGCACAAGATGAAAATGGGAGATGAATTAGAGAGAGAAAAGAAAACTGTTAAATAGGAATAAACGCACTTTCCTGTCTACCAATGTGTTATGACACATTGTCATAACAATGCACACTCTGAAATTTTAACATACACCATGCAGTGAAAAGTCTAGGAAGCTTATAAATGCAACTCTTAGACATTTAGATCCTGTGCAACTTCAGTCAGAACTACAGATAATTTTCATAGTCCTCAAAATGTTAGAACAGCCTTTACTGCTTTACTTTAAGTAAACCTTAGAATACCACCATTTAATTTTTTATTTTTTTAAAGTAAAGGTAATTATGGCAGAGCTTCATGTCAGAGAAATGATCTACCTCACAGCCTTTATCTCTACCATCCCATAATTCATGGCACAGTATGGAAATGGGTTTGGAAAGCCCTAATCAGAGAATATTTCTTTCTTTTGCAGATATAAAACTGAGACACTCGGTTCTGACACCTTCATAAATAGTGAGAAGTGCCTCACTCTGCCAGTTCCAATGTGCCAGTTTCTGTGTCCTCTCCTTGCAGCTAGCAGATCCTCACTCTCCAACTCACTCTGCAAATTTTGCTCATGAGAAGCTGCATTTTAATAAATGAACATTCTCAGCAATTTTAACAGGACTCTTCAACTGTAGTACTGTAATCACACCTGGCAGTTCAAAGGCAGATGGAGGACCTGGATGTACTTTCTTTATTGCTTTCATGACCAGCTCTCTGCTGCTGTGAATATTTTAAGAAAGGACTGAGTTCTGTCTTATTACTCAAAATGAAGTTTCTGTTTCTTTAAATTTTTTTGCTGCCAAAGGTGCAGCATAAAAGCAATTTAGAAATGCTAGCAAAAATGAAAATTAAGTTTTAGCAGCTTTGAGAGAAAACTACACATATATATGAATCTTGAATCTGTTTTAATTGCCCCTGCAATTAAATTATTGTTAGCATTACTGTTAAGCTGAAGTTGGTGGTTGTGTTAGTTCTTATCCAGCTTGATGCATCACCAATACAAATGTCAGCTGAGGTCTTATCGTGAAACTTTGAACTATAAAGTCAGCTGATGCTCAGTTGTGATTTATTGCATCAAGGGAAGGAAACAGCTGTATTTTCATATGCCAGGCAGAGTTAGTAGGAGAACAAACTGAGAAAAGTGTTCTGATTCGGGTACTGGTCACAATAGTTAAAGCTTCTCAGGATGAACAAATGAGATATGTGATATTTTTGATTTTGAAAATACTGCAAAATGGCAAATGCAGCACATATGTTGCATTTAACAGTTAAAGATATTTAGCTACTTATGTGACTGCTTAATACAATCTAGAACACATATAGACTCAAAAAACCAGCATTCTATTTCCAAGAGTAAAAGGCTAATGGTATCAGATGATTCTCTTCATCTGTGATTTAATAAAAAGCCTGGTACAACAGTGAATGTCCACTTTCAGCATGGTATCTCAAGGCTACTTATTCCTGGCAAAAAAATGTTTGCTTGCAATGCATTAAAACATTTTGTGTCTTCACCATCAGCAATTCCATCCTTCGGGAATAAAGTGACTTTAGTTACAGTGATCCTCTTCATGCCAACATTTGGGAAGCTGTGTAACATTCTTGTATCTTTCATGTGTAATGGAAAGATTTTCAACGGTTTCATAGGCAAAGTGAACCCATTAAAATCCTACGAGTGCTTCAGGGATTTTTGTCTTTTTATTCTGTGTCAATTGGATCACACTAGAAGGGAGGTGGAAACTTTCTACGTTACTCAGCACAAGTGCAAACTTTGGGCTGCAAGAGAGCTTGCGGGGTGACTGCAAAATGTAAAGCATTCCCTCAAATGCTTCAGCCCAGGAACAACCCCATTTCAGCTCAGACACATATCTGGGCTCTGTTTTCAGGACTTGGCCAATTCAGAGCTGTTAACATGTACCTGCTGCTGCATAAAAGCCTGCTATGGGCAAGGGATGTTTGCTCACAGGCCATTACAAAAGCACCCTTGAATCTACCACCACATCTAGCAATTCAAGAAGAGCAATGTGAGAGTTATTACACAGACAGACATTTAAAAGGTAAGTTTAATCCCCCCACATCTTTATTGGGAAATTTTATCAATTTTGATCTGTTCTGGTCTTAGCAATTATTTAAATACAGAAACTGGAAGCATTCCAGAAAAGTTGAGCTTATTCTCATGGCACAAACTTATATCATACAGTATACTGTGAAGTAGCTTCATATCTAATTGAATGTGTGAAAAATATCTGAAATGCTTTGTAAATCTTGCATAACCTAGAACATAATTCCCTGTTAAGTAACTGGCATTATTCCATAACACCCTGTGGTTTATGTGGTGTTAATGCAGCTAGTCCCCACTCATAGAAGTGCAGCTGAGATACACTTATCACTAGACAGGTGAACATTCTAAAAGTAGGGTGTAAATTAATTGCTTTTTTCAAAGAATGAATGCAATAGTAACTGTCATTGCATAATATAATACTATGTAGTACACTATGTCCTACAAAACCATTTCTCTCTCTTATATTCCTGGCTCAGGATCCTAGGTCAGATTGGGTTTTATGCAGGAAAACATATAAGAATTGAGCACTGGAAAAGTGATGTACCAGATTCATGAAAAAATGCTAATGGCTGTCTGGATGAAATCACCAAATGTCTAGCATAGCCAAGGGTCAGTACTATGAAAAGCAACCACAAATTCGAAATTTTTCCGTTTCTGAAGTTGAGCTTTACAAAAAGGCCTAACTGTTCAATGCAAATGTGGTGTGTTCCACAGATCTCCTAATCTTCATGTGGCCCTCAAAATGGACATTGAAAAAAGAAAAGTGACCCAAAATAAAAGCTATATTTCTTCTGATAGAAACACACATACAAAAGGGCACACACAGTAGTTAAGCACCTAACTCCCATGAAAGGTCAAAGCCAATGAAATAAGTCCATAAATACCATTAGTACATTTGAAAATGTACCCTAAAATGAAAAAGTTCAGTGTGTAGGGGAAAATGGGGAGAGACAGATACTTTGATTGTAGTGGGATACTGCATACTGTGCATTTTCTTTTTAAGCCAGGTAGTCATAGCAAAGGCAAATAACATCTACTGAAAAGTGAGCGTTAAAAGATAGTCAGAAACAGTATTTCCATACAGATAATCAATAGTTCCATTTACTTTGCTTCTTTACCTGTAAATAGTGTTGTCCTGTTTGCTGGTTACAGCTTTTAGATCTGTGATCTGGAGAAACTGATCATGGAAATAGTGAAGGTGTAAGATACACACCAGTAGGAAGGAGGTGGGGATAAAGATGCGTGTAAATAGATCACCCACAGAAAACTGTTTTAATCCAAGGTCCTCTAGTCTGGAAAAAAAAAAGTATTCTACTAAGGCATCTTTTCACACAAAATATTCTTTCCATGAGACATTACTACAAATTATTTGCTATAGGACATAAGGAGATGATACTTCTTATGTGGTTTTGGTTTCTAAAATTCTTCCAAACTAGCAAGTTTTACAATGCAAGTATCTTGTGTTTGGACTCAGTAATGTAGAGATGTACTGTAAATGTACAGTCAAATGAACAAACCCTGCCACAGATCTCTTGAATCAGATGAGTTTTCTCTGACTGAAAGTCCTGCACTGGAGAGTCACTCATATTGCTTATACTTTCTAATGTAAGCTTCTCTTGAGAAATGCCCAAATCATCATAAGGATGAAGAAACCCAGTCCTTATTAGCAGGAGAGCAGGTTCACATTAACCAGTTACAAACATCTTGCAGATCTACCCTTAATCTTCCCCTGGATCTGGTTCCTGTGGTCAAAGTGGTGATGAGAAGTATTGGCACTGTATTGAAAACAGAAGCAATTCAAAAGTCTAGGCAGCCAATTGGAGAAAATGCAACTCTCAGCTCCTCTCTTGGTCTTGCTCACTTCTGTGTTTACACCAATAAATCTATGGCTCCATAACTGCATGCCTAAAGTCAGCTATGCCTGAGAATGGCTGCATGATGGTTTTCTCTCACAAGAAGGAAGACTACTCTCAGATCCTTCCATCATGCTGAACTCAGAGATCCAAAGATAAAAATAAAAAAATTAATCAAAACCACTTACTTCCTTTCATCCAGGCCTGTCATGTTCTTCCACAATCCAGGGAATGACTCAAACTGGTATGTGTAGATGAAGATAAGTACCAACATTGTGTAAACGACCACTGACATCCAGAAGTACTTTAAAATCTTTCTCCACCATTCATAGTGTACCTGAAAATCACATACTAAAGATGCTGACACAAGCTGATGGCAAAGACACTGATAGAAATATTGACAACATTGTACTGTCAAACAAGGATGAAGAACACTATTTTTCCTAGCTGTTCTGAAGCAAGCGATGATTATCCAGTGGCAGGCCCAGATTTTTGAGATAGTTTTTACTCCTGACATAAATGCATTCAAGTGAAGACTTCTGTGCAAAAATTTCTGATGTGACATGGGCCACCTAATTTCATCACCATTAGGTGATGGAAGTCCAGGAGGAGACGGACTCCCATGCTCATTGGGATGTGGAAGCTGTGTGGACTAGCTGTAACGAAAACTGGTGGCTATGTAAAATGTGCATAGTACTCAGAATTTTCCACAAAGGTTCCAAAGCTTATGATGAAGTGGCATGGTAGAGCTGAGGTGTGCACTGTATCTAATTTACATGCACTTTGCCTGTCACTATAACCGAAAAACAGAGAAAAATTAATTAATCCCTTCAAATGGTGTTATTCTGTTGTGTCTAAACTAAAGGATAAATTCACTGTTCATGAATTCTATTTGGAGCTACTTTATTACCAAGCTAAAAGTATGAATAGCTCTATTCAAGGTTAAAATTCAGTTAGCACAGTTCTCCCTTACCTGGTAGAGGGCCACACAGAAGAGGAACAGTACCATGTAGATGATTTTGTACATGACAATTGTACCCTCAAAGCTGACAAAGAAGAACATGCCCCCACAGACGTAAATCCAGTACTTGATTAACATAGCCATCACCAGGTTCCCCAAGACTTTCATAATATCCTGTTCATCCTCCTCTTCTCCCTCTTCCTCCTCTTCCTTCTCCTCTTCCTGTTCTTCTGCCACTTCTCCCTCTTGCGACTCCTCTTCTGCAAATACAGAGCCACATTTGGCCTGTCTCTTCTGGCAACTTTTAGTAAGAATTTAAATGGGTGGAAGGTAAAATCTGTACACACAACACAGAAACTTAAAACTCAATATTCACAGGAGACTAATTACTAATCGTGCATGCTGCCAGAGCAAGGAAAAGGGTTTTAACTTCATATGAGCTTAAACCTGCTGCTGGAGCCATAGAGCACATGGCTATACATCCTTACCAGACACCCATCTTCACTTTGTCTGAAACGCCAGCAGTTGCAGTGGAAAATTAGAGCCTAAGGGTTGCATAATGGATAATAACCAAAACACTTTCCATGGCAATGCTTGTACTCTCAAGTAAGCAACCTTTTAAACTGGAAAACAAAGAAACCACCAGCACCACCAGAAACCTCACATCTTGAGTTTAAACTTTCATCTCGATTTCAAACCTCCTGTCTTGAGTTTTGTCCTTTAGATAATATTGTGTTTATCTCCAAAAACCACAAGCAAGGGAAAACATTAACATAACCCCAAACAAGCTTGAAAAATATAAATCCTGCACTAACACATCAGTATGAAGAGGTCAAGATTCCCCAGTTATTAACCTTATGATGTATGTGGAGGGCAGAGTAAGTGTCCCCACAGCAGCAAGTACATGTGTGCAAGAATCTAGATAACAGGGCCTACCAAAACCATACAGTACAGTTGCTTTTCTTTCCCTTGAGAGTAATGTTGAAACTTCACCATCAAAAGGCTTGCCCACTCCTTTTGTCCCAGTCATCATCCCCCTCCTCAGACTCTTCCCTTGAAAATGCCTGTAGTACAGTTTTGACACTGATCAGATGTTTTACTAAGGCAAGGATTGTAATTAATCAGAGACAGAACCACACCACTGCTTCCAGGGCTCACTTTCTACCATTTCAGTGCACTGAACTTTTTCAGTTTGACATCCAGAGAGAAAGAGGGCAAGGAATGTTTGGAGAAACATGTGCTCAGTAGCAAAAGAAAGAACAGGTCACTGATTTGTTAGATAAGCTGAATCTATAAAAGTAAACTTTGCTCTCAGGTGTGTTTGAGACCCTGCACTGAAAAAATATATGTTTATTTTTTCCACTGAAATTTGTAGTTTAACTTCTGTGTCTGTAAAAGAGTTTACATACCAACACAACTTTCAAGGAATTTAGCAACTTTTCCTAGGTAAACTCATCTCTTGTGATTAAACTTTAGGCAATTAATTCCCTGATTCGACTTGGGAACACAGCAGTAAACTAATAATTTGAAAGTTCCATGATCTTTCAAAAATTAGTAATTTTATTACCTTCCAGTAAAGAACATTTTATTTGAATTTCTAAAGTTCTAAAGTGTTTTACTTTTATATCTGAGAGATAGCTGCACATGGATTTTGTAATCTTTCTTAGCTAATAAGAGATACCTTGCTAATTGCTTTCAGCATCAGAGAAACGCAGTAACTGGAATTTCTATCATGACTGAAGGACTAAATTGGATCTGGCTTTACCTTTTTCTTCATTTTCTTCACTTCCAACTTTGACCTCAGATAAAGTAGCTTCTTTTAGCCGAAGTGCTTTCTGTTCAGTGAGGTGTTGCCTAAGCAGTAGCCAGAAAGTAATTGTGAAAAGAATCTGCAAACAAAAATCAAAACAAAACCAACAGACTAATTGTATATCCTATGTCCTACTCATACAAGCACAGGTTTTCACAAACTTTGCATGCCTTTGTTTTCTCTGTCTCTCAGAAAATGGCAGTGATGGCACCGGTGTCAAAGTGCATCTCAGGGCAAGTTGTGTTATTTAGGAAACATCCTGCACTACAGACAACTTTGTTTCATTTGCACTTTTCCATTTCTTAAAGGTATTCAACTATATGCATCTATTCCTACCCTATTTTATTCAGTTTCTAACTACTGTCTTATAAGCTTAGGGATCTTCTTATTATGCATTGATTGGTAAAATTCCCATTTGTTATTTTTTTGTTCATTTTTTACGTCTTTTTCAGTGAAGAGCACATGCAAGAGCGTATTGTCATTATCATGGTTTTGTATATAATAAATATTTTGATTTAGGAGGTTTGTTACTTCAGGTGCTTACACACAATTAATTTAAAAATTAATTTTTTTGTATGTCTTGCAGTTACAGAAGACGCAGTGGATGGGATATGCCTTGCATTTGGAACAGTTACAAAAGTTGAGATAGCTCTTAATTCTTTTAAGAGCTTCAAGAGATGATAATTCAGTAACAGCAGGACACCTTAGAAATAAATGGATCTCTTTAATGAAGAGTGCATTTCTGTGTTTTGCAAAAAGCTAAATTCAACAGCTTGCAATACCAAGAGATGGACAAAATTTAGAAAACAACATGATGCCTGTTGTCACACTTGATTTTATGCTTACTTTCCACAAAGTTTTTGCTAATTTCCTTTTGCTTATTTCACTACCTAACTAGAAGAACAAAATTTCAAAGAGGAAGCACATAAGAGTCAAATACTTTGCACACAATAGAATGAAAAGGCCAGTGGTACAATGTATTTTTTTTCTAACTCACAAGACCTTAATGGGGAAAAGGATTGCTCCCAGGAGAGGGCATTTTTTATTGACACTGCTGCTAACACTGAGCCACAGCAGCAGACTGTCAGCCTATGTGACTTGTCACAGCTTTCCCAGATACCTCCTGGAGCTCTGGCTTTTGCAGCACAAACCTTTGACATTGGAAAACACAGACTTTCTTCTCCAGTGATCAGTTCTGACCTCCTGCTACATTTACTCCCTTGTTCTACTTGGTATTTCCAGAGCCAAAGCTGGCTCTAAGAAAAGTCTTGAAGGGTTGCAGACCAAAGAAATACTTTTAGTCACCTCTCAGAGTATAGATTTTATCTCATTTTCAGACCAGGAAACACATATAGCATACAGACACTTTTGCAGAAAGAAGAACAGTACACTTCTATTCTTCTTTCTGCAGAATACAGTATCCAGTCTTCATTTAAATGCCACCATTATTCAAAGGACTTTAAATCAGGAATAAAGGGAGGTACAGAGTTGCTTGTGCCCTAAAGAGAGACTCACTCAATATCTATAAAAATGTAAAGGGAGGTGCACAGAGGTTGGAGCCAGACTCTCTTCAGTGGTGCTCAGTGATGGGAACAGAGGCAATAGGCACAAACTGGTATTTGGGAGGCTCCCTCTGAACATCAGGAAACACTTTTTCCTGTGAGGGTAATTGAGCACTGGTACAGGTTGCCCCAGGATGTAACAAGAGTTTCCACTCTCAGGGATATTCAAAAGCCATCTAGGCACTGCCCTGGGCAATCAAGTCTAGATGACTGCTTGAGAGTTGGACCAATCACCTCCAGAAGTCTCTTTTGGCTTCAACTATTGTGTGATTCTATGAAAGTTAAGGAGTGAATTTTATTCAGCTTAAAAAAAACCCATAAAACACCTAATTGCTTTATGGATGAGATCAAATCACCATATATACACAACATCTTCCTTTCTTGACAGCATCTGTTTTTAGACAAGATCATCAAATGATGATATAGCCAATAAGAAACAATGCCAAAGGGAATGAAATAGTAAGACAGTTAAAACTCCTTAGAGATTTATGAAGTAATTGAAAAAAAATGTAGAACTCTTGCAGAACCCCTTGAGCTTTATCCCTCTTGCCAAACTAGCCCTACCTTTACAAGAGAAATAATACAGCACTCACTAACTTTCAAATGCATTAAAGACCCAGAAAGGGTAATACCCAAAGGGTATTGCCAACAAGGAAGATGACATACAGAATCAACTTAAATTGTAATTAGAAGTCACAAGGGAAGTGATCCACTTAGCACAAGGGAGCAGTGCCAAATAGATGCACTCCCTGAGATGTCCCTCTTGGGTGCTCTAGGAAAAAACATCCCATTTTTGCTCAGTCCCTCTCCCAGGAGCAAACTTGCAGAACAAAATGCATTTTCAAGACATTAAAGAAAAAAAAATCTATCATGCACAGGGGTCAGCAAATTCTCTTGGTTCTAACCTGAAATGGATTTCAACTCATGCTGATTCAGGTGTAAGGACAAAGAATTAAAACTCAGCCACAGCTACATGCTGCTGTTTGTGCCAAACCATTAGGGAGTGAGTAGTATTGGTAATTACAATGATAACACAGTTCCAGTTGCCATCACAGTTGCAGACAGATCTGACAGCCCATGGGTATTAATCTAGTGAATCAAATAACATCTAGTTTTGAATCCAGTTTATGAAATCAAACCAGTGAGCAATTTCAATTCACCAAGTATTTTCTACAGAATTATCATGAAAACCTAAAAGGTGTTTGAAGCATTTGCTCTAGTATTAGCTTAATATGCAAGAAGCAGTTTTCTGAACATATTTTCTAATTATTTCTTTCTAAGGATTTCTAAACATTTACTTTAGAATTGCTACTGAAAGTGGTTACACCAAGTACTGTGGATGGACTCTTAAAGAAATGTCAAGAGACTAATATTTTTATCACAATATATTTTGTGTTTTCATAAATAAATCTCAGCTGTTTGTTACTCTTACCTTTGATGCCAACTCCCCAGGTTCCTTTCTTTTTAAAAAACCAGATACTTGAGGAAGTTCATCGTTCTTGAGTTCAATACTCCATATATACTGCAATATTAGCAATAAATTTCCATAAAAAACCATGAATGGTGAACTGATCATGGCGTATTTCCTTCGGTCCCGAATCATCCACAATGTGCAAGACCAGATCAGTAACACAAAAGTCAACCAGCTGTGATATGTGATGCTCCATGCCTTGTGGAAGGAGGAAAGAGAAGAAAAAATGTCCACAGATGAATTCAGGAACAACACATGCATATTTCCAGTTACACTTCGTTTACACTTCTCTACTCAGTGCAGATTTTAATTTTTATCAGACTCCCACCCATATTAATCACCAGCTAAAATAAACCCTTTGGAGAACATGCAGGAAGTAGATTCTGAGGGCAAACCCTGCTTGATGCATTAGCTGCACTTTGTAAGCAGACTCATTGCTTCTCATTAGACCAAAGTAAAAGAGATGAAAAATAAATATTAAAATTTGAGCACAGGAATTTTTCTTGAAAAACAGCAGCAAAGAATTCAGACTAGAGAGAGCAAAACCTAATCAATGGGTACTGCATTCAAGGCCTTTGACAGCATTCCAAAACAGCATTAACTCCATACTGCTCTAGCTTTTGTGGAATCAGTTTAAAATGGAAAGCTACAGTGTGCACCCACCTAACCTGTAGAACATTTAGTCTACAGTAACTGTGGTAGACTACCTGAATACTCACAACTACAGAATGTTTTCTACAGCTTTCAGAATTGAAAACTTCTCCATTAAAAACCCAAGAAAAGGATTTAGGGGGGTTTAAGAGTTTTTTAATCCACATGGTGTTGTTGATTTAGGATTAAATTTAGCTGTATATATGCTGCTATAACTGTGGAATAATCGTCAATAAAGCATTAAAAAAAAGAAAATTATTAATCATTAGGACTATTTCTAGCAGGTTAGCTTAGCCCTCCTGGAAATTATGTCTTTTAAGGGCATGTGAAAAACACTGATATGCTACTTCTCCATCCTCATATGATAAAATAGGTTACACACAGCTGTCTTTGGCTGTAGTATAAATGCAATTTGCATCAGAACATACTACAAATAAATTCATAAATTAATTTGGATCACATAAAATCAGAATATGTCATGAAGAGAAAAGCTAGCATTAAACTACAAGTAAGTATATAGTCCCCTTTTATATTGAGAGATATAACCCTGGGAATTAATCAAAAGGGAAATGCAGAACCTGGTCTAGTAGGTGACTCTGCCCAAGGTAGGGGGGTTGGAACCAGGTAACTTTTAAGGTCCCTTCCAACCCAAACCATTCTATTATCTAAGAAGTAAATGAGTTTAAAAAAAGAGGAAAAAAGTTACTGTGTCAATATGAAAACAACTAACTACTTGCTAATGTCTCAGAATGCATTAATCCAGATCCACATTTTGCACAAGGAGCCTTCCTTATTTACAGGGGAAACTTTTTGTGTTAAAAGACAGCAAATAAAGTTTGAAACTTTATGCAAACGAGAGGCAGCCAAGGTAATTTGTTTTACCATTTTTAATGCAAAATTGGGCCAAGAAGCTTTATGGTTAATTTCATCATAGTTGAAACTTTTCCAAAACAGTAAAAGCAAAGCTTGCATTGGGAATATAGAAAGACATCTAATCATTATGTGGAAACGTTGGTATGATGCAGCTCAAAGTATTTGCAACAAGGAGGCTTAAAAACAAGCAGTGGCATGAAAAAGAGAAAGAAGGGTGATAAGTAAAACAGCACAAAAGCCTGCCTTGGCACAAAATTGTATTTTCCTTGAGATCTTTCTGTGTCAGTCCAGGAAACCAGGTTTTACAGATCCTTTTTTTTTCTCAGAGAGTTATTGGATGCATACATCACCTGAATTAGAAACAATATTTTTACAGTTTTCTATATCAATATGACATACTTTAGTTATATAGGTAAATTTCTGGGTGGTGCAAACACATGACAAACCTGCTTGTGCAGAAGCTTGGCAATCAATAGAAAACTGAGACCAAGTGGTTTTCTGATATTCAACAGACAAAAAAGCTTGGGGCTCCCAGCTCTGGAAATGTGTTGCCCTATTTAAAGGTCCGTAACAGGCCTGGGAATTATGCATTAATAACCTAAAATGGGTTCCAAACGATGCAGACACCATCTTGATATTTTTTAAGCCTGACACAAAGACTTGGTGAAAACCAGCCGATGAGACTATGTTCAGAAAAGTATGCAGAAGACACTTTTGTAAAATCAACAGCATTATTCCTTTTGTTGCCAGTACTTACCATCATAGCTATCAGAGCACAAATGTAGCTTTGTTTCATGATAAATTGAAACACAGAGACCAGGGCATGTAATTTAACATTTTCTTTTTCCTCCTGAGTAATTTCCTCTTCTTCCTCCTCCTCCTCTTCCTTTTCTAAGTAGAAAAAGAAATTCTTATTTGCAATCCATGCTGGTGTAAAGATAGTACATGCATCCTCTCCTGAAATTATTTTGCTTGCAATCACTCTGAAGGCTACTTCAAATCACTCTGTTGGTAGGCAAGGCAAAGTACTTTGGATGATATACAGCCCAGTTTACAAAACTGCCATATGGGCATCCATCACTGTAAGGTGACAGCAATTATTTAACTTTAACAGGCCAAAGAGCTTACCAAAATGACAAGAAATGCTAGAGGCAGTAACTGGAGATACAGAAGAAGAAAAACACATGGAAAAAATGAGAATTCCCAGGCAATTTACTACCTGACATGCCATCTGAAGGCTCCCACTTGTACTGTGGCGTGGAGTACATGTCTGCTTTGGCTGGACCATTTTCTAGTGGCAGTGAGGGGTGGATGGTGTGATAGTCAGCAGGGTTCCCGTTCACTGTTACCAGCAGCACCTGCCAGGACACCAGAGAGAGGCACTGCATTTACCATGGCTCTTAGAAGAGTGGGACTCCTGAGTTTTGCTACTCTTGGAGTGCCAATGTTAAAAGAGCTTAACAAGTAGCTGCAGTTATTTCCAAGGAACTGATACCTTATAGTCATGTTGCATGCAAAAGTAACACAGAACAGCTCCCACAATTAATTGTTGTTAGATTTTTATGTCATATCAACAGAAGTAACCAAAAATTCAACCTTCTTCTCAGGCAAATTACTACATCAGGATATTCAGACTTCAGTTCACATCTAATTATTTCCAGTAGTTATTAAAATAATGGCTAAAAATGACTTTCCAATTTGAATTATTAGTAGTGAGATCTATATTTGCAGTTGTTAATAAAACTACTTGTGGTAATAATTGTTATTGATGACACATTTTTGTCACTTGGTAGTGATAATTCAACATAATTAAACTCTTCCATTGTTTTATTTTTGTGACCTCAATTTCAGCCCTTGTGCTTGTTTGGATAAGGGCTCCAGGTATCACAATCATCAGTATCTCTCCTATTGGCAGAAATTCACATGCAATGGGCTAGCGATGGCAATATGTGCTCAAGACTGACTTCTGCTCAGGCTGTGAGATAGGAGCATACCTTGCTTGTCAGAACTATGCACAGACATGTGCAACAGCCTGTGAACTGTTTCAGAATAGTATCTGGGTTATGTTCAGTCATATCCAGCTGCACCAAATACAGACTGTGGAGTACATTTAGATTAGGCTACAGATGTTCCTAAAATTCATCTTCATCTCCATTCTTCTGTGTGTGCTAAACAGAGGGGACTGTTTCTGCTTTCAGAGTCTGCTAAGGTCTATAGCAGTCAAGATAAATGGATCATTTGCAGCCTGTTCAAATACAGACTTGGATTTTCTGTAATCTGTAAATTGAAGTCATATGTGTTGTTGGTCATGCTTTAAGGGCCTGAGCATTCCAACATGAATGAAATAAAAAAATATAGCAAAGAAACTAAATCAAATTTAAAGGTGGCTTGCATTAGAAAGCATATTTTCATACCTTATTAAAACCCAATGAAATAGCAAAGATCGTTTGCCAGTTGGTACTACTACAAGCAGGTTAATTTCAAGTGATCAATCAGTGTTTTCTCAGGGAAATTATTAAGGAGGCAGAAGACAATTACATTTAGAATAATCAAAATTATAGGGTAAATGGCAGGAAAACCATACATCTAGAAGTTTTACAAATGTCATCTAAGGTTTTATCTGCATGTATCATTGTTGTCTGTATTTAAACACATTGAGAAGAGTTGCAAAATTACAAAGACTAGTAGTATACTAACATCCGATGGCTTGTATTCATCTTGGGTCATTGACAGAAGCTGCAAAAAGCAATGCAAGAACAAATTACTACAGAAGCACAGCTCAAGCATTAGTAAGTCTGAATTCTTGAATACATGCATGCAGATATGCTGACTTTTGCAGATTTGCACCAAGAAATTCAGAAGGAATTCTTAAAAAGCCAACAGAATGGTACAATACCATAATATTATATTCAGTGTGCCATAGCATTGACACAATTTTGCTGTATATTCCTGTGAATTTTAAACCAGAACCGAGAATGTTGCATTGAAATTTTGTATATTAGGTCAAAGAATTAATCAGTATTGTTTTATACTGATTAACTGCTTTCTAATGTTTTTCTAATGATACAATGCTTAAAAACTAAGTTTTTAAACAATCATTAGAATTACTGCAATTATAAAAACAGTTCCATAAAATGGTGATGCAAATATAAAATACTATTCTTTATCCATTTGCCAGCTCATTTCCCATTACTATTATTATAGTGGATTTCTTGGGGCTTCAGTATATGTGGTTTATGAATGTTCGTATGTCCCAAATTTGACAATAACTCAACAAATGAAATTTTGCAGTGCAGCTGGTGCAGACAGGTGGTAGAGAGCTGGACCTTTCCAGGATATTTTACACAACTGCCTAAACTGCCTTGCTTTGTATCTTCAAGAAGGACACCAGTAGGCTTAGGAGAAGAGAAGCTGGCAGTCCCCACTCACCAATGACAGTGCCAATTAGTAGTTACAAGGCAGATCAGATCTTTACATCAGGTTTAGCTCCCTGACAGACTTTCTAGCTGGTTGGCTCAAAGATAATGGCCCCAAGTCAAAAGCCCAGTCGTATACTTTTTAAATGTGGAAGCCAAAAACATAGAGCATGCTTTTTGTTTACATCCTTACACTGGTTTCTGGTTCTGTTTCATTCATTTTTACAAAACATATTCCTATCCTACTCTGCCATGCAGTCTTGATATTTTATATGATTTATAGTAAAATCTCACATGGAGATCTTACTTGCAAGCTACATAACACTGCTTCCCTTAATGCAAAGTAATTGTGCAATGCAGAGACCCTTCTCCCCCCAGTCTTACTTTTCTCTCATCAGTTGTATAGTGGCTGGCATACCACAGACTGCGCCTCCTCTCCGCTGTCATTGGAACTGGGCTGCAGGGAACTTCTTTGTCATCTTCCCTGCTGACAGATTTCTCTTCATCAGGCGTCTGCTAAATGACAACAAATGACAGCACTAGCTATAGCTCTGTCAATCTTTGCAGAGGAGCTGAAATTTCCCCCCAAATGATGTTCCCTCTCCAAAGTGTGTCTGAAGCATCTTTTAGTGGCTAACACACTTGGTTTATGATAGGTGACTCTGAGATGACATTTTCAGAAACAATGACAGAGCTTTTCTATAGCTGCTAGTTACATGACAGCAGAATTACACAGACCTCCTTACTACCTTAGCTTATCATATAACCATACCACAAGCATATACAAATATATAAAATATAAAAACTGCAAGGTACAATGTTTCATTTTCTAGGCAGTGTATGCTACCTCGATTTCAGCATTTTTGACCACTGTTCCATAATGTCTTTGCTGACAAGCTGTTAAGAAATGGACTTGACAAATGGAGCACAAGATGGGTGGAGAAATAGCTAAACTGCCTTTCCCCAAGTAGGGTAAAGGCTCAAAGACAAAAAGGTAGATTTCCATGAGTGAAGCTGCTCAGAGACTGGCACTAGGTCTGGTCCTATTCAAAACTATTTGGATGGAATTGCACCCACACAAAATTTGTGAATGACACTGAACTGGGAGGAGATAAATGGGCCAGAAGAAGGACTTACCATACAGAGATAGGACAACAAAAACTGAACAGGGTTTAACAAAGATAAAGTCCTGCAGTTGAAATAAACCCAAATAACAGTAAAGCCTGTGGACAGACTGTGGGAAGCAACTTTGTGGAATAGGCTCTGATGAACAGCAAGATGAAATAGAGCCAGCAGTGGACTGCACTCCAGCAGCAATGAAGGCAGACATGTCCTGGACTGCATCAGCCAGAGTACTGCCAGCAGATCAAAGGAGCTGATTATTCCACTGTGCCTGGCAAGTGTCAGGCCATACCTGAAATGCAATTCTGGCATCCCCAGCTCAAGAGAGACACAGAAAATCTGGGGAGGATCCCACAGAGAATTGTCAAGACGATTAGAGGTTTGGAGAAGCTGAAGGATGCAGGAATTAGGGGATTTTTTCCAATTTATAGCAATAAAATTACAGTTTTAGGGAAGACAAGGGTAGTCTTCTCACAGGAAGGCATAGCTATAGGACAAAAGGCTAAGTACATAATTTGCTTCAGGAAAACACTTTCTGAGTATTAAACAATAAATTAAAAATCATATACATATATATAATATAATCTGAGGCCCTGCTCTCAGAAGAAGTTGCTTCACATGATCTTCCCAAGTTCCTTCCAACCTGGACAGTGGCTGTGATTATCTCTAATCCACGTTGTCTATTTCTCCATCTGAGATGGTAAGTGTTATCACTAAGTTGTGGAGGAATCCAAACCACTGTAGGTTGTATCTTCTCTTTGAGTCCTACCAGGGCTCTTCCTGCACTGTGCCTCCTGAGTGGCAGCTTGCTAATGGCAGCTGCTCTCATTGCTTGGGCCAAATCCTCTGATGTAATAGAAGAATAAATCAGGATGCTGGGCAGAGGTCTGCAAAGCTACCCACGGGAACAGGACATCCAAATATCCTAGCTCATTTTGAAACTCTCTTCATTCCAATTCTAGCAGCAAGGTCCTATTTTTCACTTGACTTGGATAAACAATGATTATTAATTTAGTTTCACTTCTCAGAGGAAATGGTAGTACATTTCACATATGATTGTATATTTATATTTGATTGTAAAAGGGCATTCCTAGTAAAATTGTAAGATGAAATAAACTGATTCCGTGCTTAAAATACTGTCACTGCCATTTGAGACTTTAATATAAATATGAATCATAAAGAACTGCTTATCAAAGGCATTTAGTTTGGCACCAGGGTGACAAAAACAATACAAAAGACCTAAGACACTCAATTCTTTCAGTAAGATATTTTTAGCCTTAGACACAACACAGAAGGGTGGGAAATCTTGTTTGCTCTTTCTCAGAAGGGGAAGAAAAGTCAGAAAACACAGTACCAGTCACACAAGCACAGCTTGTGAGAGTCCTTTGACTTGATTACTTTTTTCAGTTCTTCCTCAGAAACTCTTAAATACCTTTTAATTCAAACAATTATAAAAATTTTATAAGAGGACTCCACATTCAACTGCTGTAACTCTGCTGACTCCTGTACTATTACTTACCACTCACAGCCCAGAATGAATGGGCTCTATTCATATATTCAGCACTAGCAGTTACAACTGTGAGCTGAAATCTCCAGAGACAGATTGCTTTTTCTTATTTGCAGAGGTAGAATTTCACAAGACTTAATGCTAGAGCAAGTCAGGATCCAAAATAGAAAGCATAAGAAAAGCAAATCTTCCACTGACTGCCACAGTCACTTTGCATGAGTAAGATCCATTCAGAATCCCACATGGAGAGCACACACTGAAATTTCATACATGCCATACTTTGGCGTTGTGGTGCACACACTAAAAACTGAACCCTGAAACTCAAGATTTGAAGTGGGGGGTGTTCCTTTAAGATTGTTCATCACCTGCAGCATTTAGAGACACTCTTAAGAGCATCTGTCTCAAAGATAATTCTTGCTGCAATCCAGGAGGAATTTTATCCCCAAGAGGACTTCAAGATGTAATTCACACAAGAAAAAATAACCTTCAGGACTACATGTTTTACTCTGCTTTTAGCATCTGCTATATCAGTATTATATTTAGCTTATGTAATCTTTTTAGACTGAAAAAGTATTTTTTTCTTGTTTTGGTAAAAACAGATTTTGTTCAAGAGCTTCTTTTGAACAGCAGTATATAGAGAACAACTTCTATACACTAAACACCTCACAGCATTTTGTCTTTGCCATTTATTAAACTTCAGATAGGTTAGTAGTGAGATCCTAAATACAGAGTAACTTCAAAATCACTGGGGACTGCAAAGGCAGGTTATACACTTAGTTCCATAATGAATCAAATGCACCACAATTTCAAAAATATTTCCATGAGACCTGGAATGCAATTATTTCTGGGTTTAAATAACTGAGAATGTAGCCTACCAGGGAAAAGCTAGTAAGAGAAATTTTAAATCCTGATCTATGACACCACTAAACAAAACCAAAATGCACATAGATAAAAAAAAAGCCTTAAGGAGGATGTGTGCAAAACACAGAAAACACATAAATTTTGCAAATCTCAGCATCTCTTTCTAATGACAAACACTTGCATCACTAACATCCTGTGCATCAAAAATAAGCATTAGTGCAAAGGTACTTTTTCCTTTACAGTGTTCCCTTTTTAAACCATCCATTTATCTTTGGAGGGAAGCATCATTTCCCTGGCATCTGAAGTTCCCTTGGGAGTGCCAAGACTTTGTATTGCCTCTCATGTAGCCATGAGTTTGACATCAGTGTTTCTTAAATTAATGTCTTTTAATACTTACTCTAGGTCAACTGCTTGGAAAGCATCTCTAATTTCACTTGTTGGCAGCTCTCAGAGACTGATTTTAGTGCTTTATGGGAATATCTATCTCAGACACCACAAGCAGTCTAAAAAAAATAGAACTTCAAGCAAGACCACTATAGTTCCTCTCAAGTCTCTGTAGCAAATTGCAGCATTCACTCTCTCCTAGACAGAAAGACACACTTCTCTCCACTGAAAAAGCACAGCAACTAACTTAGGTCCAACACCAAACTTTTAGATGGTGACTGTTGGATGAAAACAGCACAGGTACTGGAAATCAATTCCCAGACTTGCTGAGATCACACAGCTCACACTAACTGCATTTCACATGTGGTTACTCCTTTGTGGGTAGTTCTTACGGTTTTACTAAGCAGTTTGTGAGATGTGAAGTTTTAGTTACAGCCCCAGTGCTAAAATCATATTATTATCTGGAAATCTCAGTTTTCATTTAAGGAAAGAAAAAAGAATAAAAGATCATCTAGTTTCTAGAAGCTGCAGCTGCAGAAAAAATAAAATAAAAAAATACCCTAAAAATACCCAATGCCAGAGGGTACTGGGCCACAATGATGTGACTTCAGAAAAGATGGTATTACGATTTCTGGAAACTTATGACACCATTTTTTAATAGCTGAAGGTGATGGATCTGGTATCATTCACCTTTTGAAGCCATATATATAACACCCCCAAATACCAGACATCTCAATTCAGAGGTGATGTATTTTGATTGCCTTTTTAAATGTTAAACAGTTACATTATCCATTATATGAAGAAACACCTTTAAAATAAGAAAACCTTAAACATTTTTACTTGCTTCTACAAACTCCACTAATTCACATCACAGTTATGAGTATTTTCATTGTGGTTTACAGTAGTATTAAACCTCAACTCAAAAATTCACATCAGGCCTATGACGATCAGGAAATTAATACAAGTAATGCCTAGGATCATCCTTTTTATACTTTCAGTTTCTAAGCTTTTAAGGTACCTCTGGGTTCTTAAATACCCATTTTCCTCTGAAACAGGAAGAAGTAAAAATTTTCTTGCTCTTAAATGAAAGCTGGATTTTCACTCAGGCACACAGGAGGAAAAGTTGTAAGAAAATTTTTCTGCATCTGTGATAAAATTGCAAATATGTGTTTTGTCTTAGAGTATCCTGTGCCAAAATGCATCCTACCTCTGTTCTGGTAGACAAACCTTAGGTGTTGGCATTTCACTTGATAGCACCTAAACTTGAATCACAGACATAGAATCATTTAGGCTGGAAAAGACTTTTAAGATCATTGAGTCCATCAAGTCCAGCCACTACTGCATATTGATGCCTGCTTTCTAAATCAAAGCATTAATGTTCTGCCATTGCATTCCTCACATAACTGTCCTGATGATTTTAAGAATAATATCCATGTTAGATCAGACTCTTGGAGACACTTAGTGAAAAGACCAAATTCAAAGTACCACCTTGAGCTTGCTGTCCATTTCCCTTAATATTCCTAAATTTTTGCACTTCTGTTAGCAAGTATCTACACTGGCCAGTGTCACAGTCATTAGTGATGGGAAGAGAGAAGGAAGTTATCCTTACAATGGGCTCTTGCAGCCAGAGACGAATGAGAGTTGCCAGGGTGTAGTACATCACCAGCAGTAAGATTGGATTAGCATGGTGATACCAATGTAACTCTTGATTTTTGATGATCATCCAAGTGCTTGAGCAGTTTGTCTGAGTAAGGGAAGTGACACCGAACAACCTGTGAATATAAAAAAGCAAAGCAGCCACATTAGATAATAAGCATCAAACCTTAAAAATGTTTAGAAATATTTCGGAGGACAATTTCTGCTTATGTTCAATGCCAATTGCTCTGTTCAAAAATAGCATCTGCCATCACATCTAAAATACAGTGAGCATTTTCATTCCACATATTTAGTCATAAGAAGTGGTTTTTTGCAATCACTTTTCAACATGAAAAAATGGGAGTATAATAACATTCCATCTACTATGTCCAATGAGAAAACTTGCAATGACCTGCTCCCTGTAGATCCAGAGCTACAGAAAATGGGACAAGAAAATCTGGCTTCAAGTCCATTTGGCAAATCACAGTAACATGACATTTCAGAGAGATTTAGTAAACTGACGTGTAACACTATTTCAGTCACCCTGCCAGGACACAGCTGTAAAGTATATCTTCTTGGCACACTGAACAGTTTACTGGTCTTTTATTTAAAAAGCTAATACTATTAATAAATTTTTATCTAACTATGCCAATGTTTAGAAACATACAGGGCTCTATTGAACTCATAACTTTTGTGAACAAAAAATGAAAATATTCAGAAAGGTTATTGTTTAAGATGATCAAAATAATTGAGGGAAGAAAAAGAAGAAAAATTAATTAGAAGTATTATTATCAATGACATGAGATATTTGATGTTTCTGGAAAAACTGGGATTACACAATATTTCTATCAAGTAAGGAACACATGTTGGCAAAAAAACCACTTAGTATTAAAAATATTCCCAACATTTCCAATTTAATACAAGATATTGGATGCTTAGTAGATGTGTTAAAAACTGAAACAAAACTAATAGGAAACAATAATTAATCTGGCTCTTTCCTTGTAAAATAGCTTGCAGAATTCCAAAGTTAGGACATGAGCAACCAGTAGAATGTGTCAGTATTCATTATAAATACTTTTGTCTATTGACAAATGCTTTTTCTAGCGTAATGTCTGTGAGAGTTTTCATTTTTTACCAAAAAAAGGTTTAAGAGACAATTAAGAAGATCTCCTTATTGGTACAACAGTAAATACAGTAAATCCCAAACTATTGTTCCTCTGAAAGGGTAAACCAAACACATTAATTAAAAACCAAACTCAAAATCAAAACATTCAAATGTTTCTGCTGGGGGACTTAATATTTTTAAAAGTGTCAAAAAACTTAGTTCTGCCTTAACCTAGTAATATCCAACATGAAAAGCTGAATGAAAACAAAGAACAGGTAGGGCATTCAACAGAGATGTGCTGCCTGAAATCTGCCTTTGGATGCTGCAAAGTGAAAATGTTAGACCTGTTCTTAACTGGGGCTTTGCTGTATGGGCATAATACCATTAACTCCCAGAAGGAGAGCTCCATAGAATTTTATTAAGCAATCTATCAGCACTCACTTCTCATTCTGATTGCCAACAAGGTATAAACTTTAAGACCTTTCAGAGCTTTTGGGTGGATACAAAGTTGGGGAAAAAAACATTTAAAAAATCCCGCATACAAAGTAAATTGCTGTAATTTAAAGGAGTTGAATGAGCTGTGTTTGGAGTTGACTCAGACTCAAACTTCCATAGCATCCAAGAACATTTGGAGTTGATGTTACAGTTTGGCTCCATCTGGGTGAAATTCATGCTGGATTGTATTCTATTCATATTTTTATCAGCATAGAGGAACATCTTGTTTATCAGTTTTCCTCTCTCCTGCTGACTTGCCATTTTTGCTCATCAATGATCAGGGCTTTTGAGTTCCTATTAGTTTCTGAGTTCCTGTTAGTTTCATCTTTTACCTCTGTTTCTCTGTCTTTGGTTCATTTTAAACTTTCCTATGTAAGTACAGTATGATTCACCCTATTTCTGTCTCATAAGCATCAGAATCAGAGTGAAATCCAATTCTCACTGAAATGCAAAGTCTTTCCATTGACAGTTAGTGATGAGTATTTCCTACACAAATGAGGGAAAGTTCCTGAAGGTTCTCAGAACCTTCTGCCAAGCAAACATGACCTACATATCATATATTCCATTCCTATAGTATGCTTTATAATACACTATAGATAGAAAGTCAGAACAACTTGTGTTTTACTTTTATCTCCACTGAAAACATTCCATGTAATCCTAACCGTTAGGAAATTTTATTATATTTCAGCTATATTCTCATTCTCTTACTTTCATTTGCTGGCTACAAATTATTCATACATTATAATATTTGACTTAATTCTGCTCCCTTCTGGTCCTGCATTCAGCAACAATTCAGAAGTTACAGCACATCTTTTCTCTCTAAGTTGCCACATGGCCAGCAATGTAGTTTAATGTATTTCACTTCCATTTATTCAATGTATTTTGCTTTGTCTCATAAATCATGGATGTAGAGGAACCACTCCTCATTTCTGACTTCTCCTTGGGCTTTGAGACTTGTTAGACACAATGTACTCAACACAACTTTCCCTGTTTATCACGTTCAAAATTCACCGTTGTCTTGGGAATGCTCATTCTGTCTGTTCTGGCCTCCAATTATGCTACAAGATGCTACTCACTCAATATTTATGCTTCATCATTATCCTCAATGAAAACTGCTGGTGCAGAATATTTTTTAGAGGAATAGAGTCATCTTTTCTTACATAAAGCTTCTAATTACACAGGGACAACTGCCATAAAATGTATAAGCAATATAAATTAGGGCATTATTCAGTTCTGCATATTTCATTCTGCAAAGATGTCTTTACAGTGTCAATTCAGTATTGATCCCAACCAGCTGTGTTTGAGTCCAACTCTCATCTTGGTGTGACTTCATCTTACCCAACTAACATGTATGCCATCAGTAAGGTCAGAAAGAGTTCTAAGTGGGAGAAACCCATTACCAAACAAGTCAAGTACATGTGTGCCTGGACACTGAATATAAATAAAGCAAATTATGATAGATTTATTTATTAATGGATATATTAGGCTTTCCAAAAGACTGCATGCAAATACAAAAAATGGATGTTTTCAAGATGTGAATAAATTAGTATTTCTACTCTTGCAAAGAACTAAAGCTGGGTTTTTCAAAGTCCTCACTGGTATTCTGAAAAATGCATAATAGTAATAATTCAGAAGAAGTTATAGAAATTATAAAAGGCCAAGAGGAGCTTTAATGTGCGACTGAGAAATGCTCTGAAATAACATAGTGAAAAAGAGTTCTTAAAATAAAGGTGGCATCTTTTTGTCCAGTTACTATTCTATAAGCTTGTTTTTTTGGAAAAGATTCCTATTAAATCTGTGAATCATCCTTATAGCAGATCCACATTCATCTTTCATTACTTCCCAACAAAGATGTAAGCTATGACCATATAAAATTCCACTTTCTGTACTAGTCTAAAATTCAGTATAGGAATTTCAATTTCACTTGAAAACAGAAAAACAAATTCCTGTTGCACCCACAGATATTTCATCTAAGGAGCTGCCAAAGTTGTTAAAACTCTACGTTGCTAAGACTGTTATTGCATGCATTACTTAATTATTGCATTAATATATTATAAGAATTGGCATAATTACTCATGGTACTAAAAATGAACAAAAAATAGCTATGTAAACAAAAACTATGTTTCATATACAGAATTATCAAAGCAGTCATTACATATCTGTTAGGTTTGTGAATTTTGCATTCATTAAAATGATTTGGATTTTTTTTTTAAAGCATATTTGTAAGTTCAGATCCTGCATGTGCTCAGGTTTCAGGAGTTGACTTCAGGCAAGTATTTGCCTTGTAACTTTCAAGGCCAGGAAAGGAAGTAATAATTCTGATTTCCTGCACAATGTAGGACACCCAATAATTCTTCCATTGAAGAAAGATCTTGTGGTTGAATAAGAGTTTATAGTCTAGAATGGCATCCAACATTGACTTCAATTGATAGAAAATCTTCTACTGTCTCTTACTCTTTTTTTACGAGTTTTAGCTTCTGTAATGGTTTTGTCTAGATGAGATTTCCACTTGCTGCATCTTCCTACAACTGTGTAGGAGGTTACATAGTACTTTTCACTACACAACAGAGCAGGGGATCATTTTTCTATATCATCCCTGAGTTTGCATGAAGATTACACCTTGAAGAAAATGTCTGCATCAAACCACTCTAGGAGCTGCATTTTCTGATTTTGTATTTAATATTACAGGATGCTTTTTTCCTGTGGCCAGTACCTATTGTATGGTTATTCCCACAATGGCATCAGAACATTTTAATGTGCTGGATTGGATTTGGGCAATCCATCTTTGTAGAACTTCTGAATTTGTGTCAGATTTTACAAACTCTCTGAATCTTTATTTCATCTGGATATCTTCTATGGCATATTTATTTCACTCTCCTCACATGAAAGGAGATGAGAGTGGTGTCTGTAAGTCTGAGGTAGGAGAATGGAATATCAAGACTGACATTTGAATAGCTGAGCCCTAAACTCAAGATGCTAAAAGTGACCAAATGAGAGAAGAAAAGGGAAAAGAGTAAGCAAAGAAGAGGAGAATAAGTGAGGAAAAAAGAGCAACAAATTCCATAGAAATGGACAAGAAAATAGTATATTTGGAGAAGGTACTAGCTGCAGTAGAAATATTATTTTTCTGGGGCAAAAAGGACTGAAATACAGGGAGAGAAATCAGAACTCCATATTTCACAGTCCAAGCCCTGAATACTTAGTTTCATGGAGAAGAGTATTTGAAATACTGAAAGGGCTATGTCCCAAACTCTAAACACTGCTTGAAGAGTGAACCTTTTTTCAAACATTGACTTAAAAGAGGTGCATTCTGTTGTCAGGCTTGGAAATGGGTTCTGTGGGTAAGAGAGAGAAAGGAGTGGAAGGAATTGGAAAATAAATTAGCATAGAGAAAACATCATTCCTACACAATTCTCCTAAAAGTCAGGTGTCCCCTTTTCATACACAGGCCATCCTGTTGGGTTTTCCATACTTGGATGACAGAGTTACACAGAAGTTAAGATCCATAAACTTATATTCATAATGTCTCTTCCAAGG